GTTTGACGTCAAACGAAAGATTTCTGCCCGCTGTATGTAAATTTTTTTTTTACCTTTCTCACTTTCAAACCTCTTACCTCTGTAATATCACAACCCTATGCCATCATAATACTATCATAATACCATAACCTCATCTTTCTCTCTTGCTCTCTCACCACCTTCTCTTAACACATAATTTGAATAAATAACTTCCAGCAAAATACCATTGCCCTATAAGCAAGGACATCAACATCGTTATAACTTGAATACGTTTTTTAAAAAACAACCAATACCAGTTCACTATAATCATCATCATAGTCAACACAACAATAATAAAATAAATCATCAATTTGTTTATCTTTAATAGAAATCCGGAATTATTTCATTTTAAAAGCAAATAAATCTTCTAATCAGATAGACAAATGAAATCACCAATAAACAAAGAACAGGCACTTTTAACTCAAATTATAATCAAAATTATAATCCAGCCATATTATCCTTTTAAAAATTTTTCTCCCAGATTATTATCAGTCTGCTATTCCTTTTCTAATAAAAAAAACCTTGTTATTTGACAGACACTCAAAATGATAATCTTCTAAAGTCAATCCAATATATGAGGTAGTACTTGATCAACCACAGTTACTCCAGGGTTTTATGAGACATAAACTTAAATATTACTCATTAAGAAAGTAAACCTTAGATTTTGTGTAATTGAAAGAAATTTTGATTTGCATAGTTTTAAAAATAAACTAAACTATCACTTTATATTATGTTATTCTATTCTATTCTGTTTTGTATTGCATTATAATTTTAATCTTATTAACACTTTTGAGGTTTGGATGACTGAGTATTTTAGCTAAAGAAGGACAGTTAAGTAATGTCTTTAATAAATAAACAAAATTTTAATTATCATAAATTGAGTAAATATCATAATAATAAACTTATATTTCATAATAAAAATCAATATCAATTAGAAGAATTAAAAAAAAAAAGACTTTTAGAAATAATAATTGCAATATCAATGATAAAAATCTCTTATTATTATTATTATTGGGAGCTTTGATCTCTTTAAAACATTAATTTGTCTATATTTCAAAGATGAAACAACTAGAGAGCTAAATAAATATGAAAACAAAACGAAAACTAACAATCATACAGAACAGAAAAAATATAATCAGAAAAAAAATAAAGCAAAAATAAAAGTAATTGAAATTGAATTAAAATTGAATTAAAATTTTTTTAATTGAAGGTTATTTTTATCTTTGCAGTAATTGGAGTAAATTTTTGAAAACCAAAAATTAAAGATAAGAATAGAAATATAAAAGTTTGAAGTATTGATGAAGTTAATATTGAAACAATAAATTTTTATTAATAGTTCTTAGTTTCTTTTCCTTTTTTCCTTTTTGTTATTATTCTGTTTAAAAAATGTGATCATAATAAAGGAAGCTTTTATTCAAACTATTCTTCAATCAAATTATCATTTTAATGCTTTGTCAAAGTTAAGTAACGAATTTGTGGGTTTGTGTGTGAGGCTTGATTAAGGAGTTTGATTAGGCTGAAATCTCACTTTAACTATCTTGAAATAGAGTCTGAAGTAGGTTATTCTTTTTACTTATTAATCACAATTCTAATCTTTCTAAAATTTAAAAGATTTAACTAATGAAACTAATCAGATAGTGAGTTTCTCAAAAATTCTATATCTTTAACTAAATTTATTAGAAGCACATTTTTGATTTGTGGTCAGCCCCATAACACCAGAAACTTTGAAAAGGCCATATATACAGCAATATACAGAGGAATATGAAAAAGCAACAGCTATCATTGCTTAAGCATTTCACAACAATAAATAAAATCATAAATTACACATCTAATTTAGAGTTCTCTTTAACTCAATTTCCTTTCCTTTGTCTTCAGCAGCAGAAGAAGCACCATTTTAGTTGAGTGATAAAAAAATTTCTAATGAGTTTTTAAGCAATTTTATTTGCAATTATGTTAATTTAGTGCTTATTTTATTGTTGTGAATAATAAACTTTTATGAAATAAATTATTTTTGATAATGTTTTTAGAGAGCAAATTCTTCTTTTTTAAAGAGGGAAAAACTTGTCCTTTGAGCTAATTTTTTCGGGGTTATTGTTATTATATTTGCTTTTAAGATTTTTAATATCTTAGAATATGTTCTGATCAGAAATATTTTTAAATAAAAACAGTTTATTGTGAAAAGAAATCAAGAAAAAAATCAAGAAGAAAAATTCTTTTGGTATAACAAAGCTTTTTTTTACTATGAGCTGTTATATAAAACTGAATGTGCAATGTAAAAGGAGAAAATCCACGGCAGATTTGTCAGCAGTTGGGAAAAACAGAGAAAGCTTTTAAAATCAATGAAAGCAGTTTTTTCTTTTCATGGCAGAAAATAGCTTTGAAATAGATCCAAGCTCTGAGATAGTGCGATAAATCCAGCTTTCAAATATATTCGGGCTTGGAAACGAAGTTCCTTCTGTTTGCTGTCTTTATAGTCTACAATAAGCTGCTTTCTCTGACCATTCTAATAGACTGAATTTCGAACAATCTTCGCTATCGTTTTTATGGACATACAATCGTGAAAATTAAAAATAAAAACAAAATATAAACGTGAAAATTTGCTCAGGATGTTATGCAGCATCTGCAACCATTCTCAGTGTTGTGAAATCGTCTCAAATCAAAGCTACGCAGTTAAGAATTAATCTCCAATAGAATCTCGTTCCTATTGAAATGGTTTTTCAAATAAAAATGCAAAACAAACAAGAAGGAACAGAGAAATATGACATTTTCATCCCAAAAAAGAACTGATATTGCCATGTTTGCTTTTGTTCTGCTAAAGACACCGCTTGACTCAAGATTACATAAGCATGCAACGTTGAAATGAGGTTTGAACCTGAGGCCGTGCAGAAACCTGCGTTAGACTGGAGCTGCAGAAGGCATGCAATTCTTGCAGGAGTTGATATATAAGATGCTGAATACTCTTGAATTTGTGGGAAATATTTATTATCTAACTAACATGAATAAACAACTGTTTTGAAGACAGCAAAAAGCAATAGCAAAGTAGAACAAACTAATGCAACGATTAAACGATTCCATATATTAGGGGTGAACACCGACTTTTTAACACCGACTTTCTAACACCGCGTTTAGTTGCATCGTAATCCAGTTCAGATTACAGAGGTGCCGATGAAATTTTCTGAGGGACCCCACAACGCAGCATTATTATTTGCCATTTTGGGAACCATGCTTGAGTCCCCGATTTATTAAACACTATTTTCTTTTCTTTGTTCCAGAAGAAACTTGAATTAAGCTTATTATAATAATTAAATAAAAGAAAAAATAACAAAAAAGAAAATTTTGACTTTTTAATTATTATTTCATTGATTTTTATCTCTCTGATTTTCAAATCAAGAGAAATAGCTGCAAAAAAAGACTTCTCTATGACTTGAATTGCAGACCCCGTGAATGATAGAATCCTGTTATTTCCCAATGTAACATATCATTCCATGAATAGTGAACCGGTTTGTCACCTGACTTTTTTTTTTCAACCGATGGTTCGTTCCTCAAAAGGAGCTTTGTTGCTTTGTTTTCTGTTGTTTATGTTTACTTATTTAGAATAACTCAATTGTAATCAAAATCCCAAATTTGAATTGATAAATAGAAGTAATAAGTGAAGAAAAATGTCAATTGAGGGTTCAACAATTGCAAGTTTTGAGAAAAATGGTGACGAAACCACTAATTATAATATAACAAAAGATACAGATCATCAAATTTCTTTTATCAATGTTAATAATAAATATAATGAATCAACTAATTTAAATAGTGTCATTGACGAAGCAAATGAGCCAGAAGCTCATAATATTAATCAAGAAAATTCCAGCAGTAATAGTGGAAATATCAATCCCTCATTTGAAACAGATTTTCTTAAAAATTTCACTCTTTCAAGTATCAATGATTCAACACTATCATTTAATCCAATCAATTCAAATTATGATAATGGTCAGAATAATAATAACCATTCACAACTAATTAATGAAAATCAAGATAATAAAAATAATCAAAGCAATCGAGACAATCAAAAGAATCAAGATAATCAAGATAGTCAAGATAGTCAAGATAGTCAAGAAGATGAAAATGATGAAGATCCAGAGGCAGGAAATTCAACAATATCAACAATTGTTAATACTACAAAAAAAATATTCTCTCCTACTTTATTGGGAATAAAACTTGCTGCCCAAAAGAAAACATTATTTGACTCCCCTGAAAAAAAAGCTTTAATTCCATTAATTCAAAATAGAGTCAATGCATTAGCGATAAATTCCATTGAAAATCAACACCTCATTATTAATAACAATCAAAATATTATTCAAAATATTCTAAAAAATCATAAAAACAATACAGACAAAACTGAACTAAATACCGATCAGTCCTATGATGAAATAAATGGTCGATCTTATAATGAAAAAAATACAACTTCTACCAAAAAACACTCTGATTATGATCAAGACTTTGATAATAATATTCATAATAACAGCTATATCAATGGTGACAGTGATATTGAAAGTGATTTTGAATATAATGATAGTATTGATAACGATAATGATAATGCTTCAGTGAATTACAGAAATCATGAGAATTCAATCAATTCTCAAAAATTTAGAAAACAAAATAGACTGAGAAGTTGGAGTAAATACAATGATAATAATATACTAAATTCACCATCTTTTCAAGTTCATAATCATTATTACATGTCATCACCAATTGCCTCACCTTCATTGATCTATTCTCCATATAATAACAGAATAAACCAATCATATTTGGAGGAATTCAATTCAAAGATGAATACGACATTTAATAACAATACTACTACTACTACTAATAATAATAATAATAATAATAATAATGATAATAACAATAATAATAATGGAGCCAAAAATAACAAATTCAATTCAAAATTTATACTCGATGAAAATATTTATCATGAAAATCCTGCAAGATATTTACCATATGTTATATCATCATATATTCAATTAATTGTAAATATAATGACAAGCACTCTTATAATATATTTAATTATAAGTCTTTACAGAACGATTAAAAATGATATTTCATTGAGATTACAACAAATGACTGAAGATTTAATGCTAGAAGCATTAATTTGCAAAAAACAATATGTTGAAAATCATTGTGAGCCAGAAAATGTTGTTCCAGCATTAGAGAAAAGATGTTTAGAATGGAGTAAATGTTTTAATAAGGATTTCAATGCAGCGTTTTATAACTCGAGCATTGGAGCAGAAACATTAGGACAAGTTATAAATTCATTAATTGAACCAATCGGGTTTAAAGCGTTGTTAGTTGGAGGAATTGGGCTCGTTGTTTGGGTGTTTATTTCCAATGTGCTATTCGGGTATATTCGAGGAGCAGCATATTTTGATGTTTACAGCCAAAGAAACCAGAATAGCAGTTAGATAATTTCAAATCATCAATATTCATTAATACTCATTAATACTCATTAAAAGTATTGAGTTTGTCCAAACAGTTGAGGAAGAACCCCGAATAAGGTTTGTTTACATAAGCACTTAGTCACGGAACTGAGCGGAACAATGTTTTTCCTTTTCCTTTTCCTTTTCCTTTTCCTTTTTTCCCGGACTTAAAGATGTGTTTTTTAGGAGCATATCGAGAAAATCATCTCAAGAGCATTAATTTTTTTTTTCAGTTGTTTATCGTTTATTTAAAATACAGGTGTCAAAATTGGTTGAAGAGTTGAAGTAACGAAGAGCTAAAATTGAAAGGGCAATATAAGAAGGTTGTTGACACGATTAGTTTTAATTGATATAATAGTACTAAAAGATGGGGTTTGTAAATGAATTGGCCGATTCAATTTTTACAACTGGATTGAGTCCAGCATTAATCAAAGCCACACATTTTTCGTTTATTTCATTAATAGTGATATTTTTGGTGTTGATTTTTTTATCTGGGTTTTCAATTCATTTTATTAATTTATTTGTAATTTCTATATTATTTTATGTTACCGTTATTTGGTTTATGAATGAGTTAATAAAAGAACAAGAGAAAGAAGAGAGGGAAAAGAGTAAAGAGAATAAAGAAAGTAAAGAAGAAACTACAAATGAGGTAAAAAAAGATAAATGATATAGTAATATATATTAAATAAATCGAATATATATTAGTAGGCGAATAGATAGTTGACCAGGCATAAGATTATAAGTAGAACGTATTAATATTTACATATAAGAAGTTATTGAATAAATTGAATATAATACAGAGAGTGAGAGAATGAGAAATGAAGTGAAGTGAAATGAAATGAAATAAAATAAAATAAAATAAAATATTAAGAAATAGTGAGAAATAGTAAAGAGCATGAAAGAGTATAAAAGGTCATAAAGTATAATAGGATGAGGGATTATAATTAGCATAGTATAGTTAAGGAAGGAAAGAAAGGAAAATTGAAAAATAGAGTCAATTCTTAATTGGGTTATAATTCTAAATTGAAATTAATAGTAATAATTTTGAGAATTTAGTTGAGAATTATCTTCAATTGTAAAAAAGGCTTGCTTTTGAGGTAAATTATCATTAAAATGATAGTTTTGGGACATTATATTAGTTGATATACTGTTTGAGTCACTTGTTTCAATATCATCGTTATAAATATTACTATTATTGTTATCATCATATAGATAATCTATTGAGCTATCTTCATCATCAATATTATCTCTTTGGTAATCATTGCTAAGTTTATGTTGAAATTGATTTGTAAAATAAACATTTAGAGATTGTTTTATGTTATCAATATCGTCATAATTATCAAAATCTTGAAAAGAATTTGAGGAAGTATGATTTTGAGATGGTGAATAATGATAAAAGAGCTTTGCATTTGAGGTCATTGAAATATTATCATTTGAATGTATGGATGAGAGATATGATGCAAAGGATATATTTGAATCATTTGGGTTATTGTAAATGTAATTATTGTTATTATAGTGGTCATTATTGTAATTGTCGGTTATTGCATTGATTTCATTTGAAATTGAGACCGGAACATCTGGCTGGTTTGTGTCCTTTATTTGAGATACATTATTTGGATGCGAATTCAAGCTATTAGAAGAATGAAAGGCCAATTTTGATAAGAGTTTTGCAAATTTTGAATTGAGGCCTGAACGCTTTTTGAGATTTTCTTTACACCCCGGATTTGAGAATGATCTTGTAATTGAGAATCTTGAGGACTTGGAAGATTTGGAAGACTTTAAGGACTTAGAGGACTTCGAGCTGTTTGTTCTGATCATAGAATAAGAACTGGCCTTGACCTCATTGGGATTGTCGAATTGAACTTCGCCATTAGCTGAATTATAGTAGTAGTTGGATTTGAGGACTGGGTCATACTTGACTGTCCAGTTGGACTTGGAAAAGCAGGCTTGAAACATGGCAACAATAAAAGAGAATCAATTACACAACAAGACTTGCAACAGATTGAGAGGGAGAACAGCACAAAGCAAACATCAACCATTATATATACATCAGATCGCTCTCGAGAAAGTTCAGAGCCGATGATTATTAATAGTTTCCCGATCTGAAAAAAGGGAACTTTCCTTGTCCCGTCGCCGCTGACTAATCGGGAACTGCCGAATGCCTAGCCGCTCCGTCTTTGTGCCGCGAAGGAAGGGACGCGGAACAAGTCCCACTCCGCAGGCCCAGCGAGTGCGGAAAAAAGTATATACATGGATTGGTCTATGTACCGCACCGCTGGTGCTGATGCTGTCTGTGGCTGGTGGTGCTTGCGCTGCTCATTTGTTCTTCAATCCGCCACGCTTCTCCAAGAAGTCCTTGGCCTCGTTGACTTTGGTGGCCAAATATCTGCTACCACCTTTGTCTGGGTGGTTCAACAACATGATTCTTCGGTGGCTCTCCTTCAACTTAGTTTTGGTCAAGGTGCTCTCTCTGAGATTCAAGATCTGAAGTGCTTCGTTTGCTGACATTTTGTTGCCAAATCCACCCTTCAAAAACGCTCTTCCATTGATTCCCGGTTGTTTGGACTTGATAAACCCACTGGCAAAATATATCAACGCGAGCCCTCCCACACTAGATAACACTGGGTGTTCTGAGCATGTATTCACGACCTGATCAAAATAGTAGTCTGCTGTCCCTGGTGCCGGTTTGTTTACCTGTGCTTGCTGTTGTTGATTCAAAAACTGCGGTTTGTACTGCGCATACTGTAACTGTTGCAATTGTTGTTGTTGGTCGCTCTGTAGCACTTGATCTGTACTACTCAATGTCGAAATTTCGTGCCCTGTGTTTTGATGATCCATTTTCCTATCCAAAAAAAAAGTTAAATTGCTTCTGTTTTTCTAATTTTTATTGATGTCTTGTATTATCCTCTTGTTTTCAAAACTTAACAAAATTCGATTCAATATCTTCTTTTTCGATCTGATATTTCTTCTCAGAAGAAAAAAAAGTCAAAGAAAAAACACAAAGTCACGTTTATCTCATCATGTGATATATCAATGCGTAATGACGCGTGCTGTGCATGTAAATGAAAAAAAATTTAGTGAAATTTTCTTTCAATGATTTGAATTTTTTTTATTTATCAATTTATCCTTATATTTCATTTTTATTTTTATTTTTAATAAACAAACTATATATCAAAAATGAGAATTTATCACTGCCATTTTTGTTCTTCTCCAGTATACGTATGTTTTTATTACATTCGGTAATTCTTTTCAGTCTCAATGTCAATGTCAATGTCAATTTCAATTTCAATTTCAATTTCAATTTCAAATACTAATCAGATTATTTTATTCCTATTTTTATTTTAATTAGCCTGGTCATGGTATAATGTTTGTGCGTAACGATGCTAAAGAATTTCGCTTTTGTCGTTCTAAATGTCATAAAGCTTTTAAACATCGTCGTAATCCACGTAAATTAAAATGGACAAAAGCATTCAGAAAATCTGCCGGCAAAGAATTAACCGTCGATTCAACCTTGACTTTTGCTTCAAAGAGAAATATTCCTGTACGTTATGACAGAAACTTGGTCAATACAACTTTGAATGCAATGGAAAGAATAGAAGCAATTAGAGCTAAGAGAGAAAAGGCATTCTATAAAAATAGAATGAAGGGCAACAAAGAAAGACAATTAGCTTTGGATAAAAAATTGGTCCAAGATAACCCCGAATTACTTAGAATGAGAGAAGTCGAAATTGCAAAGAAATTAACTAAAAAACAAGCTAAATTGGAAAAAATTAATGATGATGATGATGATGATCAAGCTCAAGCTCAAGCTCAAGCTCAAAGTGATGATCAATTTGAAATAAGTGATATTGAATCTGACGATGAAGACATGGAAAGCATGGAAAGTGAATCCGATGATCAAGAACAACAAATAACTAAAGTTAAACAAAAAATCCTTCTTAAAAATAGAAGATCGAAAAAGAAATTTCAAATATAATCTATTCACATAAAAAATCATAATTTTATCCATTGATTTTTTTTTTTATCACTTTTGTCTATTTTTTTTGTATAATATATTCTCTCTTTTCCCACTGATATCATTTTTTTTATTTTCTCAATTCATAATTCAAATAAAGGATTCAATAAATTGAAATTTTGATAACTTTACTGTCTTTATTAATTTGAAGATATGTATACATATAAAGACAAAAAATAAAAAAATAAAAAAAAACAAGAAAACAGAAAAACATTGAATTACATTAAATTAACTTCTTTATAATAAATCCAACCAAGCCTTAATTTGTAGTTTTGTATCTTCGTGCTCAAAATTAACAAATTCTTCACTTTCAACCAATTCTTCTTTAATTAAAACTAAATTATTTGAATAATTTCTAATTATTGTTTTGAATAAACCCATAATGGTATGATATTTCCATCTTAAGTCATATTCCTCACTTGAGAATTTTTCATCAAAAAACACCTCTTCATCTTTGTCAACTATAATATTTTCTGATAATTTTTCACCTTCCATCCTTTTATCACCTTGACTATTTTTATCATTCTTGATTTCAATATCTTTGTCTTCTTTCTCTTGTTTGGTTTCCTCTTCCTCTTCTTGTTCAATTTTCTCTCCCTCTTCCTGTTCAATTTCCTCTCCCTCTTCCTGTTCAATTTCCTCTTCAACTATAGCTGGCTTAATATTTTGGATTGGAGGTGGAATATCAGGCTCTTCAGGATATTCAATTTTTTCTTTTATACCTAAAACTTCAATAGTATTCTTCAATAAATTCAAAAACTCTAAGAAAACAAATTTAAACAAAGGATTTGATTCCTCAATTTTTAATTTTTTGATATGATTTAACATATAATATAACTTATCAGATGCTAAAAAATTCATAATTAAATTGCATCTATACTCTTCTTCAGCTTTATTTGAATCTTTAAATAAAAACTTAATAATTGATTTATATGATATTAATTTGAATTTTCTTAGAAAATCAATTAAAACAAAACAACTTAATGGCAACTCATTCCAACATCTAAACACTGCCTCTAATGCCCAAACTGATCTAATAACTTGTTCTTCTTCATTTATTGATTCATAATTTTTAACTTTGGTTTCTATTAAATCTTTAATTGAACCTTTGATTGGATCTTCAGTTGGGCCTTCAGTTGTATCAATTTCAAAGGTTTTATTTACCTCAAAGATAATATCATCTATTTCCCTTTTTTCTAATGGCAATCCTAAAATATATTTGATGAAAATAGCAAAACCAAGTATAAACTGAAAGACCTCCGAAACACGTCCCGGAGAATATGCTGCAATAACTTGAAAAAATAAATTAATAAAAATCTTGTGAAAATTAAGATTACTATTATTTTTATCATTTAAATCATTTATAGAAGATTTTAATAAATGATGATGTTTAAGAAATGAATAGCCATTTAGAGAATTCGAGCTAACAGTCTCAATAAAATTTTTCATTTGAGTTTTCAATTTTTCTGCATCAGAAAGAGTAGTGAATAGTGAATCAATTTTATCATGTGAATTATAATGAACTTCATAATTTTCATCATTAAACTGAATTAAGTTATTGAATAAGTCCTTATCATAATTAATTATTTGAGTTTTAGTAAATAAGGTATAATTTAAATATTCCTTCGATTCCTCAATTAAATTAATTTCAACGGTTGATTTGTTTGAATAGATACATTCATTTAAAATTAAGTTTTTAATGAAAATGATTTTGGGATGATAAGAAATTTTATTTTGTTTAAAAAATTTTAAATCATTGGTCCATTCAAACCATTTCCAAATGAACCGAAAATTACTCAATTGAAAAGTAAACCAGTGTAAATATCTGGACCTTAATTCAAAATCCAAATTAAATAAGTTTCGGTAACAAAACCTAATAATTATCCCAAAAATTGGAGCAAATTTAGAAGATGATTCTGCACAACACTGAACTAAAAGATTCATATAATAAACAAAGGATTGAGGCCCCTTGGGTAATTGAAATAATAAAGCAAAAATAGTTTCGACAATAACGTGCTCGATTTTCCATGGCGCCTTTTGAATGCTTTGATCATTAGTATCTTGATTTAGATTATTATTTTGTAATTTCAAAGAAGATTGAAACACTTTATCTTTAAAGTATAGATGAATTGTTGAAAATTTCAAAACAATCTGAAAGACGTTATAATCCATTGAGATTATAAGGTCCTTTAGAAGATCATTGATTAAAAGATATTGAAAAGAATTGATGTCGGGAATTATTTGAACATTTTCCTTTGGAGGAAACATTTGAAAAGATAAATTTGGATTTTTCCAAGTGTTATCGATGATGGTAGTATTATTTTCGAAATTAGCATAAGGTAATAGTTCATCAACGGTTGGTAATAAGATTGCGGGAAATTTTTTAAAAATAGCTTTTGTATCATTATCAATAGTATTATTATTTTGATTTTCAATTTCAATTTCAGTTTCAGTTTCAATTTTATCGGAATTTCCGGTTTCTGGATTATTTTGATCATTATCATTATCATTATCATTATCGTTATCGTTATTATTATTATTAAGAGATTTTTGAGATTCGAGATAAGATTTATTGATATCAATTATATATTCGGAGATATTTGAACGAATATCAGGAAAGAATTCAAAAAGAGAAGCCCAATTATTCTTTGAAAATTGATCGATAGCGGATGAGATTCTTTGAATATTATTTTTTAGATGATAATTTGGATCTGAGTCGGATACAATATTTTTTGGGTTAATAAAAGGATCGTAAAGAGTCGTTGAGTCAAGAGGAATTAAGTTAAATTTTTTTGAGGTTGAGAGCAAATTATTGACGTTGTTAATAAATTGAGTATTATCGTTATCGGGGTCATTTAAATGGAATAATAAGATGTAAGGTAGAGAGATTAAAGAGTTGTAGTAAATTTGTTGAGCTAGTGGGGAATTTTTGTTTTCATTAATTAATAGATATTGGTTTTGTAAATCGATTGATAGATCAATTAAACCTTGAAAGATGTTTAGAATCAAGTTTTTGTCTATAAAAGTGGTTAAGCAAGATAAGAGTTTAAGAATTGATTTAATGTTATTCCATAGACCTTGATTTTTAAGGTCGGAGATTAATTGGCGATAGAATTTGTTTTTTTGGTTAATGATCAAGAGATCCGAGGAGGTGTCTAATTTGGACAAATTGAATAAATCAACCAATTTCTGATGAAAATAGTCCATGAAATAGTTTGCAATTGGGTGATATTTTGAGACTGAAACTTGAATTAAAGAGGCTATTAAGAGAATTTTATGGGGTTGTTCAGTTATGATGGCATAGATATGTAATAAAACATTATCTCTAAAATAATCGGAAGCATCGAAATGAGATTTAATTTCATTGCTCCAGGTTTCAAGTTGTTCTACCAAGGGAATATCATCATTTAGTTTATCATCTGGTTCGCCAATTGAAGCAATTTGAGAACAAAAAATTTGGGTAAAATCTTCAATAGTAAGCGTTTCGGATTGGGGTTGGGGTTGATGTTGGTGTTGGTAATTATTATTCAGGTATCCAGCATTGTAACCACTGTTATAGCCGTAGATTTTTGTATCATCGGTTTTATGAGGCCTCTTTCTCGGATTATAAGCCATTGTGGCAGAAGAAAGAGATTAATTTGAATTAATTTAATTGAATTCAATTGAGTGAGCTTTGAATGAAAAAGAAATCTTTAATTTTGTTTTAGTTTTTTTCTCTTCTAAAGATGATGTGGGCACGTGATAACGTTGCGGTCGCTGTGTGGTGATATCCGTGAAAACATCCGCAACTGATCATGTGATATGGGATCCGCGTGCGGATGTGGAATGGAAGCGGAAAAAGGATAAAGAATAAAGTGAGTTAAAGAACAATAGTAAATAGACAGAGCAGGAAATTGGGTTGAGTGCTGGAACTGCAGAGGAGTGGATAGGCTGCAATGGAAAAGAGTCGAGGCGATTATGTAAGCCAAGGGATTCAGGTGTGTTTTGTCACTGTAGAAGGTGAGAATTGTGATAGCATCAAGAAGTGAGAAACAGACAAACAATACAAAACAAAGAAATGGGATTGCTTTTAATAGAAGTCGGGCGGGAAGGGAAGCAAAGGACGCTAAGAGAGAAGCCATGCAAGGAAGTGAGTAGCTGGGAAATTCGTCTTCTGAGCGAGTGCGAACGGAGCTGATTGGTGGAAAAAGAGAAATAAACATCAATTAAAGCCAGAAGGATGTTTTCTGAATTTGAGCCGCCACAATTCTTGGAGGTTCTCGTGGGGAGTGCGCTGTGTGGCAGATTTGGCAGAGGAATGACTACAAAGCGGGACCGCAGTTTGGGCCAGGTACAGGGAAAAACAAAACCTGAAAGACGACGAACAGAAACTTGATGTCTTGATATCTTGATATCTTGATATCAAGACAGTTTGATAGCGATACCAGATTAGGTGGGCGACATCAGAGCAATAGAGTGGAAAATAAAGCCTTTGGGGGGTTGAGTAATGGCTTAATTGTTCTTGTTAGCATGAAGATCCAAGAATTCATTCCAGTTGGAGCTTCAAAATAGCATCCAACAGCAGTATTGTGTTAGTAATTAAAGGACTAAAGAATATGAAATGGGAAGGGATATTAAGGTAATCTTGAAGAGATGGAAAAGAATGGAAAATGGAAAATTGGAAAACTGAAAAATGGAAAACTGGGAAAATTCAAAAATAAAGAATTTTGCTCATTTGAAAAAAAATTGTCTAGATTCGTTCAAATGGCGGATCTAAAATGAGTCTACTTTATTTATGAGAGGGATTGGTGCGTGGTTACGTTTGGTAGATGTATTGTGAAACAAGATGTAAACCTGCCAGTATTGATATAACGGGTTGATGTAGCAGTTATAGTAATTGAAATGTGCTTTTTAAAGAAATATTGCATTTCTGAAGAATTGTAAAAGAGTAGTAAAGGATTAATAAAAGATTAACAAATAATATTTTTTAGCAGTCATAGAAACCCTGAGCGTATGAATCTGGGAATCGATAAAGGTGAGAAGTGAAATGGAAATAGAATGTAGGACAAGTAATGTACCAAAAAAACAAGAGATGGAGGGAATTTGAAAGAGCTTTATAAACACAATAATAAATGGGGAAAAGGTAAAATTGACTAAAGGAAGAATAAAAAGTCCTCAAATTTTGGTAAAAAAAGAAAAAAAAGTAATAAATAAATGATGAATAAATTGATGAATTAATTTATTCAATTTATTCATCTATTTATTTATTTATCTATTAAACATGGTTATACTAAATATTATTATGACGGTTGTGATAAATATCTGGACAATAACATTGTGAGAACAAGAATAATAGCTTAAAGGGTTTGTAGAATGCTTGTAGTGTAATAAATTAGATAGTACGTATTGTTCACCCTCAAAAGAATGAGCCAAATTATTCAGCAGAATAGCCACAAGGTAAGCTATAGAGTTGATAGAGTTGATAGAGAGTTTGCATTTAACTCAGTATGGCAGTAAATCGTTGCAATTCCCTGCCTACCGAAAAAAATATCAACTTCCTGGACCCAAAGCAAGAAAAGGGAAAAAAAAAAGTAGGCAAGTAAATAATTTATAAATCCAATAGAGAAATAGATGCTACAAGAGAGTAATTCTATTGCTAATTATAGTTGCATTAGTTGTACTAATATGCTATTATTGTGGTAACAGTGTATCAAGTTGCTGATTACTTTATTGGGGATACTAATCATTTGTTGAATATGATAAAACAAAACGAAATTTCTTTTTTTTTTTTGTTTTTTATTATCTTGATATCTTTATTGAAAAACAAAAGAAATTCCAAAGAAAAGAAAAGAAAGAAAATAAATGCAGATATTATTGGCAGATGTAAACTTTAATGTAAAGTGGGCTTTAAAAAGGTTTCGTAATGTAATTGTATTTTTACTTCAACAGTAGTGTGGTAAAGTAAGATGTATTATATATTATTATATATTATTATATAATAAAATAAAATATAATATTAATAGACTAACTATAATAAAAATTGAAACATTTATGGGATCATGAAGATGAAAAATGATTTTTCAATAGTTCCATTGATAAGGCATCTTAATTTGTATTCCAATTAAAAGGAAGAGCAATTGAAATGAAATGAATTGGATTATTATTAATATATTGATATATTATTATAGATTGCAGATTAGTTTTTGAACCAATTCAATTCTGATCCAACACTTGAATGGGTCAGTTGAGATATCAAAAAATAAGCTTGGTAGTACAAAATGTTAATAAAATTTTCTTGAAAAATTCTTAAAACTGTTAGGGAAAACAGAATAGGTGGAAAAAATTAATACAAAAAGATTAAAATAAAAAAGCTTGTTGTTATTGGCTAATTAATCATGAATCACTTACAATAAAGTTCTTTTTTCAAGTAAACTTTTTTTGAGACACCAAGACTCAGGAGTCCAAAAGTTGGTGCGATAACAGTAAGTTTAAAACGCCAAACACAGTAATTAGAGCAACAATAGTTTTCATTAGCAATAAGGGATTAGTAATTGGTTATTAGAGCTACCAATGTATATATAGGAATATATATATATACCTATTTATATAAATCATTATATATCATTATTTATTATAATATATTATAACATAGTATGTGGTACATAATTTAGAGCAGGAAAAGAATAGAACAGAATATAATATAGGTCACAGTCACACTATTACTAGCAAGAGACCAAGATTTCAATTCCCATTGAGAGTTTTAAAAATAATTGAAATAAAAAGGATTGTTTAAATGGTTGTTTAAATAACAGATAGTTATAACAAATTGCCCACCTTTTGGTTCATGGTACACGGTAGTTAACTTTGGTAATTACACTCTTTGTATCATATAATTTGCGTAAACAATAGTATGGGATAAGTTGACCAAATGCTACCTGGGCCAAACGCAGGATTACGTTAATAAATATGTGTTGAACCTTAGCATGCTGCAATTATTCATAAATAATTCATAAATAGATCATATCAGTTTTTTCATTTAAAATTTTTACTTTTCCTAATATTTTCTTAGTTGAAAATCAAAGATTTATCCATCTTTTGTTTATTAAATGAGATAGCTGAAAGATGGTATTGTAGTGTACTATTGTAGCGTACTGTTGTATTGGAATTGCAGCACTCAAGTACCTCAGTACAATAGCATAGTAATATAACATAGTATAATGTAATGTAATACGGCAATGTAATATGGCAATGTAATATATTACCTGTTTTAATCGCTTTATACCATTCTGCTTCAAGAAAACAGGTTGTGTTTAGTTGAGTTTCTCCGAGCTCCTCCGGTTTTTCTTTTTATTCTCGCTCTCTTCTTTGTGTGAACCATTGGTCTATTTTTGTAAAATTGTTTATTTTTGCACTTGTGCTCTTGCAATCAAGACCATCCAAAACAACAGTTTAGTCGGCCGGTGAGTTAATACCGCATACGTATCTTTTGAAACTAAAAGCAAAATCCAATCAATATCTGTTCGAAGAGACTAGTTTTTTTTCAGTATTGATATATACCAGAAACTTGTAAAAAAATGTGGGTATGGGCCAAAACAGCCAATGAGAACAGCGGATGGTCTGAAAAGCTGGAAAAACGCTGCCAAACAGGGCTGAAAACTGGGAGTTGGGAGTTGGTATTGTTGGATCTATTGGTGTGAACAGACTGTCTGGGTTTGTCTGCACATGTATGGGCAAATGATATCAGCAATTTATCAGAATATATCATCCCATACCATCTCGTATTGCACTGGCCAATTCCAGTGCTTGTAGCAATCCCTCAAATCCCAGCAGAGCACAACAGCGATGCGCCACGAGCAGCAACTGCGTGGCGAGAACAGCGACATTGGATGCTCTGCTTCCTCTGCTTCCTGCTTTTCCTCTTCTTCTCCTGCTCTTCCTCTTCACAGCTTCTCGATTCTCTCAAGTCGTTCTCCCGCTTCAACTGCAGCACCGGCTCTTGCCCAGGGCCAAAGGATGGTGTCAAACAAGCACTGGCAAGCGATTGTGTGCGCAGCGAGTGCGTTGCACCAGGCTCCCGCGACGTGGCCCTGGGAGCTCAGCACACTGGGCCAATACAGTCATATTTCATAATTTAGAATTCCAGCTAAATTTTAGAAACCAACGCTATACAATTGTGAAATCTTATTCTGCTCCAACTGTATTGCTCTTAATACCTGATATTTCTATAGTTTTATTCTATTTGCTGTGATTTCAGTGTTTTTCAGTGTTTTTTGATAGTTGTGTTCTTCTTCCTAGATCTTTTTAATGACAATTTGACAATCTTATTTGCTTAGCTTGTTTCTCCCAACTTTCTCTTTTAATATAAATTCAACTTAATTTTCCCTCTGCCTTCGTCCTCTTTCCTGCCATCTGCTAGAAAACCTCTTTTGCCTTTCTTTTTCCTGCTTTCTTGCTTTTCTCTCTTCTTGCTTTATGTCTATCAAACAAAGCAATACTCCATCCTTCAATTACATCCTCTCCACTATAAATCTATCCTGCTATCCTTTTGTGGCCTCCTTTTATTATATTCTTTTCATTACATTCACCATTCTTTTTACTACTTCAATCATATCATCTGCTACCGCCTACCCATTGTGTTTCAATTCACATTTTCGTTTCTAATTCCACTTTCTTCCCCTTTTAATTAAATCCCACTCACCCAAAATCAGAATCAAAATCAGAATCAGAATCAGAATCAGAATCAGAACCAGAATCAGAATCAAAAAACAAAAAAAACAACTTCACTTTCAAGCCTTTTTTTTTAAAACTTTATTACTTTAAATCACTTAAATCTCCTTTACATAATCATCCTATCCATCATAACCATCTCAATTGTTATCTCCATCTACATCTATCTAATATTAATATTCCTACTTCTATTCGATACCACTCTAAAAATACCACTAAAATTCAACATCAACTTGCAATTTTATCCTGTCTGAATGAACATAATAACTAACAATCACAACAACATGTCAACTCAATCCAATATTTCTAGAACTAATATAAATTCGTTCAACAATCCAATCTCACACAATACTGTCAATACTCAACAACCACAACTCTCAGCTCTACCCATCCCAATAAATCAACAAGATCAAAAAGACCAAATCCCACAGATCCCACAACTCTCTCAACTCTCTCAACTCTCTCAGGGTTTACAATCAAACCCACAACTACTGCAGCACATTCCCCCATCTCAACAACAGCAACTAATTGAACTGCAGCTGCAACACCAGCATTTACTGCAACAACAGCTGCAGCCTCAACCACAACCACAACAATCCCAGTCACAACCTCAACCTCAACCTCAACCACAACCGCAACTGCAATCACAACTGCAGCAGCAACAGCCAAATGATTCACTCTCCTACAAACTACTATCTCTAACTGTTGAAACCTGGCTTGCTATCGGCGCATGCGCTGAATCCATGAACGATGATGAGAGTGCTGCCTCTGCCTACAATAAAGTTTTGGCTCTAGTACCTGACAATGTTGTTGCCTCCATTGCCATCGGCAACTTATTCAGAGGCAGGGATTTATTCGCAAAAGCATCTGAATACTATCAAAGAGCCTTGACAATAGACTCCAAAAATGGTGATGTCTGGGGCTTGCTAGGCCACTGTTTCCTAATGCTCGATGACTTGCAAAGCGCTTACGGTGCCTACCAACAAGCTCTATACCATCTAAACAACCCCAATGCTCCAAAATTATGGCATGGCATCGGTATTCTATACGACCGTTATGGCTCTTTAGAATACGCTGAAGAAGCCTTTGTACGAGTCCTAGAATTGGATCCAAACTTCGAAAAGGCTTCCGAAATCTACTTCAGATTGGGAATCATATACAAACATCAACACAAACTACGCGAAGCTTTGGAATGCTTCAAATATATCCTAGACAACCCCCCAATCCCACTAACCCAACCCGATGTCTGGTTTCAAATTGGTGCTGTATTGGAACAGCAAAGAGACTACACCGCCGCTAAAGATGCCTACGAAAGAGTTCTATCCGTCAACCCTAACCACTCAAAAGTACTACAACAATTGGGCTGTCTTTACTCCCAAAATACTGCTGAATTCAAAGACTTTAGTAAAGCATTGGCCCTTCTAAACGAATCCTTGAATATCGACAGAACTGACGCTCACACTTGGTACCACATTGGAAGAGTCTACATGATGACAAACGATTACTCGTCAGCCTACGATGCTTTCCAACAAGCTGTCAACCTTGAACAAAGAAATCCAACTTTTTGGTGCTCAATTGGCGTACTATATTATCAAATGTCTCAATTTAGAGACGCTCTTGATGCCTACACTAAAGCCATTCGCTTGAATCCTTACATATCCGAAGTTTGGTATGATTTAGGTACACTATACGAAACTTGCAATAATCAGATCTCAGATGCTTTAGACGCTTACAAACATGCCCTTAGTCTTGACCCATCCAATCCTCATATTCAAAAAAGATTGGAAGAATTAACTCAATTCGAAGAAAGAGGTGGTGTTTCCAATGCCAACAACTCTTTACCCCCACCAGCTCAAAGACCTGCTTTGCCCCAAACAATGTTGCCGAGTCATAAAAGCTCCTCGTCAAGTCTTTTAAATGGCGTAAACAATAGTAGTGGAAACCCTAGTAATACTAATGGTATCAATGGAAGTATTAATGGCATTAATGGCATCAATGGCATTAATGGCATCAATGGCATCAACAGTCTTAATGGAAATCTTAATGGAAATCTTAATGGCAATAGGAATATCAATGGGAGCAATGGATTAAGTCATTCGCAAGAGTTAAACGGATTAGGGTCAGGATCACCATCAGGACCAGGATCTGGATCGGTATCGGTATCGGTATCGGTATCAGGACCAGGACTGATTGAAAGAAATCCATATAATCCAGTTAGACCCTTACAAGTCCAATCTACTAACTCATTACCAACAACACAAACAAGTGCTGAAAATTCACTTCAACAATTGGCACATAACGAACAACAAATTCGAAATACATATTCTGCACAACCAAGTCAAGCAATCGATCAACCAAGTATTGCTCCATTGGGAAATATTTCTCAATCATCATATTCTCAAAGTCAGGTTTCAAATCCACCAACAACACAACAAACTCAAGCCCCAAGTCAAAGTCAAACTCAAACTCCTGGATTGAATCAAGGAATTAATCAATCAGCTAATCCAATTTATGAAGTAACACCATTGGAAAGTAATGAAATTGAAAGAGGAAACAGTGGAAGAACAATTTTATCACAACCAGAACAAATTATACCATTCAAGAGGGAATTGGAAGACAAAGATACTTTAAGCAAACCCAAAAAGAAAAATAGTCGAAGATCGTCAAATAATTCTAAAAAGTCACCAACCCCACAATCCAGTTTGAAATCAAATAGTAGAAGCAAAAGATCGGCATCTGGTGGATCACCATATGTTAGTAAGAAACATAATAATACTAAACGAGGAGACAAGAAAGAAAAAGAAAAAGAAAAAGAACGAGATAATTTGAATAATAGTCGCAGCAGCAGCAGCAGCAGCAGCAGCAGTAGTAGTAGTAGTATTAATAGCGTTGGAAACAAAAAGGAAAATAAAATATCAGCATTATTATCAGCTACTATAAATTCGCCATCAGTTGGGAGTCCTCTAGCTCAAACCGTTCCAATAGCTAGCAGTGAATTATTACCAGTATCAGTTGGGGGTGCAGCAGTTGCTCAGACAGTGCCAAATGCACAAGCGGTGCAAGGTGTGCAGAGTGTGCCAGGTGCACCAAGCGTATCGAGCTTATCGAGTGTGCAAAATGGAACAATAGCAGCAAACAATAGGGCTAGTGGCGAAGAAAAAAAACCAATAAAGCCAATTTCAATTAAGCCTAAAGAGAAAAAACCAGTGATAGCTATAAAATCTAATTTGGATGCAACAGAAAAAGAGAAACACAAAGCAAACTGGCCTCCAGTTGCATATGCCAAAATTGTCGATGATACAAAAGAAAGTTCTGGGGAAGAAAACAAAGAACAAATCGAAGGACCTTTGAGACGAGTAGAAGAAGATGAAGATTATGACATGGATGATGAATAAAATAGATTATTTGTAAAATAAGTAGTTTTTTTTTTTTTTTTTTGATTTGTTTCGTTGTGCTGCGTTGTGTTTTATAGTGTTTTGTTTTATCATTTTCATTTTTGCCGTCATTTTTTTATTTTATTTTGTTAGTTATATTCTGTATAATACATTGATTCTATATAATACATTAATTCTATAAGCTATGAGTTGAAACGCAAAATCAAGCTTTCAGTGAAGGATTTGTGAAAGGTCTAGATTTTTTAATCAAAGAAGGAATTGAGGTTGGATGTTAACACGTGGTTTATTAGTGTTTTTTTTCATGCTTAGGAGAAGAGAGATAAGTTGAGGCATTGTGATGGATGATATATAGTGTTGTAAATACAAGTATAATGGCAGAAGATCCAATAACATCGTCAAGGCTGTATTTCAAGTCATTATATCAAGTGCCATTTCATGACAAAGCCGAAATTGGGACTAAAGATATAGGAGATGTTGAGTGGAACCCCAGTGGAACACGAATTGGATATTCGAGAATGAACAATACGTTGATTATCAAAGAGTTTCGAAACCAGCATAGTTCACAAGTTTTGAATACTTATATTATTGATAAGCCACATGCGAATCCAATTGAGGAAATGAGCTGGCATCCGTTTAGTGATTCAACATTGATTACCGTTGGCAGAGATGAGTATGTTAAGATTTGGAATACGAAAACACTGAAGTTGATTTATCAAATCAAGATCAAGGGGAATTGTTATTTGGTAAAGTATTCAAACGACGGAAGATTTATCATGACGACCAGCAGTTATTATAACGAGAAGATCAAAAGCAATGAGTATTACTTGAGTTTGGTTAATGTGAAAAGAGGGTATGAGGTTGTGCGAGTGCACAAGTTGGAGCAAAAGATCTATGATTCAATATGGACCAACTCGTCGAACGCAATTATCTTTGGGTGTCTTGATGGATCTGTTCCCATGTACAAGGTGGACGAAGAAACTGGGGATATTGTAAAGATATTCAGTTTTGAGGGCCATATGTCGACGGTTAATTGTTTGGCGTTCGACACGAAGGGCCGGTACTTGGTGACCGGGGGTCACGAGGGGGTGATAGCGATCTGGTCGATGAAGAGTTTGTCGTGCATCAAGACATTGGCAATGGTGGACGAACCGGTGATGAGCTTGGATTTGTCGAGGGAAGGGTCGTACTGCGTGGCGACGTTCCAGGGCAACGAGTGTGGACGAGTGTTCCATATCGACGAGAGTGAGGAAACGTTCAAGATCGAGAAAAACAGGTCGACCAACAATGCGTTTGCCAAAGTCCGATTCCATCCCAAGCAGTCGACGTTTGTTTACACCACGTACGACGGAGTGTTGACGAACTTGATGAAGCGAATCTAGGGGGATGGCGGTGAGTCACCAAAGCAATGGATGCTTGTTGACGAAGAGGACGATAAGACTCACAGCATAAATAGCAACAGACAACATCTGCCCAAAGGGGAACAAGTGTGGGAGCAATACGAGTGAAGCAACGATGACGCTGAGTGGGAGCCAGTCGCAACAAGAAGGGAAGCTGGAGCACAGGCAGGTCCGTGATTGGTCAGCCGGAACGCTGGTCTCAGCACGCACCAAACAAATGGTAAGGGTGTGTTGAGCAGGGAGTGAGGATGAAATTAGGTGGTCGGCCGTGCAGGTGGATCAGCGCGTTCAGGTTGGCTGGTCTGGAGATCGCATTGCAAGCAGATGCGCGGCGGCCAGCAAATGCCGCAAGAACCAACAGCCAGTTCCCGTGCGAAGCGCTAGCAACACAAAGCGCGCAACAAAGAATCCGCAACGCCGCTTGTGGTTGGCTGGACGCGGAAGTGTAGGTTTAATGCAGGTGTTGCCAGCGTCAGCTCGGTTTCATCCAGGCCCTGCTGGCTTGGCCGACTCCTGGGGATGCATTGCAATCAGAGAGTGGAAGCCTGGGAACTGTGTGCGGATTTTGTGGATTTTGTGAACCGGAGAAATGAGAAGATTGAGAAGATTGAGACGAGAAAAGCGAAATCTGGGGAGAAATCCTGGCGGACTTCTCTTTTGGGCCAGATTAGCTTATTCTCCCATATCTCGCTTTGCATTTTTTACCCATCCTCTGCAGTGTTTTCCTGATCCATAAGTGTGCAGGTTAAAATGAAAATATTTCCCAACTTTTGAATTATTTCCCGAACCTCAGCATTCTACAAAGTTTTGCTGCTACTTCTGAACAAATGGGATTGGAGAGGGAACTGAAATTTTGTGATTCAATGGTTGTAGATCTCTGTATTACTCAGAAGTGGATGAGTCTTTGCAGAGCGAGCCATGATATATAAATGCTCTCCAATCACCAGCAACTCATTGCTTTCCCCTTTCCATCCTCTTTCAGTACTTTGTTTTGGATTTAGCTAGCTCAAGACCACTCAAGACCACACCAGCAGAGCAATTACAAAACACTTCTCTGTCCTACGCCCTATGCTATAGCGATATCTAAATTCCTGTACAATCTCAACTCATATAAATATATTGGGCAAGCTCCTATCTGTAATATCTCCCATCTCCTGTATATATCCATCAACAACAACTTCCTCTATTTATAACCCAACACACCTCACACTTACTTCACATTTACCTCGCGTACACATCACATAAACTTCATACAGATCTAAATCACTATCATTCCATTTTTTGCTTTTTCAAACGCTATTATTTAAGATCCAATTTTTCATCCCACTTGTAACCAACTTGATATATCTTGCAGTCTATATATACTCTGCTTTTTAATTATACTATATTCATTCCTATTCATATCTATACTATAACCATATCCTATCCTATCCTATCCTATCCTGTTATATTACATTACATTATATCATATCATATCAACAATAAAAATGTCTTCAACTATAATTCCATCCATCCAACTATCTTACCAGATTCATTCAAAATTTCAGAATGAATTATCTAAAAATGATTTCTGCTTGAGAAAACTTTTAGCTCATGCAATTTTATACGAAAAAATCATCCACAATCAAAAATTTATTCAAAATAATTTAAATGATAATCAAAATGATAATCAAAATGACATTCAAAATGACATTCAAAACGATAATCAAAATGATAACTTAAAATCAAACTCTATACATCAAAAATCAACTTCAACTATCACCGATTACAAAATAACGAATATATCAGAAAAAGATGAAGATGACTATAAAGAACCCTCTCAATCTCCAAAACTTGATCGATACAATGAATATGCTCAATATAACGACTTTGATCAATATAACGAATCTAACTCTGAAAAATCAAGTGATTCCAATGATTCCAATGATTCTAATGACTATGATAATCAAATCCAAAATCAAATCACTATAAATTACTACAACTACCAATTACCTGATGATGATGATGATGAATACTCAGATTCTGAAGACTATTATAACGAATTTAATAAAAACGACAACTATTTTATTAACAATAATCAAAATAATCAAAACAATCAAGATAAAATTAATGATAACGTTAATGTTAATAACAGTTACGATGATGATAATGATAATGATAATGATAATGATGATGATGATGATGATGATGAATATTACTACTACAATAACATCTCACCTTCAAAACAAATCCCAATCTCAAACTCAATCTTCAGCAAAAACTACACTTACAATCACAATATTCAATCAAACAATTTTCTTGGTATAATTCACGAAGTTGATGAATCTGATGAATTCGACATTCAAAAAATCAACTCAGACTCAAATCCAAATTCAATCCCAATCCCAACCTCAAACTCATCCTCTTTCGATCGCTATAAAAATCTAAACATAGCTTCTTCTCCCCAATTCTCTTCCTCTTCTTCTTTTACTGACGATGACGACTTGCTCAATAACTCATCCGATGATGAATTTGAAGATTTCTATTTCTCAACTCTCAACAACCCAAACAGCTCAATTAATAATCATAATCACACTCTTAACTCTTTTAATAACAATAACTATAATCACAACTTAAACATAAACCTAAATCTAAATCTAAATACAATCTCCGTCACCTAATTTACTCCCGCCATCTATTATATTATAATCTCATTATAATTATTACCCAATTTTTATACTATATTTCATTTTGACTTGACTTGACTTTTTTCTTTTCTTTTACTTCTTTTCCCAACAATTTTAATTCTTTTTTTATCTGCGTGTTCATTTTCTTTATCATCTTTTATTTTATTTGTGTTTTTCTTCTCCTATTGATTACTAATCTTATTCTTATGCCCTTTGTTTTACTCTTTAATTTTTTTATTTATCATTTTTTATTTTTTATTTTTTATTTTTCTTACTTTACGTATTCTTTTCCTAACTACTTTGTTCTGATGAATAGAGTTTACTTATTTTACCAAAAAAAAATGCTTCTGCTTTGCTTGCCTTTTTGCTTACGCTTTGCTTGCTGCGATGAGTTTTTATTTTTTTTTCCCCTTTATCTTTCTATTCTTTTTCTTTGTACTTTGTGTAATGCCCCTAATAAATCATTAATTTCAAATCAACTTCAAAAAGAGTCAACCCCAGATTTCAACTCACCTTACCTTCCAAAACTAGGAATTGGTAAACGATATCCGGTGGACATTATCCGGCCGCACTTTCCGTTGTAGAAATCCACACATCCACTCCGCACCCATGACCCATCCGCACCAGACCCATCCACACCCTTGCCTGCCCGCACCGGAAGACGTGCGGTTTTCCTTCCGGCGGCGACCGGCAAACGGCGGCGACCGGAAATTTCCCCAGAAAGTGCTCGGCGGCTTTGCAGCGCTTTCCAAAGATCCACAGAGTCGGAGCCGATCCCCAGTTTGTTCCAGGCCACTTAAATCATCCAAAGCTCGACAAAAACTCCAGGGCATTGTTTATTCAATTATACTCATTATCGTTCTTTGACATTTTATTGTTGGTATTTATCCAACTACATCTCTCTTTTTCCAATTATTATCTAATCAATAACGACACACCTATTTATATTCTTCTTCTCTACTTATATTACTTATATATATCAATTGCTACTATTCCAACGACTGCTTCTTCTTTTATAACCTTATCCCATCAAACCTATAATATATCCTCATCGAACCACAGTTCATAATCCATATTCATATTCATAATCCATAATCCATATTCTTACCCTATATTCTTCCACTCTTTCTTTTTCTCACCACTATTCTCTCTACTCTCAACCTATATTATCTTTTCTCATAATGGCTTCTATTGCAAAATTCACTGGAACTAAAAACAAAGATGGTAAATACACTGTCACCTTGATCGAAGGTGATGGTATTGGTATTGAAATCTCAAAATCAGTCAAGGATATCTATGCTGCAGCTGAGGTCCCCATCAAGTGGGAACCTGTCGATGTTACTCCCCAGTTAGTTAATGGTAAGACAACTTTACCTCAAGAGGCTGTCGATTCGGTTTTTAAAAATAAAGTAGCACTCAAGGGTCCCTTGGCTACCCCCATTGGCAAAGGTCATGTCTCAATGAACTTAACCTTAAGAAGAACCTTTAATCTATTTGCCAACGTTAGACCATGCAAATCAATTGTTGGTTACAAAACTCCTTACGATAACGTCGATACTGTTTTAATTAGAGAAAATACCGAAGGTGAATATTCGGGCATTGAACATACAATTGTTCCCGGTGTCGTTCAATCAATCAAATTGATCACCAAACCTGCCTCTGAAAGAGTTATCAAATACGCTTTTGAATACGCTAGACATGTTAACAAACCAAAAATTTTAGTGGTTCATAAAGCCTCAATCATGAAACTTTCCGATGGTTTATTTGTCAATACTGCAAAAGAAGTAGCAAAGGACTACCCAGACGTATCTTTAGATTTTGAATTAATCGATAACACCTGTCTCAAATTAACCACCGATCCAACCCAATACTCCGATGTTGTAATGGTTATGCCCAACTTATACGGCGATATCATGTCAGATTTATCCTCTGGTTTAATTGGTGGTTTGGGCTTAACTCCATCTGGAAATATGGGTAACAATGTTTCCATTTTTGAAGCTGTCCATGGCTCTGCTCCCGATATTGCTGGAATGAATCTTGCTAATCCAACTGCTTTACTATTATCTTCTGTAATGATGTTAAGACACATGTCTTTAGATTTTTATGCCGATAAAATCGAAAAAGCTATTTTACAAACAATTGCTTCTGGTCCAGAAAATAGAACAAAAGATTTAAGAGGTCAAGCTGGTACTGACGAATTTACAAAAAAAATCATTGCTAATTTAGAATAGTTACGTAAAAATCTTAGAAAAAAATATGAATAAAAATAAAAATAAATAAAAATAAATAAAAATAAATAAAAACAAAAAATTTTTAGTACCTTTCTTTTATTCTCTTCATTTTTTTTTTCTTTTTTTCTTTTTTTCTTTTTTCAGTTTTTATTTATTCCCGTTTATTCTATATTTTGTTTTGGTAAATGTATTTTCTTACGCTATATCTCCAATAACTTCCATGACTTGAATTTTATTCTCTTTTCATAAATACCGATCAAAAGTTAATTCCGGTCTCCCAAAGCCGGATATCACGTGATTATCTCTCCTTCTCCATGCATTGTTTTTTAATCTTTTATCTCTTTATCTCTTTAATGTTGCATTGTCTTTTCACTGCGAATCAGCTAGCCAGTTTTATTCATAATGCAATTGTTTGAATGGGCTTTTGGGAAAAAGCTAACACCCCAGGAAAAATTGAGAAAGGTTTGTTTTAAGTTGTTCTTACAACAATGATATCATCATCATTATTATCATCATTGTTATCATCATTTTCTTTATTACTATCATATTGACTGCATACTGACAACATCTAAACATGGATGACTTTATTGCAGAACCAAAGAGCATTGGAACGTACTCAGCGCGAACTAGACAGAGAAAGACAAAAACTAGAAAGACAGGAAAAGACCATAGTGTCTGAGATCAAAAAATCAGCTAAAAATGGCCAGATATCTGCTGCCAGAATCCAAGCAAAGGACTTGGTCAGAACAAAAAACTATATTCAGAAATTCAATAACATGAGAACTCAACTACAAGCCATCTCGTTAAGAATACAGGCTGTCAGAAGCAGCGACCAAATGGCGAACTCAATGAAGGATGCTGCTAGATTGTTAAATGGCATGAACAGATCAATGAACATGCCCCAACTAACAAGGATAGTCATGGAGTTTGAAAAACAAAATGATATTATGGACCAGAGGCAAGAAATGATGGATGACGCTATTGACAACGCCATGGGCGATGATATTGAAGAAGACGAGGAAGAAGTAGACGAAATCGTCAACCAAGTCCTAGATGAAATCGGTGTTGATTTGAATTCAAGTCTACAAAATGCACCAGAAACCATAGCACAAAAGAGCAATCCGTTGTCCAATAATCCAGTTCCTCAAGCCATCGGTGGTGGAATAGGTGATGAGGATGATTTACAAGCGAGATTAGATATTTTAAAACGTCAATAGAGAATGTTCTTATTTTGTTTTTTTAATTTTTCTTTAAATTTATTATGATTTTACTTCTTGATTTTATCTTTTTATCTATTTTTTATTTTTTCCAATTTTTGATCTTTAATTTTTAATTGATTTTACTTCATTTCATTTCAATTCAATTCAATTCATTCCCATTATAAAATCTTGATAATACCATAAATATTGCCATTGAATACACATTAAAAAACAGACTTTTAATTATTTTTTTATTCCATGCTTATATACCCTAACTGTGATGGTTTCTATCTTTTTTCTTTTCAAATCAAAATTCTACTATATTAAATCAGTAATAACTTCAGTATCATCATGAATACTACTAAAAACACCTTCTTCAATAATACCAAATTTATTACCTTCCTCGCCGGTTAGCCATCCTGGGGTTTTGTATGGATTTACTACACCTTTTGTAGCTAGTTCATGCAATCCTGCAAATATATCATTACCCTTGAGTTTTATTTTAAATGAAACTTTACTATTAATATTGTCACCAATATCGTTTTCAATGTTATTGAAATTTTTTTCTTTGATTATATATTCACCATATTGAATTGGAGTTATAGTTGAAAATTCATTTTTATCATAATTTCTTGACTCATCATTAATTTTATTATTTGAAGATACTTTTCTTTTTTTCAATGGTCTAATATCTTCATATAACCTTTGTGATTTTAAAACTTGAGAGCCCTTAAATTTTAACAAAGCAACTTTCCTAATTGTCTCTAATTGTTTATCTTTATCAAATTTGTCATTGTCAGCAGTATTGTTAGAATCCTGATTTTCATCCAAAATTTCATCTTGATTATCATCGATTAATATTTTATTAAACAACATATGATTTTCGGGATTCTGAAAAGGCAATATATCAATTGAATTATCTGCATATCCAGACCATTTTGATAAACTATTGGAAAATCTGCTGATACCATTCAATATGAAAATACTTTCTAAATTTAAAATATTTGACTGATTTATATTATCATTTATTTTAAAATTAATTTTATTAAAATCATTTGATAAGACCATTGAGAATGTTTGTAAAATCAATTTTGATATTAAAGTATCTTGGGATTGAATTTTCAAATTTATATATGAGTGAATAATATTTGTAGAAGAAGTTAATAAACCAATAAAAAAGGGTTTTCTCGATACTAAATTTTCACCCAAATCATTATAACTATTTTTACTATTGTTAATATTTGAAGTATTTTTAATATGAATATTATTTTGTGATAGTTTGAAATCAAATATCTGGACTCTGATTAATATTAAAGGATAGTAAGGATGTCGGCAAATATAAATATGATTCAAATAAAGCTCAGATAATTTTTTTGATAATTTTTTCAATAAAGATTGAAAATTGATTTCAAGAAAATTGAATTCAATTTCATTATTATATTTATCTAATATCTTGGAAGAGGACCAATTTACTGATACTGGTTTGTCAATTATCAATTGACAATCAATTTGTGAAATCTGCAATATATTTAAACCTTTATGCCAATAATTAATCAAGATTTTATCAACCAATTGTTTTTTGTTTAAAGTCATTTTTTTCATATCGTTTTTATTGCCATCATTCTTGTCGTTTTCATTTTTTTTATCATTATTGTCGTTATTTTCAGTATTATTTTGGATTTTGGTGTCAGAAGCATCGTTAAAAATTTCATCAACGCTACTAAAATAACTCAAAGCATTTAATATCAATTGTTTTGGGGTCAAATTATTCAACCTATACTCTTCTTTTGATGATAGTTTTGGTTGAGTTATTAATATTCTACACCATAACTGTGCTAAATCGTTGATTGACTTGGTTGGTAATTTTGCTAAGTTTCTTCTTATTGCTTTTGTTCTAACAGCAGGAATGTAAGAATTAGAAACCACTCCCTTTTGTTTCATTGTAAAAGTGTTAATGTTGGTGATATTGAAGCAATATTTTTGATTGAAAAATTGCATTTTATTTTTGTTTGTTTATCTTGGACCACCTTCTTGAATACAATTTTAAATGTGCAATTACGTGTTGTATGCATATATTTACCGTAACATGAGCAATAATTAAAGTTTGGTAACGTCTGTGAAGTCTAAATATTTGTAGTTTATTCAACATCAAGTCTCTCTTTTTCGAGAATTTGCAGGCATTTTGTAGAACAAAGCTTTTATATTACAAATTATATATTGTTTCAAATTATGTCTTTGAGAATTTTGCAAATTCTAAACACAAAAAGCCAAAGGGTCTCAAAACAAACAACTGTATAACAAATATTTTACAAGTGTTTCAATTGTATCATATAATAAACATTTTTCTCTTTCAAGGATATAATTGAACTGGTATAGCAAAAATATTTTTTTTGTTTGCTAATAATATTAGGAAAAAAGAAATAGTAGAATAAAAAAACATAGAGTAAACACTCCTAAAAAGGGATTGCTATCTCTGTTTATTTTCTATCGAATAGTTTGAATTTTACCACTTTAAAGAATCATATTTCTTATTTCTCGAGGTGAAGAATAAGGGATTAAATTGCTTAAATTTTAATCAATTGTTCAATTAATCAATATGTTCTAAGTAACCATGGCAATTCAGAAAATCAACGTTTAGTCCATATGTTGAATTTTTATTAGAAAAACCTTTCTCATATTGTCTCATTTGTTTAAAACTTATTATGTCATCATAAATACTATTAAACATATTGTTATAACCAGTTGAGTAATGAGAAAGATAGTGTAAGGAATTTAAATTATTAGTATTTTCATTAGTATTTTCATCACTATTTTCATCACTATTTTCATCATTATTTTCATCGGTATTTTTGTTATTAATTTTATCACTATTGTCATTACTAATTTCATCATTATTGTTATTAATATGATTGGTAGGATTATTAAAGCGGTAGTTTTTGTAAATGCTATCATTAACAATAATATTTACATCTGAAATCAGGATATAAACAAAACCATCATCATTGGAGTTAGAGTTTAAAACCTGTATGTCGACAAAGTCGTCTTCTTCGATCTCTTTGAATTCAAAATCGATATAATCTGCCTTCATTTTACCCATTTAATCTTTGAAACCAGCAATAAAAACTCGTTCTATGCAGTGTTAAAATAAAAGCTGGAAAAAACCATTGAGAAGTAGCGAAGAATATATATCGATATATTATAGCATATATATATAGTTAAATGTCCAAAACTGTAATCTTTTATTAAACAAATATGTTTAAAAATCAATCATCACACATTACCTAACAAGCATTGCACTGAACCTGTTACAATAGCATACGTGTTTAATAAGGACCGAATAGTTTTCATAAAACTTAGACTAAAATAGTATTAAAATGGTATTAAAAAGTATGGTTGATTTAATTATAAATTGAAAAGAAAACCTCTTATAATTTAACGGGAGATAAAATTTCTATAAATCAGTGGATTACTGAAAAGACAATTGTAAGATTGTGTGTTTTATTTCTGGTAGCAGAATCAGGAGAAGAGAGATCCTGATTAGTGGCTTGATAGATGTATGCATTTGCATGCGATGAAATGCAGATAAAGGCTGTAAAGAAAGCTAAAACGGGTAATAATTCCCAGAAAAAACTCTTCAGTCTAGATTTGTTTACATCCAACATCCGAAAATCAGATCTACGGTAGTGTGGTTTATAGGCAATTGATAATTTTATGAGGTTTATTATTTCTATTACTATTTATAAATTAAAATTCAATGGACATAAAATAGAAAGTGGTTTAGATGTAAAAATAAAAACTTATAGCAAATAAACAAGATTTCTGTTGATACTAGTTTTAAGATCTCGGCATTTGAAAAAAAAAGCTAAAATTATCATCATCATTATCGCTATTATTTTCATTATTATTATTATTATTATTATTATTATTATTATTATTATTATTATTATTATTATTATTATTATTATTATTATTATTATCATAAGTACTATCGGTATTGTCATAATTATCATAATCATTTGATAAGTCATTATTATTGAATAAAAAGTTATGATTTTGAATATCATTTATGCTTTGCATGTGAAGAAAAGCTTTATGTTTTACAGACTTCATTTTCACATTTTCGATATTATTTAGAACAGAAATGGGGTTATCATAAAGTTTAAGGGAATTTAAGTAATAATATTTTTCCATTAAAAATTGCATTGAGTAATCTACATTATTTGGTGAGTCTTCTGGATTATTTCCTGGCCGAGCTGTATTATTTGAAGCGGGATGGTTGATATTAAAACCTACTGATTCATTATCAGTAATGAGGCCTGGGTTTTTTTTGTCATTATTATTATAAAGTTGTTTTTGGAGTTGTTTTTGGTGTCTTTTTTGCAATTTTATTTGCTTTTTATATGATTTAGATGAGGAAGAACCCATGATTGGAAGAAAAATAAAAAATAAAAAAGAAAAAATAAAAGTAGGAGTTGAACGACCAATATTGATTATGATTGTGGTTCTGATCAAGATAATTTTGATATACTTATATATATATATATTTGTATCAATTATGAATTGATAAATGATTATGAGAAAAGAAAATTGATTTCAGCGTTGTAGAAGAAATTGGTTATTTTTTCTATTAACTATGTTTGAAATGTGTTTTTTTTTGTTTTTTTTGGCTAATCAACTCATTAAACAGTTTTCAAACTTTCAAAAAACCCGAAAAAACCAATATGTTTACAGTAAATGTATTTGCCTCCATGAATTGGGGAAATAGATCACTACAATTATATTGCTGGATGGGCATAGGATTGAAAGGTTTGTGTCAGAATTTCAATAAATCAATTTATTTGAATTCGTAACTCGATTATTTCTAAAAGTTGGCGATAACCGACGGATCCTCGTTTCGATATAGGTGAAGATAAACCTCTATTAACCGGAACACTTAAAGGGTCTTCCCATACTCCTTCCAAAAAGAAAAGAAAAGAAAAGAAAACAGAAACACATGTAATATTGTCAATTTAAATTGAAATGTGAAAATTGAGTTTGGCATTTTCTCTTAAAAGTAGAAAAGTCTATACAATTTGTAGAGTAATTTTTTTGACATATAACTAGTATGTTGCTAGGCGATTGTTGCTGCAATTACAGCTTGATTAGCAGTCGCTGAATTAGGAAAGGCCATTTAATCAATTTTTGGGTGGTTCAAGTAAAAACAACTGGCAATGGCAAAGTGATGGCAACAGCACTCCAGCTCCAGACCTGAGATGCTCGTCGACTGTCGTTTGTTAGCGAGGTGCTCGTGTGGTTCTGAGCAGAACCACCCTCAGCAGCACCAGGCTGGCTTCGTATAGCTCGCAGAGTCTGCTGCTGTTTCTTCAAAGCGAGTCGACGAGGCAAACAGATGCCAAAGCCCAAGCTGAACATTCTCTTCGTGTTCTGCTTTTTGTGCTGGAAAAGAGTCGATTTTCCTCATCCAGCACCTCCAGCGTTGTGCCGGACACCCCCCTCGTGGAGCAGCCGAGAGTTCGCTATTCCGCGAAAAACAGGCCTCTGCATCACACAACAGAGGCCAGATTATCGCCACAGCACGATAACCGGTGCTCGAAACAAGGGCTATCCGGAAAGCAGCAACAGGCGTGGAGGTTCCAGCTGAACAGAGGAAGAAGAGAGTATTTACCAATTCCAATCGACAGCGAGAAAAAGATTCAGGAAAGTTGTTCTAAGAGAATTGTCTCGTTTAACCACTTCTTCACGTAGTTTGCTGAAAAATCCAGTGAGAAACTCGCTTTTTGATCTGGTATAAGTTCTGCTGGTGCCCAATAAAGTTGTTTGGGTCCTTTACCACTTTTATATCTTTCCCTTTTACGTCGCAGCATATAACCAGCATAGTTAGCATATTATTGTCATTCTCATTGTCATTCTCATAATCATATCATAATCATATCATAATCATAACCATAATCATAACCATAATTATAATCATAATCATAATACGCTTTTTGTTATCTAATATATGAAATAACTTCTCTTTGTTTCTTTATTCGTAATACCACTTTCATCTGCCTACATTTTCTTTATTCCTGCTTCTATTTGGTAGTCTTTTTGTGCTTTATCCATTTTTGTTAATTTGCTAGTAACTAAACCATCGTACTTTGACCTGCTCCAATATAGTCCTATAAGTATACTGTCTTAATGCTGGGTGATAATACAAAAGATTCCCAGTCAGAGACCCCATTGACTGCTCCCACTTCAGATGCCATTCCATCTCCTAAAAACGTCAATGGTTCTAATTTAGAAAAGCCAGACAAGTTAAAGAAAAAAGAACTATTAGAAAAATTAGAGAAACCAGAGAAATCAGAAAAATTAGACAAATTAAACAAATCAGAAACACCAGAAACACCAGAAACACCAGAAAATAACTCTGCTAAAAAGCCTCTCTCTCCCAACAAACCACAGCTTAAATCAACCACCACGAACACTACTAATGGAACCAGTGGCATTAATGGCAACTCCAAATCAAATGGTGTTTCCAAACCAAACCTCAATCGAAAACCTTCCCCTATAAACTCAAAACCAACCCCAACACCTAGAAGACTTTCCACAACATCCCTAAAAATGTCTCCCACAAGATCTTTTCGTAGAGACATAACTCCTCCCAATATCACTACAACCTCGAGACGAAATTCCATTACTCCTCCCAAATCTACTACGATTTCGAGAAGAAATTCCATAACTCCTCCTAAGATCACTACAACCTCGAGAAGAAATTCCATTACACCACCCACATCTCAACCCAATTCAAAATCTCCAACTACAAAGACTAGTCCTGCTTCTACAAATAATAATTCTCGTGTATCTCCTCCTCCCGTACAAAGAAGAGGTTCAAAAAGCTCAACAAAACCCACCCAGCAACCCATTTCAAGGAGAAACTCAAGAGTAACTCCTCCTCCAAGACTCTCCAGAGTTCCTTCCTCTTCTTCCAGAGTTATTCCTTCTCCAAGAAGACAATCTCCTCCCTCACCTCCTAAAAATCATAGAGTTTCGCCCCCTCTTAAAATATCAAGACCTACTACTCCATCCGTAACCTCTATAAGATCATCTAGCAAACTCGTCTCTAAATCTTCCCCAGTTTCAAACTCTAAAACACAACAAATAAAAACGGTTTCAAAGCCAATACCAAAATTGTCAAAACCAACTACAACACCTCAAACAAAACCAGTTTCGAAACCAATCTCAAAACCAATCTCAAAACTTCCAACAAAACCAGTCCCAAAACCACCAATAAAATCACAATCAACCGCTAAATCAAATCCAAACTCAAAAATTCAGTCTAAATCAAGTCCCAAGAAAAATGAAATCACAGGTTTTGATAGATTGAACCATGTCCAAAATTCCATCTCTAATCCATTCGATGAGGATGATGAAGCTACAAATCAATTAGATAACACTTTATTGCCCAATAAAATCATCAAAAATCAACCAATTGCTCATTCTGCAAACATTCCTAGAATAAAAAACACTTATACTAAAAATAATACTACTGCTAATAATAATAAAAATAATACCAAAAATAATACCAAAAATAATATTAATAGAAAATTCGATAGCTATGCTCATGAAGAAGAGACTATTGGTCTTTTATCAAACGCTGTCGAGGATTCCTCAAGAGGAAGAGGAAGATCACTAATGGTTCATCATACTCCCCAAAGATCTCGTTCTATTATGTCTCTAGAAATTATTGGAAGATGGACAAGAGAAATATCTGCAAAATTCCCCAGATGGTACGTTTCTCCAAAAAATATCGAAGGCACTCCTAATGAAATTCAATATTCTGTATTCAAACCTTCTCCTTATATCAAACCTATAAAGCATTTGCCCCCTGAGGGTTTTGAAAATAATGGCCCAATTAAAAAAATTGATTTTACCCAAATTGTTGAAAACTCAATTGAAGCAATTGAAAAATTGGGCTATGAACCAAAAAGAATTTCTGCTGGTTCTTCTGGTAGTTACTTTATTTACAATACTGACCACAAAATTGTTGGAGTCTTCAAACCAAAAGATGAAGAACCTTATGGTCCTTTGTCTCCAAAATGGACAAAATGGATCCATAGAAATTTATTTCCTTGTTTCTTCGGTAGAAGTTGTCTTATTCCAAACTTGGGTTATATTTGTGAAGCATCTGCCTCCCTATTAGATCGACAATTACAATCATTTATTGTTCCTTATACTGATACCGTTTTTATGTCCTCTGATTGTTTTTACTACCCTTATTTCACAAAGAGAAAACATTTAAAGAATAACAACGCATTGCCCAAAAAAGTAGGTTCTTTTCAATTGTTTTTAAATGGTTACTTGGAAGCTGATCAGTTTTTCAAAAAATATCCACTTCCTGGCACTGAAAGAGGTGGCTGGGGCATATTACCTTTTGCTCCATCTGTAACAGAAGTTTCACCGGTCACCGCTGCTAGTACAACTGCAAATTCTCTTGAAATTCTGGATTCAAATGCTTCTGTTATTGATGAATCTCATGATGATCAATTAATTTCAAATTTAACCGATAATTTTACACTTTATTCAGATGATCTGGATCAAGATCCTGAATTTCAATGGTCACCAGAAGTTCTTCAACAATTTGTTGAAGAATTGGAAAAACTAGTAATCTTAGATTATATTATGAGAAATACAGACAGAGGTTTGGATAACTGGATGATTAAAGCCGAATGGGAAACTGTTATAGATAATTCACCTATTGACACAACCAGTGAGGTAAATGAAGAAAATATTGTTAGATATAAGAAAGTTCCGAGACTTAGAATCGGTGCTATTGATTCTGGTCTAGCTTTTCCATGGAAACACCCTGATGAATGGAGATCCTATCCCTTTGGTTGGTTATTTCTTCCAATTTCCATAATTGGTAGACCATTTTCTGAAAGATCTCGTCAACATTATTTAAGATTATTAACTTCCACAGCATGGTGGGAAGAAACTGCTCTTCTATTTAGACAAATGTTTGCTAGAGATTCGGATTTCAAAGAAAGAATGTGGAAAAAACAATGGGCAGTCATCAAAGGCCAGGCATTTAATGTTGTTGAAACTTTAAAATGCCCTGAACAAGGTCCATTAGAATTGGCAAGGAGGACTAGAGTCATGATTTGGGATGATGAAATGGATGTTCCAGTTCATGTTCCAATTAATATTGTCTCAGGAAATAGTGAATATGGTTCAACAGATGCATCTGCAGATTCAAACAATCCCGCTATAAATTCTCTTAAAGATAATATTAGATATCAAAACTCACCGGTTCATCAAGCAATGATGCAAAAAAGTTCAGATATTGAAACAATCCCTGAAGGTGATGCTGCTTCTATTGTTGATATCTCAAATAAATCTAAACCTATTAAGGAAAATCCATTTGATGATAAAAATGCTCTTAAAAGCTCAGTAAAGAAGGAGACCTCCAAACCCGCTGTTCAAAATAATAAACAAAACATAAAAACAAAATCCAGTGATAATACTAAACTTTTGTCGAAAAATAGACAGACTAGATCTAAACCTGTTCAAAACAGATATCCTAATACAACAAATAATAGAATAACTAGAAAATCAAGAACTGGTCCATACACATTGAATAAGAAAAAACAACCAAATAAGAAAAATATTAAGGAAAATCAAAAAATCAATGAAAACGAAATTGGTTTATCATTTGCTCAGGATAATCCAGCAACAAAAAGAGTTATTATTGAAAGATTAGAAACAGTTACATCAAAACCTCCAGTTTTTACATGGTGTTAGTCAAGAATTGAGATAAATTAGTTTTCTTTTATTTTTATATTTATTTATTTTATTAGAAAGATTTGTTTGTTTTTATTTTTAGAAAAATTATGGATATTTTTTAGGCAATTTTTATTGTTATATTTTGTTACATTTTTTTCTCAGTTTGTTTTATTTTTTATTTTTTTTCGCTTTAAAAGGCATTTTTCCTTGATACTTATTTTTTAATTGATTATTTTTATTTAGCTAAGCATATAATTTTTTAATGGAATTAATACAAAATATATATACTACGAATGTTAAATAAATTCAGAGAAGCAAAAAAATTCTTATATTTATATTTATAGTTTGCAAATGAAATGAAATGAAATGTAATATATGATATAGCTAGAAAATGAAATAATTTTTGATGCAATATACAATATTTCAAATAAAAATAATATTATAAAGAAATAAAATGAAATGAGAAATTAACAAAAAATTTTTTAAAAACACATAAGTAATGAAGTATAATATAATATAAGAATATAGTATAATTTTGTATCTTAATTTATTTTTCAGTTGCTTGGATTTCTTGATGGTAATGATTTGAAAACACGTTTTAGAATATTTCTTAATTTGAATAAATTAGTTACACAAAGTCTCTCATTATTGAGATGTGCATTATCGGAAGATTGGCCACAAGGAATTTGTGCTGCTGGAGCATTGAAATATTTTTCTAGGAAACGAACAGAAGGAATCGAGCCACCTTCTCTAATGTATAATGGTTTGATTTTCCATTCTCTTTCAATTTCTCTATCAAGAATTTTAAAAGAATCATTATTTGGATCGCCTAACCATGGTTCGGACTCGTGTAATATTTTGATATCCAATTCGTTGGATGAATTCAACTTGTTATAAGAGTTTTTCAAATAAGAAATTAGATTTTTTTTAATTTCTGTTATATCTTGTTCTGGAACAACACGTAGGGATAATGAGGCTTCAACTCTTTGAGGTATAATAGTGGAATTGCCAGGACCAGAAAACTGAATGTTATGAACAGTTAAAGAAGGGAACCTCCATTTTTTCATTAGAGTTTCAATATCAAAATCAATTTGAGCTCTTTTAACAATATTTTCATAAAATGATTTTTCATCTTGTGTAACAGGTTTTATAGGATCATAAAAGTTTGGAATTAAAATTTTGTTATTATTATCATCAGAAGTTAGTTTTGATAATAGATTAATCAAATCCATTGCAGGTTCTCTAGATACACCACCATCCACACCAGAGTGTCTATCAGGTTTGTCGCTTGATATGGAGATAGAAGCACTGATAACGCCTCTTAAACCATAATTAAGACAAGGAGTGGTATCATCTAGCCAGTAAGAATTGGATAATAAGATCCAGTCGATATTACCAATTAATTCTTTATTTTGTTGGATTACGTTTTGGAACCCAAATGATCCACATTCTTCTTCACCCTCGATTATAAAGACGACATCTGAATGTAACTGGCCTAACTGAACTAGTTCAGCGACGGAATAGATAGCAGACAATAAGGGGCCTTTATTGTCAGTCACACCTCTACCGTATAAATAGCCATCTTGAGCTGTTAGCTCAAATGGATCTGTTTCCCAACCGTTCTCTTTATTGGCCTCAATAACATCATAATGACCATACCATAATATTCTAGGAGTATTATTAATATTATCTTGAGTTTTTGCATTCAAGTCTTTGTTAGTTAGAATTTTATTCTTTTTGGCAGCTTTAAAACAACCATAGACAATTGGGTTACCATCTGGCAAAGGAATTAATTTTGATTTTGCCCCAAATTTTTTAAGTAAATTCATTAAAAAAATGGCGCAATTCCTGGAATCTTGAATAAATAATTCTGGGTTTTTTGAGACTGTTTTAAAAGATACAAAATATGTCAAAAGTTCCAATAAATGATTGTTGGTTAGAGCATTTTTTAACAGCAAAAGATTTTCCAATTTTTTTTTTTTTTTGACAAGAGTATTCTCAATACTATTTAAATCATTTTGAATATTAGAATCGTGATAATCAAAGTTAGGTTCTTCGGGGTTTATATTTAGGTTTGGATTTGAGTTTGAATTGATAAGAGAAATCAAAGAAGAAGAATTATCACCATCGAGATTCCAAATAGCTACTGAGGCATCATTTGCAGCTGTGATTAGATAAGATTGGTTATTTCTTTTCATGACTTCGATACTTAAAACTCTGGTATCGTGTGCGATCCATTTATTGTTTGGGTTGATGTTGGTAAGAGTGTTGCTGTTATCTGGGGAAGCAAATGAGGATAAGTCATATTTTGTTAGACCTAAATCAGTGCCTTTGAATAAACAGTTGTTATAAACAGCTAGAGACATGATGTCGCCTTCTTTTTCATTTTTCAAGTATTGGATTAATTGTAAAGTAGACAAATCCCATATTTTGATTTGGCCATTTGTTAAACCGCAATAGAGAAAGGAGGAGTTTTTGTAAAAAGATAAGACGCTATCTTTGTTATCTAGGGAGAAAAGAAAGTTGATGGGACTTTTCTTTTGATTTGAGGATTTGCTATTCGAGGGATGTTTGGATAAAGACCAGAATTTGATTAAACCATCACCACCACCGGAGATTAGGATCTCGTCAAAGGGTTTGTCTGTGTTTAAATCTATGTTTGAGAATTCATCTTTGGAGTAAGTTTGCAAAGAGTAGACAAAACCATTGTGCGCATATGGAATTATGTTTTTTGATGGAACCTCAATTAAGCTGTTACCGTTAGCATCAACAGTGATATCGATTGAAGAGGGAGAAACAGATAGAGGAGGAGATGATGAAGATGAGGGACTGTTGCTGTTGTTGTTGTTATTATTTGTGTTGAGGGTGCTGGTGCTACCATTGTTAAAATTGATGTTAGATGAGCTTAACAAGCTTTTATTTGGTAAGCCAGTTGGACCCTTGGAATCAAAAAATTTATCAAAACGATTTAAAGGTAAAAACGAGGGATCGTTTTTAGGTAAAGTTTGAGATAAGTGGACGTATAAAATTGAAGCATTTTGGCAACCAAAGAAAATTGTGTTTAAAGATGGAGACCAGGAAACACTAAAGATATCACCGACGTCAATTAAAGAATAGATTGTAATGGAGTTGTTATAATTCAACGATGGAGAGTCTAGAATAATTGGCAAATTCCAGATTTTAATTAAGGAGTCAGAGGCAGAAGAAATTAAGAATTTTGAATCCTTTGATAGAGATAAAGATAAAATAGAGCTGTAATGGCCAAGTAAGATTTTGATTAAATTGAAAGAATTTAGATCAAAAATTAGGATTTTGGAGTCCTGGGTTCCACAAATCAAGATGTTATTAATAGGATCAGATTTTATTGATAAAATTGAAAAATTGTGGTGCCATTTATGAATTAAAGAAGGGATTTTGCAGCCACCATTGATAGTATTTGTGTTATTGTAATTTTTGTAGTTGTTGTAGTTGTTGTAATTGTTGTAATTGTTGTTAAAAATTGAAGAGTTGTTGGAATGAATAGACAAATTTGAAAAGGAATTATTCATCTGAGTGTATGGGGCATTGTTTAACTCGTAAGCGTCATTGGCAGTGTTGTTATAATTGGAATTGTTTATTTGACTGTTACTGTTGTTGTTGGATTGATTTTTGTAAGTCAAAGGCAAATGACGACTGGTTAGGACAGTGGGAGTAGCACTGATTTCAGGTAATCTTTTCTTCCTTAAGTTGTCAGTTATGGTGTTGTTGTCTTGACTAATTAGCGAAACAGTCATCTTGTCCAACTCCTTGTTAACCTCTTTGTTGTACTCTTGACCAAACAGTCCGCTGAAGTCGACGTCCAGGAATTCGTTATCAGGAAGATCTTTGTCGTTGTTGCTGCTCATTTGGCTGAATAAATATGTGGGTTTAAAAGCAGATACTCAGGTATTTATACCAAAAGCAGGATGGTTGGGGATGTTGCAAATGACTAATAGCAGGGGAAGACAGATAGAGGAATGTCTTGAATATTTCAATGGAATATGAAAAAAGTGTCTGGATTATGGCAAATAAAATTGGGTATATAGATGAAGCAATTCACGTCCAATAAAGTGTGAAAATGTCAACTGGAGGTAAAAAATATTTATTTTTTGCTTCACAGATTTTTTGTTCTTTCCATCCGAATGAGAACAAAAAGGTGGAAATGATGCGATCCGCAGCCACGCAGCCCCACGCAGCCCCACGCAGCCCCACGCATTCGCCTGTGACTCATATGGTCACGTTACAGACGCACTCCCTCTCTCTTTCGCGGCGGAACGGCTCAGCTCTTGGCGGGGTTAATGCACGTGCACTGCCGCACACGGCTGCAGTATGTGCTGCTGCCACCATTCCGGATGCCATGTGCTGTTCGGCAGTGTGTTTGGTACTGCTCGAGCGGCGGCTATTATGTGTCCCGATCTGTGCAAAGATATAATAGCAGTGGGAGCGTGTTTTTGTTTGGCCTCTGGATGCTGGATGAGCAATGGCTTACTACAGACTCAGCTTTCGCAGCAGAAAGCTCCTATATCTGGTGGTCTTGTTGGCTGTAGCGACACTACTCTACCAGCTGTTTTGCCTCTGGTTCAGAGATTCTCGAAACACAGATCACTTATTTGGGAACCATACCAGCGATGGCCGTAATGGCCCTGCTTATGAGAGAGAGATAAAGTTGGAGAAATTCAGTCTGATTTCTGTTGTTTATGAATCCATTTTAAATGATTACTCGTTGTCTCAGTTTTTAGGTCTACCCCATAACCAAAAGTGCAACTTGTATTTCAATACGTTAACTAAGAATAACGTCGATTGGAAGTTTTTCAATTACTCAAGTGCAATCCCTTTAAATGATTCCATTACTCATTCGGACTATAGTTATCAAAAATCGATATACAATGGACTATCAAACTACGTTAATGAGAACTTGAATGACAGCGAATCTGATAACAAGGAAAAAATCAAACAGCTTGAATCACAGTATGACAAAATATTGGATAATAATAACAGAATTGAAAAAAGAATGGTTGATTCAATTAACCACTTGAGAATATTTGCCAATTGTTATTTAAATCCAAATTTCCAAAATTCGAAACTCAATAAACCTCAAGCTAGAACTATCAAGTCTCTAAATATTCTAAATCACAAAGATGTTCAATTATTATCAACCAAATCAACCAAAAACATTCAACCGCATTTATTCAAAACCACTGATTCAACAAATACAAATTGTTCAATAATTGAATCAAACTTATTTCCCTGGTTTTCAAAAATCTTACCAACTTATACAAGATGGACAAATCAATCCACACCTATTAATCAATTGCCTAAAATCGACGATTACTTGCCAAACAACAATCTATTTAATATCGAAGATCAGCTCCGTTTCAATTACAACTACAATTTATCTTCATTCAACACTTATGCTTATTATGCTCTGATAAATTTAGATCCCTTGGTTGATAATTCCTACCAGCAATCTGATCTAAACACTCCCAATACAAATGATATAAATATCTTTAACGAAAATGATACAAAAATTTTTAATGAAAATGATATATATACTGCTAATGAAAGCGATCAAAAAAATGAAAAGACTGGCATCTTGAATAATTTATACAAAAATGTCTACGACATGAACTATTACAGCAAAATTAAAATATTTAATGACAACACTCACGACAACAATAACGATAACATCAAAATAAATAATAAATTTGATTCCTGTATAATGAATCACTTAAAAAACTCCTTAAATGGCAAGGGCATTGCATTATCTGCTTCGGACGAACATTTAGATCAAATTATCAGTTTAATAGTTCTATTAAGAACTTTAGACAACAATTTACCTATCCAAATTGTTCACAAAGGTGATTTGTCTCAGCAAAGTATAACCAAAATTATTAAAATCTCAAGAGATTTATCAAATACATATTTAATATCCAAAAAAAATTTATCAACTTATAACTCCCTAATAAATTATTTGAAAAATTTACTACTTGAAATTCAAAATAATGATGAAACCCCTCAACAAGAAAAAAACAACCTATATAATTTACTTTTAAAATCAGTTCAAAGATTTAATGTTAAAACGATTCTACCTCCTCAAGAGGTTTGGTTTGTTGATGTTTCAAATTCAATTGATCCCAACTATAAAGGCTACTATAAAAAATTTTCTAACAAAATGCTAGCTTATTTTTTCTCGTCATTTAAACATGTCTTATTGATGGACGTCGATACTGTCCCATTAATCAATCCAATTTTCTTCTTTAACCATAAATATTACTCAAATAGTTTTAAAAACAATCAAGCCTTTTTTTTCAAAGATAGAGAAACTGAAGATAAACATGATATATCCGACTCATTTTTTTACAAAAAACTAATGCCCAACAAAATAGACCAGCTTTTATTTGATATTCCACCAGTGTCAAATTTTACATTAAATAACCATTTTTTACACGATGATAAAAATTGGCATTTTTTCATGGAAGCCGGAATAGTCTCAATTAATAAAAAAAAACATTTTTTGGGAGCATTAGCTTCAATGCAATTATTATTCTGGGAACCTGCTTATGTAAGAGCTCATGGCGATAAAGAATTATATTGGTTAGGTTTATCAATAGCTGGCGATGAAAGTTATAATTTTAATAATAAAGCTGCAGGAGGTGTTGGTTCACTAGATATGAATTTTAAAAGCGCCAACTCCAAAAAACTATGTTCAATTCATCCTGCTCATGTTTGGGGAGGTTTTAGTAATAGTTTTAATAATTTTAATAGTGAGCAGCATTATGATGATCATGATGATTATGAAAATGAGATTTATTACAATGCAATTAATGATAATCTTTATGATAATTACAATGACATTGAAGAAAATAGATTATTATGGGTTAATTCTGGGTTTCAAAATTGTAAAAAAGATGGAGCATGGGAAAAAGATATTGAAAAAGATGAGTTTAAAGATAATTTTAAAGATTCTAATGAATTGAAGAAATTTTATTTTAATTCAATTAAAATTGAGAATTTAATTATACCACCTAGCCCAGATGAGTATCTTCAAGTAAGAAAATCTCAAAAGTTTCAAGATAATAAAATTGAAAACGAGCCAAATAAGGGATGGGTCAAAAGTGATACTTGCGATAGTTATGTTTGGTGCACATTTGATAAGGTTGATGGAATCAGCGAAGGTATTAGTATTGAGTTTGACAATTTATCAAGGCTTTATTTTAATTTTTTGGGAGAAATATGGCAGTGTGGTAAGGATTTTGCAATTGAGAAGTTTTTGAATGATAGCTAAAACTGGATATATATAAATATATATTACAAATTAATAGTATTATATAAAAATTTGTGTAGAAGTAAAAAAGAAAAAAAAAGAAAAAACCAATTAAATAATAACTAAAATTATAATTTGAAAATTGAAAAAACTTTGATAAGATTAAGAATTAATAATAATAGTTATAATGATAAGTGATAAGTGATAAGTGATAAGTAATAATTTAATTTTTTACAAGTTAGCAAAAAAGTAGGGTTGGGATTGAAATTGAAATCGTAACAGATTGAAATGGATTCCGAATAAATAAATAAATAAAATAAATAGATAAATAAATAGATAAATAAATAGATAAATAAATAGAATAATTGAAAGATAAAAAGATGAAACCAAGAATCAAAGGAAAAAAATAAGAAAAGAAAAAAAAAAACTTAGTATAAGACTCATTAAGTTACAACCAATAGAAACTAAAGAAGAAAAATAAAGTAGTATCATTAAGGGAATAAAAGAAGAGAGAAAAAAGTGTAAGCAGACAAAAAAAGAGATAAAAGTAACTTTAACATCAAGGAATAGATTGACAAAAACTGACCAAAAAAACAAATTTAAAAAAATTTAAAGATTTTAATAAAATTTAAAAAAAAAAATAGAAGTAAACAATTGGAAGCCCTAAAAAAATAATAAATTTAAATTAAATTAAATTAAAATCTTAAAGAACAAGATGCTTAATAAATAAAGATAAGGAGTGGTATGCATAATAAATAAGATTATGCATAATAAATAAGATTATGTATAAGAGAAATGATTATGGGATATTGGATGAATAAGTGATTGAATAAATTGATGAATAAGTGATTGAATAAATTGATGAATAATTGAATAATGAAGTGATTTGGAGGTCGGGTGATTGAATAAATTATTGAGGAATTAATTAGTGATGAATGAATAAATTATTTATCATTTTCATAGAATTCTATGTTCATTTCAAAATAAACACAACTGATTCTTGGGAATTCATTATTATCATCATCAGAGGATAATTCTTGGAATTGGTTATTTAATATAGAGTTGTTAGGTAATCTGAAAATATTTTGAATAATTCTTTCAACAGATCTTGTCGATAAGGTTCTAAATTCTCCGGTGATTTCATCGTCTGTTATATTTAGTGTGTCTAAACCGTTTATTGTGTTTGAGTTAGAGTGGAAGTGTGGATTTGTGTTTGCATTTGCGTTTGAATTTGTGATTGAATTTGAATTTGAATTTGAATTTGTATTTTCATTTTCATTTGACGAGGTGGCAGTGGGAGTAGTAGAAGAGGTGTTATTAAGATTGTGGACATGAATGTTTTCGTTGTTATTTATATAGTTGTTTGTAATATTTATTGATTGGTTGTTGAAGTTATTTATTGAATTTGAATCGAACTGGAAATGGTTAATTGTTGAGTTTGACTGAGATATAGTTGAAAAGGAGTTTTGAAAAATGGAAGACAGTTCATTATTATGATTATTGATTATATTTTCAATACCATTGTTGGTGTTATTTGGGATTGAAAAATCGTAAATTGAATTATTCAATATACTTGAGTTATCTGAAATAATTAAATTGTTATTATTAGTGCTATTGTTATTATTAGTGCTATTGTTATTATTGTTATTATTGGTATTATTGTTAGGATTACTTAGAATATTAGAAGAAACTAGGCTGAATTCATTTAGAGTGCTATTACTTTCTCTTTTATTGTCATTATCATCGTTTTGATCAATATCGTCTATATCGTTTATATTGCGAATGAAATCAATACGGTCAGCAGTATTTATGGGATTAACATTGGGGTGAATATTGGTATCATTATTACGGGTCTGGCTGTGGTTGTTGATATTAATATTGATGTTTGTATCGAGAGTGGCATTAGAGTTATTCAAGTGAATATCTCGAGCAGCAGAAGACTTATTTTGAGAAGAAAACTTCTTAATGAAGGAGTGAAGTAGAGAAGAATGGAGACTGGAGAATCTCTTCTTGATCTGCTTCTTGAGCTTTTTGTTTGGAACATGGTCGTGGTTGGGGTTGTGGGAGAGGGCAGTGTCGTTGAGGTGAGGTGAGGTGGAGGAGTGGTGGAGCGAGGAAGCCAGATTCAAGAGCTTGGACTTGAAAGAAGATATTCTTCTGGTGCTGCGTTGCTTCATTTGGGATGTGGACTAGGGAGAATAGCAGATGGATAGCTCGAAATAGCCAGATACAGGAGACAGGAGAGTAGCAGAGGCAGCAGAAGCAACAGACAAGATAAAAGAAAGAGCAAAACCTGCCAGAAAAGACATCGTTATCTGAAAAGAAAGGAGCATCACGTGAAAATGCTCGTGACCTGTACATGTGGCTCCCAAAAGAGAGCATGAGTGGCGGGGTATGGCGGTGTATTGCATAGTATATAGGCGGCTATTGGGCGAGTGTTTTTGGGGCGTGGAAGCGGATGGCGGTGCTGAGGCGCCTGTGATGGTGTTTTTTGCAGCGGGCAAAGTGGCTGAGACACTTGATGTGGGGACCAGCAGTGCGGGTGTGGCTGGTGCTGCCTGTGTCCACGTGTGAGCAGCAGCAGAAGCAGTTGTTGAGGCGTCTTTCGAGAATGTGGACGTCGTCGTTGTCCTCGTTGACCTTGAGAAACCCGGCAAGATTGTTGTTGGAGCTGTTGTAGCTGTAGTTGTAGTTGTAGTCGTCTACGTCGTTGTTTATGAGCAAACAGGCGTCAATTGGGGTGTTGAGTAACGACTCGGGCTTTTTGTTTGTGCTGGTGCAGCTGGTGTTGAGGCTTAACTTGTTGTCCTTCGGAGGGATGGAATTGTGGGTGTTGGTGGTTGTGCTGTAGTTGGTGTTGATAGTGTTAGTGCTGTTGAAGCTGTTGAAGCTGTCAAGACTGTTTATGCTGTTGAAACTGTAAACAGTGTTATTACTTGTAATACTGTTGGAGCTTTTGAGGCTAATTGAATCAGAGTCACTCTCAAATTCACTAGCATTATTATTATTATTATTATTACTACTGTTATTATTAATATTGTTATTACTATTGTTATTATGAATTGGTAAGGAGTAGTGTCTTGAAAGTGGTTTATTATTTAGTTGATATTTGGTTTCAAACGCAATTAAATATTTATTATTAGCAAAATTGTGGTTGTAGATGTTGGGTAGAGTATGGCATCTTTTCTTGTTTAATTGATTATCGATCATTTTCAAAAACAAATAAATAAAACGGAATATAATATAACAGAAAATGAAAATGAAATGAAAATGGAAAATGAAAAATGAAAAGTACAAAATACAATAATTAGGAAACAGGAAATATAAATTGAAAACCAGACAGAGATAAGATAACCAGGGAGATTCGAAATTATTTATACAATTTTCTTTGCTTTTCCTTTTAGTCTTTCCTCTCTAATCTTCATTCCCAACTTCTCGCCTTTTTCCTACTAACATCACTCGCTCTAGTATCAAATCTAAATTTGGGTTTCTGGTAAACAAAGATTCCACTGCCAACTTTATATCCAACGCTCCAATTCTCGTCGCTTCTCTCCAGCTCTATTCCAGCATTCAACACTCAACCATCCCATTTATCTAATTCACTCTGCTTCAAGCTCCCATACACTTTCCACTTTCTGTCAACGTTATTCCATTACACGTCCTTATTCACTTATACCTTCCTCCTCAATAACAACGCAAAACAAGCGCAGAACAAGCGCTGCAAATCTCCCTGCTGATGCTGGTGGGGGTCTCAAGCAATTACGGCAGCTTTCCAACTCTCCTCCTCCTAAAAGCAATTAAAAGAAACAAAATCTCTGTCAATCTTGCTCCTACTCAGTTGCTATTTTCCTTCTCTTATCGTCCGCAAGCTCAAGCTTAAACTCTCAGCCTTACAAAAACACATCCATGCTGCTGATCAACCCATAGCTAGGGAGTCGCGTGGGAATGCGTCACAATGCATCAATACTATCGTTATCTCTGCACATATTTTCCATCTTATTTATTATTTACTATTTACTATTTACAATTCAATTCAATTCAATTCATATTTATGTTCCAAAGTAAAAAGTGTCAACAAACCTCGTCTTGAACCACCAACTATTGTCGTTTTCCTCTCCAAACTTTACTGCTTCCTCTTCTTTTCCTTCTGCTTCAGAGCCCTCGGACTCTTCAAACTCTTTCGCAATCGACCCCATTTTGCCCACCACTAAATAAACTTGAGGAAAAGCATTGAAGATTCTTCGAATTCCAATCTCGCTCGACAAATACGTCACCACAATGATATCCTCCAACTCAATTCCATGGTCAATTAACACTTGAATTGCCATGATTATACCTGCTCCACTGATAATCTGCGCATCCATTAAAAAATACTTTCTTTTCTTCTTTATTCCATCCTTTTCCTCAAAAGTTTTCTGTATTTTACTTATATTCTCAAAGTGCAACTTGGGCTCTCCAGTTTTAGAATCGGATTGAATTAATAATTCCCCAATCTTAATATCCGGTATATTCTTTTTTAATGAATTAAGAAAACAATCCCCGGATCTTAAGATTTTAATACAAACAACCTCACTGCTTAACTCTAACCTATGGTTTATTATCTTTCCATCATCATCATCATCATCATCATCATCATCATCATCATCATCATCATCATCATCATCATCATCATTATCATTATCAATCTCATACTCAATCAACTCCATAGCTTTATTAATCAATAAATTAGCTATTCTGTCAAAATAGAATATAAACTCATCTCGGCTAGTTTTCTTATTAATCAATATACTATGAATACATAGATTTTGGTTATTTTTATCCAATTTAATCAATCTCTTCTTCTTTTCATTCACATTGCTGCTACTATTATTGTCAAATTTAATTCCCAAATTTCTTAAATGTTTTAAATGCTCTCTTGATTTTAAACCCAATTGTCTATCAATATGCTCTATCATCATCTTTATCGAATTGAAATTATACTTGTTATCACTATTATCACTTCCCATCGGTATTACTATATTCGCATTACTAATCGTAGGCTTGATGTATCGTTCACTATTCGGTTTAACAAACTTATTCCATTGTTTAATCGCCCCTTTCAAATCCCTCCCACGATACAATATATCTCGATTCAACCTTCTCGCAAGACAAATATCTAAATCCGTATCAACATAAACTTTTAAATTCATGATCGATAATAACTTCTCATTATACAACGCATACAACCCTTCAATTATAATCACATTGGCTCCATAAACTAATATTTTCTTATTCTCCAATCGGCTATGTTTCTCAAACGAATATATAGGTATCTCACTCTTCTTGCCTTCTTTCAACGATAATATACACTCGTAGCACAAATCTAAATCTAACGCGTCGGGTTTGTCGAAATCATACTCATTCTTAAACGCCTCTTCACTTTGCTCTTTGCTTAATGGTTTATAAAAATTATCCAACGAAATCAATATGGTCCAGGGTGTATTCAACTCCTTGATTATCTTTTGTGCAATAGACGTCTTTCCTGATCCACTAAACCCTGCGATTCCAATAATATATGGCTCATTCCATGGTGGTAAGTATTTAAATTTCTCCAACCCTATATCTCTCTTTTCTTTTCCATATATCTTGACATGAGATAAATTATCACTCAAATTATGCATTTTATCATTCATTTCTCAACCAGTGATATTATCAGTAGTATCAATACCGCTACTAATATAGTTAGTTATTGAATTATACCAAACCTTTATGTCTCAAGGCTCTAGGCTTTTGGTTCTTGTGGCCGAGAAATAAACGAACCACCAGAGGACACTCAACAGCCCCATTTTCCGTCCGCAAAATTGCCTTGGATGCAGCAGCATGCAGGCCGGATAGTTCTCTTCTCAGTAACAGAATTTACTACTGGAACGAGAATTTACGCTTGAGAAAGTGCATCGAATCAAAGTGCATTTCCGTTCCGTTATATTCCACTTTAAAACGACACTGGAAGAGCTTTCGAAAAACGGTTTAGAAACAGGGTTCAAACTCTTATTGTTCTGGAAAGCGATTGCATCACTATAACTTAGTTTTCGCGTCCGGGCCGAGGATAAAGCTGGTTTGGGAGCCATGGTACTTTTAGAAATTCAATTGGGCGTTATGGTTTTGACTCTAGAAATAGAAATGGTTTAATAACCGGTCGTAAATTTTGACCATTACATACATTACCTGCAGCAGGATTTCTTCAATATATTCAATATAATCAATTTCTTTTTCCTAAACGTGTTTATAGAAATGATATTACATTATATCACTAAATAACAATTGCATATCCCTTTCAAAGGTTTTTAGATGTGTAGATGTATTTAAAATTACTAAGAAAATATCATAGAAATTTCAAAATGACTCAATGCCTTGTATATAATACACTGTTTATAATAGATGTACCTAAATCTATGAAATCTAGTTCCATCTGTTGGATATACCGGACCACAAAATTGAACAGTTCCTAATTGAATTGATTCTTCTTTAATTTTATAGCTAGATAAACACATGTTCGTATTATCAAGAACAAAAATATTGAAACAAAACCTGTATTTATATTATTCTAATATGCATGCAAATGCAGCCAAGTTTGACCGGTTTTTGACATTCGTGGGAAAAGCCATGGATGTCGAACTATCTCAATTTCTTTGACGATTTCGGACGGATAAAGCCCAAACTCAAATATTTGCAGGGTAACGAAATACGAGCTAAATCGATTGTTTGCGTTAATAATTTGAAAAGGATGGTAAAACAATCAAGCAATACTCCACAATACACCGAAAATCTTTTGTTATGTCTAATAAAGATAAGGAAAGCAATGACAAATATATGAAAAATAAGTATAGTGATTATAATAATAATAAGGACTTTAGATTAAAGATAAAGTTACAACAGGAGATAGATATATTTAATGAGGATATCGAGCATTATGGATGGAATAAATTATCCAAATTTGAACAGAATAATTATAATGCAAAGGTGCTTCAATTAAAATTAATTAATTCCAAATTAAATATTGATAGTGAAATTAGAAATTCAATCGATTACTCATTACCTTTAGATTACTCAAATGATAAGAAAAGAAAACTTGAAGCCTTGAATTCAAAGAAATATAATGGCTATAATCAAAAGAAATTCCAAAAACTCAATATTAATGATAATGACAACGATAATAGCAATATAAATAAAAACAAATATAATAATAACAATAATAATAATAAAGGTGATGATGATGATGATGATGATGATGATATTGACGAAATCATTGATCCAAATAAAATTAATATTCCAGGAAACGAAAATTATGAATTTGTATTTAATGATAATGAAAAAATAGAGTTTACTGAGGAAGAGAAGTTATTATTTGAAGAAGAAAATAATCAAAAAAAAAGAAAATTTAATGATCATGATAAAAATAGCATTTCTAATACAAATAATGTAAATGGAAAAAATATTGTTACTATTAATAACAGTGAATGTAAATCAATTGATGACATAAGAAAATCATTACCGGTTTATAAATTTAAAGATGAATTAATTGATCTGATTAATGAAAATCAAGTGATTATAATAGTTGGTGAAACCGGTTCAGGTAAGACAACACAATTGCCTCAATATCTTTATGAAGCAGGATATTGTAAAAACAAGAAAAAAATCATATGTACACAACCAAGAAGAGTTGCTGCAATGTCAGTAGCGAAAAGAGTAGCAGATGAAATGAACGTTAGATTAGGTGATGAAGTTGGATACTCGATCAGATTTGAGGATAAAACCAGCGACAGGACTATTATCAAGTATATGACAGATGGTATGCTATTACGGGAATTTTTAAACGATGCCAGATTGTCATCATCATCAGTTATAATTATTGATGAAGCTCATGAAAGAACATTATCCACAGATTTGTTATTAGGATTGGTAAAAGATATTATTAAGATTCGTAAAGATTTGAAATTAATAATATCATCAGCAACAATCAATGCTGAAAAATTTAGCAAATTTTTCAATAACGCTAAAATTTTCAATATACCAGGACGTAGATTTCCCGTTGATATTCATTATACATTGGAACCAGAATCGAATTATTTACATGCAGCAATGACAACAATATTTCAAATTCATATTTCACAAGGAGCTGGTGACATATTGGTTTTCTTAACTGGGCAAGATGAAATTGAGATCATGGAAGAGAACATAAAGGAGACATATTTGAAATTAAAAAATAATATTAACGAGTTGATTATATGCCCAATTTATGCAAATTTACCAAGCGAATTACAGCAAAAGATATTTGAACCCACACCGAAAAATAGTCGGAAAGTGATATTGGCCACAAATATTGCAGAGACTTCTATAACAATTGATGGAATAAAATTTGTTATAGATCCGGGCTTTGTTAAGGAAAATGTGTTTAATCCATCAACAGGAATGGAAAGCCTTATTGTTACAGGATGTTCAAGAGCATCATCAGATCAAAGAGCAGGTAGAGCAGGAAGAACAGGACCAGGAAAGTGTTTTAGATTATTCACTAAATGGTCGTTTGATAATGAATTGATGGATAGTTCTATACCGGAGATACTAAGAAGCAACTTATCGGGAGTTATATTAACGTTATTAAGTTTGGGAATAAATGATTTAATTAATTTTGAATTTATTGATGCACCATCGAGTAAATCGTTAATTAAATCATTGAATTTATTGTACAGTCTAGGAGCATTGAATGAAAAGGGAGAACTAAGTAAATTGGGCCGACAAATGGCAGAGTTTCCTATGAACCCAATGTTGTCAAAAGTTTTAATTACAAGTTTCAAGTTCAATTGTTTGGAAGAAATACTATCGATTGTTTCAATGCTACAAGAATCTTCATCGTTGTTTTATCGACCAAAGGATAAGAAAGTAGCTGCAGACCAGGCAAAAAAAAAATTCAATAAAAAGGAAGGAGATCATTTCAGTTTGTTGGAAATATGGAATGAATGGGAAACAAACAACTATTCGTACCAATGGTGCAGAGATCACTTTATCCAGTATCGAACATTGAGGCGAGTTCGAAACATCCGGGAGCAGCTCAGGAACTTGTGCAACAGAATCAACAGGAGAACAAATCTCAGTACAGAAAGCAAAGAAGAGTCCACCATCGTCGGCAATGCCCACGAGGATCTTGTCGTCAGAATCAGCAAAACCATCGCATCGGGGTTTTTCCCGAACGCAGTGCGGCTTGCGCGCGCGGGCGACAGTTACACCAGCATCAAGAAGCACAACCAGGTGTTTGTGCATCCGAGCTCTGCGCTTTTTCGAGCCAGTCCACCGGGACGGCTTCTTTTGTACAACGAGCTTGTGCTAACATCGCGCGAGTATATGCGCAACTGCGTTGTGATGGACGCGCTGTGGTTGCAGGAGGTTGCGCCACACTATTTTACCCCCGCTCAGCTTGAGCTGTTGGACACAAACAAGAAACTTCCCAAGGCGGTACCAAAGTAAGCGTGCAGAGATTCTAGAACTTTGAGCGCCATATTTTTTCTTTGTGTTATTTTCCAAATGTTTTCAATTTCCAGATTTCAGCACTGTTTCATTATTTTCACACAAATTACCGTTTTGATCTATAAAATAATAGCGGACCTGGAATTCAGTGTTTCCCACAGAACTAATCAACAAAGAACAGTAATCCAAATCCAAATACTGTTACTAGTTGAAAAGACACTAACATATTTGCTGCTTTTCAATATTTGCCTCTTAACAACTTATTAATTGTGCTAATTTCAATATTGCATAGGTGCAAATACTAAAATAATAGTGTCTCTTTGTTCTATTGATGAATAATGCTAATATATTGTAAACACAATTGAGCGCACAGATTTGACTTCGATACTTTTTATGCTCACCAGCTTTAGTCTTTCCAAATTTAGAATGATGAACAGCTTTGCGATTAATTAGACTTTTTTTTAAAAAAAATAACTGCTTAGAACACACCTTTTGGGGTTCTTGCACGGTGCTGTTTATTAGTCGGTATATAGAACTACAAAAACTGTCCCTGTAATTTTACCATGGATGTGGGAAATCCCTGGAGGGAAGAAAACTCACATCAAGGACGAATGAACATAAATAAAAATTGATGTTATATCATATTATTTTATGGATTGCCATGCATGGGTGACAAAAACATATAGTTTTTGTAGGCCCTCTTTTGTTCCTAGGTAATTGTGTGTGATTGCAGTGTCTACAGGAACAGTTAACACTGTAGGAACTTTTGCTATTATTCTTGCTTCAATGTTAAGTAGGCATTGAAATATGTAATAACTGATCATAGGATTATCGAAGAAACAGGGGCATTGGCTGCAATTAATTAGACATTAGCTTTTTCACAGATTTAAACTTTCTAAACAGTGTTATTAAAATTAAAAGTTGCTATTTAAATTAATTTGTCTTCACATTGACAGTCAAGAAGGTCTCTTGGCCCAGTTGGTTAAGGCACCGTGCTAATAACGCGGGGATCAGCAGTTCGATCCTGCTAGAGACCATTCTTTTTTGATTGTTTTTGAATTTTTTTTTATTTATGCTTTAATTTCGAGAAAATATCTGTTTTTGCTCTCCAACTCGAAGATATCTTAACTACAATGGCTGATGAACAAAATGAAGCTCCTCCAAGAATAAAGGTGAGCTGAAATCTCTTGATCTATTTTCAAACAATCGAATGATTTGGCTTAATACTAACAATAACCTTGGTAGCCCTTAGATAAAACTGTTGTGAACAAAATAGCAGCAGGCGAGATTATTATAGCTCCTGCAAATGCCTTGAAAGAAATGTTGGAAAACTCCATCGATGCCTCTTCATCCTCAATTTCAGTCTTAGTTAAAGATGGTGGTTTAAAATTATTGCAAATTACAGATAACGGAACTGGCATAGAAAAGGATGATTTGCCCATTTTATGCGAAAGATTTACCACTTCTAAATTATCCAAATTTGAAGATCTAACTTCAATTTCAACCTACGGTTTTAGGGGAGAAGCGTTGGCCAGTGTTTCTCACATTTCTCATTTGACTGTTACAACAAAGACAAAAAAAGATGATTGTGCTTGGAAATGCCAATATTCTGATGGCAAGTTGGTTCCATTGAATCCAAATTCAAAAACAACAGATCCTAAACCTGTGGCAGGAAAGGATGGAACTCAATTTACCGTTGAAGATTTATTTTACAACGTTCCTTCAAGAAAAAGAACTTTTAAATCTTATAATGACGAGTTTAACAAAATTTTAGATGTAGTTGGAAGATATGCTATTCACACAGACAATGTTGGATTCTCTCTTAAAAAGTTTTCTGAATCTCATTACGCTTTAGTAACTAGAAATAATCAACAAATCAAAGACAGAGTCCGAACTGTTTATGGTTCTATAGTTTCAAATGAGTTAATTGATATAAAAGTACCTGAATCAGATGAATATGGTTTACAATCGGTCACTGGATTAATATCAAATTTAAATTATAATAACAAAAAAAATATCCAGCCAATTTTTTTCATAAACAATAGATTAGTGTCTTGTGATCCTTTAAAAAAGTATATACATAATCTTTATTCTGTGTTTTTACCAAAGGGTTCCAAACCGTTTATTTATATGAGTTTATTAATCAATCCAAATTTAGTTGATGTAAACGTTCATCCAACAAAACGTGAAGTTCGGTTTTTATATGAAGATGAGATAATTGAAAAAATTTGTAATGTTATTCAAGAGGAATTGAGTAAAATTGACACATCAAGAAGTTTTCAAACCCAAGCTATTTTACCACACTTGAATCAACTCAAGAAAAATAATCAGTCATCTATGGAAAATGTTAAACAAACATCAAAACAAGAAATTCAAATTCAAAATAGCGATTTAAATCGTTCAACAGAAAATAGAAAAAAATACAATTCTTCAAATCAAAGTCCCCAGCTTTTCTCTAATTTCCAATGGAAAAATAAGAATTCTCAAGTTTACAAACAAGTAAGAAATGATTCTGCTCAATCTAAAATTACCTCTTACTTAAATTCAAATGATAATGATAATAATGATAATAATGAGGATGATGAGGATGATGAGGATGATGAGGATGATGAGGATGATGAAGATAAAGATGACGAAGAAGAAGATGACGATGATAAAAATAATACTAATAGTGAAAAAAATATTGATAACAAAACCAATGTTGAGCCAATAGAAATTGTTAATGAACTGGATACTGAAAATAATAACTTAATTGACTTGGAATCAAATGGAAAATACCAATTTTCGGCTAAAGAAAGAGTTGATGTTAATTTAACAAGTATCATTACATTAAGAGAAAATGTTGAAAAGTCTATTAATAAAGAGCTAACGGAAACATTTGCTAATTTAATATATGTTGGAATTGTGGATGAAGTCAAAAGGATAGCTGCAATCCAATATGATGTCAAATTATATTTAGTTGATTATTCTATGATCTCGTATAATTTATTTTATCAAATCGGTTTATCTGATTTTAATAATTTTGGAAAAATTTATTTAGATGAACCAATATCAATCAAAGAATTATTGATTTTCGTTAATAAAGCAGAATCCAAGGTTTTTGATGAAAAAACACCAGAAGATCCAAATTTCAAATTGCCAAATTCACAAAGTTTTGATTTGGGCTCGATATTGAAAATATTTATCAATATGGAAGAGATGTTGAATGAGTATTTTAGTATTGAGATAGATATAACTAGTTCTCCTGATGATCCTCAATTAGTTTCATTGCCATTGTTGGTGAAAGGCTACATTCCTGATAAATCTAAACTACCTATTTTCTTTTACAGATTGGGAACAAAAGTAAATTGGGAAGACGAAACAGAGTGTTTGGATAACATTTTAAAAGAGTTGGCATTGTTTTATGTTCCCAATGTATTACCATCGTCGTACTCAAAGAATGAAGAAAAGATAAAGGAATATAACGCAAAGATTGAATTTTTATTCACAGTTATCAAGAAAAGATTTTTGGCTAAGGAAGAATTGCAGAAATCGGTGGTTGAAGTTGCAAATCTACCTTCGCTTTACAAGTGTTTTGAAAGATGTTGATATTTTATGCATAATCCCAACATGTGTTCCTGAAATAAAAACTGAGATAGTTTCATATTTAAGATAAAATCAGTCGTTTTAGACTGTCAAAGCTCAGAATTTCGGGTAATGAAAACCACATAGATGATGGCATTGGTTGATGTATATAGTTCCCCATGACTCTACTGTTGGTTATACTAGCTCTGACAGGCTTCGACAAAATCTCGGTTGGAATAAGGCTCAAAAGAATTTGTAAGCAGCATCTCAACAAACGCACCACTGGAATTGAAAACGTCCTTTGGAATACCTTCGTTGGGTCTTTTTTGTTGGTTTTTCAGCTTTTGTTGGCAAGCACCAAAGGAAGCACAACAGAAGGAAGCGGGCCGAGGCATTAGCCGGCCAGCAGGGTAAGTGGCACGATCCAGCACCGAAAGTGTTGGATTTCTTTGACTCAAACACCACAAACACCTTTTGGAGAGAAAATGGCATATCCAACTAGCCTGTGTTCGAGAGGTGGTGAAGAAAACCCTCCTTTGCTTTCAGTCTTGACTTGACCTCCATCGTTGTGTGCAATGAGTATCTTGACCCCAGCACGTTTGCTCCAGCTCAGCTCAGCTCCCCAGCTACAGTCGAGCTGGTATTTCATCGCAGCTGCTACATTGACAATCTGCAATGAGCCAGGAGAGATTCCCTCTGTTTTCCATTTGGCTTTGAAGCAGTCGCAGAAGATTCCTTTGAATTTGTCTGTGGCCGAAGACTCGATAAATTTTTCCAAGCATCTCATTTACAAAAATTCAATTGGCGAAATCGAGAAAAAAATTGAAAACTTAAATTCGGATTTGGTCGATGAGGAATCAAATTTTAAAAATCAATTTGAGGTTGCCCAAAAAACAAGAGAGGCCTTATTGAAATGCTCTGCATTGGGTGGAATCCCAAAGTCTATAAATTCGTTGATGATTTTGAAAAACTCTACTCCTTTGCAATTGCTAGAAAGAAATGAAAATAGAGATAACAGCATTTCAAACATTACTAATGAAAGAGAACGAGGCAGGCAATATTGGGATCAAGTTTATGGAAAGGTCTCAAGTAGAGTTATAGGCCAAATGAACAATGCCTATCCTGATCTTTGGAGTTATGCTAGAGACCATGTTTACTCACCATTGTTGTCCTTCAGCGACATTTTGGATCCAAGAGAGACTAGCTTGGTTGTAGTTGCTTGTTTAATTCCTTTGGATGTCAATCCTCAGCTTAAAGGCCATCTTAAAGGCGCATTAAACAATGGCTGTTCAAAGGAAGAAATCTCAAGTGCAAGAGCTTTATCCATTCAAATAGCAGAATGGTGTGGCTACAAATGGAAGGGAAATATTGTTAGCTTGTAGGTTTTTCAACTGTTTATATATTAAGAAATCTTATTTTATAAATCTATATTTAGAAAAGAATAAATTCAATTGATAGAGATGTTTTATATATTATAAAAGCAATTATTGATTTTGAAAGTTAATAAAAAAACAACAAAAAATTAAAAAAAACAACAGAAAAATCAAAACAATTATCACTCAAAATATAATAAAGTAAAGGAAAACCAATAATATAATTATCTATGAGAATTAAAACCAAAAAAATAACACTAACGATAAAAAAAACAAGGAAACAAAACAAAAGAAAAAACAAAAAATAATATCCAATTACCAAAATGAGCACCAACCGATATAATGTTGAGACAAGTTTTCTTTATCAACTGCTTGCTCAATCAATTTATCAACTTGAGCCTCAACATCTAAATCTCTTGAATATGGAAAATCATTACCTGTTAGTTTAGCTGTTATTCTTTTAGTAATATAATCTGCACGATAGTTTGTAATATCTTTGGTAATTTCTTCCTCAACTTTCTCAGCTTGCTCCTTTTCAAGAAGACCTTTTTTATGCATTTCAAGTAAATTCGGTGAAATATTCATTCCTGCTTGTTTTCCCACTGCAATAGGAGGAACCTCAAAACCCCAACCAATTAATGGATCATATGCAAATGATTCTAAAATAGCTATCAATGATTCTTTGTTATCGCGAATTACTCTCATCACATTTTCACACGTAATACGGAACCCTCCTTCAATTTCAGTAAATCCCATAGCAGCTCTCAACATTCTTGTTAAACGAAATGGAACCTTTTCTGGAAACTTTTCACGTAAAATTGCTGCCTCGAAACAGTCACCAAAATCAATATGAACAACTTTTCCTGTTACCCCATTCAACATAATATTTGAAGGATGACGATCCCCAAGTCCCAAAATATAACCAACCATAGACATAACAGCTAATGATGTAGTAAATGTACTACGTCTTTCTAGCCAAACTTCTGATGATCGACTTTTCAACCACAAAATTTTATAGAAATCTCTTTTTTGTTTTTTTGAATAAGCATCTATAAAATCAAACACCTCAACTCTTTTTAAAAATGGCATTTGAATGGATAATGGTGCATACGATTCTAACAATCTAGTTTCGCAATTGGGCATTTGCTTTGTCAGGTATCTATGTTCTTTAATTAAAATATGAAATGTTTCACTTTCAGGAACCCATCCAAGCAAACCTGATTTTGGTGCTAGAGGAATAGCCGGATATTTTTGAATTTCAAGATGTCGTTTCTTACATTGATTATCATTTTTCAAAATTGCATTAACCAAGCCAAACAATTGCATAGCAAGATTGTCTTGACGAATATCTTCACGACCTTTTAAAATGTAATCATAAATTTTACCATTTTGTCCAATAATATGCATACGACGAGGATGTTGTTTAGATATAAAAACACTTAAAATATTACCAAAACTCTTAATTCTGACTATCGGTTTATTTGGATCATATGTTCCTGGTATTGCGAGCACCAAATCTCGGTATTTTAGTAAATTTGGAGAAATGTATTCAAGTTCAAGAGATTTATACTGTTCCATATACTTTCGAGTACTTCGAAACACTTGTTGGTAGATTTCCCATGCCTGATTAATTGCAGTTTGGTCCTTTGATTTATTATATTGTTCAATGAAATGAAATGCTTTACATAATTCTTTATAGTAAGCAGTATGAAAAGCTCTTTCATTGAGCGTTTCCGGATTTTTGAAAAAGTTTTGTAGTTCTTGAAGAATCTGAAACATTTTTTTGGGATTTTGTTCAATATTGAACTTAGATGCTTCTTCTAGTTTTTCTTGACAGATTTCATACCATAATATAGCTACTCTCATTAATTCATTGCACACGTTTGTAGCTTGTTCAACTAATTCTTTGCTATGAAGACGCATACTACTGATAACATTACCAGCCGCTTTCCTTGATGCAATAGATGATTTAAAGGCCACTGTCAATGGAAATATTAATGCTTGAGGATGAGCCTTTCCCAATTGGATTAATAAATTCTGCAAAGAATGGTTAATTTTGGGGTTTGGGTGATGAATAGATGAAAACAACTGAGGAGTTACATTTAACCAAAATGAAATGTCAATATAGTTTATCCCCAGCTCAATTTGTGATGCAACCTCTTGATGACCACCATAACGAAACCATAAATGTAAAATACGTAGCATATCTTGTATGGCATTTCTTGTCGATAAATCTATTGATTTGAAAAATCCTTCAATAGCAGTAGGAACAAATCTTTTAACCACTTCAAAATCGTCTTCCTCGCTGCTTGAACTCTCATTTCTTGTCACAGATTGTGTTATATGAGAGACAACCTGATAATTTGCCAAAGCCCAATAATGCCAGCCTTTATACCATTTTGGAACAAGAGATTTTGCAACTAAAAAGCATCCCAAAACTTCGTTTGGGTTACTTTTCCAATCAGGTTTTAACTCTACCAACCATTCACTTTGCTTGGAAAAAAATCTTGCCAATATTTCGATATAAGATTGATATTCTTCTTCAGAACAAGGTTTGTTAATAGGAAATTTGCAATCTATCAAGCTATCTGGATTCAAGCCCAAAACACTAGCAAACTTTCCACTAAAACCAGCCAACTGAGCCAACGCGTAATCTTTTTTACCTTCTTCCCACAATAACTTGCAATTTGAATAAACAACTTTTGGATGCAATAATGAAACCGAACCCAATTGAATATTAGTGTCCATCAAATAAGAAATTGTTTTTTTAGCCAATTGAAGCCTATTAGATTTACGACATAGATTAATGAACCTCACAAGCATTAAAACATCTTCTTTTTGTGATAAAACCAATGAACGAACATTTAAAGATCTGCGCCAAAAATCCACATCTGTATATGATCCATTTAGTCTTTCGTTCCACATTTTAACCAAAAATTTTCTTTTAGAAGAATCCATTGGTAATTCCTTATATTTTATTACTTCTTCCAATTCGGTTAACAACTGACCTTTGAAAATAGCCTCATAAGCCCGCCTGTAACTTTCCTTAATCAGATTCTGTATTTCAGGTACTATTTTACTTCGGGCTTTGCCAATATTAACTTTAGCTAGCTTTAAGTCATTGCGATGAATATTAAGAATTGTGTTAAAAAAAAAGTAACTAGATCCTCCACGCATAGCATCAATGTATAAATTCATATTTTCCCACCTGCCCAAACTCCAGTCGGCGGATGCAACAAGATGAGCAATTTCTTTGCAGTCTCCAACTTTCACTTTATCTAAGAAAATTGAAGACATTTTTTCAGACTCTCCTAATGCTAACATACATCTTAATTCACCTTCCAAGGTTTTGGCATTATACGGATCTGTTTTTAACTTGTCTTGATACATTACCAATGCTTCATCCCATCTCTGTAGCTTTTGGTACCACGAAGCTTTTGGTTTAAAGCCATACTTTTTCTCTGCAACTTTTAAAATACCAATTGCTGCATCTTGTTGTTGAAGATTATAATTAATACTAATCAAGGACTCAATAAAAAGTTTGTCCACAAAGTCCGAATCAGAGTTTCCAGCATCAATTTCATTGTAATATTCTGCCTCTCTGTAGTGCAAAGACTTGGCTGATGCATGTGTACGAAAAGCATGCGATGCTAATATACCTGGCTGTATAACTGTATCGCCATCTGAATCACAGTGTTCAAGAAATTCAAAAAGATCCAACAAATTTTGAGCCATATCTAAAGGTGCAGTACCAGAAGCTACTGAAATTGAATTTATAAGATCAGCTTTATTCTTATTGTCCAAACATTTATAAACAGCATAAAAACTCACATTGAACAATTGGTCTGCTAATGGGGAATAATAAAACGCTAGATTTTTGCATGCTCTCAATGAAGATGAAGGTGACTGATCTAATAATATATTTGATAAGTTCCTTATCCAAATGTACCAATCTTTTTTATCTCTTTCTTTATAGTTTTCACAACTCCAAGCTTTTTGCAACTCTTCAATAGAATAAGGAGCGGGTTTATCTTCTGTATTATTCATTGGTGTGTTTACAAGATAATCTCCATTTTCAGGATCTTTCAACACTGGTAATTGCTCATTTCTGGCTAGCCTATTTGCCAAATTTGTGTATGCTTGAGATTCAATTCCATTTGCAGCAATTACCTTGTTTATTACAGGTAAAAATAAAACAGAGTTAGGACCGATTTGAGTTAAAAGTGAGCAAATTGTGTTCATCGCAAGATTTTTTAGACTCATACTGTCTGGGTCATTGCTCTGAAGAATTTTCAACAAAGGCTGAATGATTTTAGAAGATTGATCAGAGAGATTTGTACTGTTGCAAAGTTTTCCAATCGTTTCGATGGAAGCTTTTTTTAAATTAAGTGGCGAGACATCTAAAAGTCTTATAATACTAGAAACCACGAGATTTGTATATTCATCTAAACTTGAACCAAAAACAACAAAAGCATGTAAAACTCTTATTGAGCTTTTCTTATTTAATGATGTATCTGAATTGAAAACATTTAAAAGCATTGTAATTATTGACGGTATCTGGTACTTGAATTCAGCTCCGAAAATCTCAGCAATTGCTTCAAGTAAATTAATAGCTGGGCCTTGTAGATCAATACTAAGTACAAAAAAGTACTGAATAGAGTCAACAATCTTAGGAACTGCTGCTCTGACATGTCTTCTCGCAAACTTAACAAGATTTGATAGCTCACTGAGACAGGCCTTTACTTTTGATGGTGGATAATGTCTGATAGCATTGAGAATACCATTTATAATATAAATAAGAAAAGGTTGTCCAGACGACTTTGATGATATATAAACTTCACAAATTGTTTTCACAGCTAGTTCATGTCGTACTACTAGTGATTTGTTTCTAATCAATTTTAGTAGCAATATAAATATGACTATCAAATTAAATGATTGTGTTCCAGGAACCAATTCTCTTTGCATTAGTAACAAAATATCAATAGGAGTATCTTTTTGAAGTGTTTCAGGAATTTTTACATTTGGAGCAACATCTTTTAAAATTGTGCTCACAAGAAAACTGTCATCTTCTGTATCATCATCTTCATTATTAGAGTAGCTTTTTATATCACTTTTAGGCTTAGTAGCCTCCCCTATTTTAAATGGGTCGATTGCTCCTAAAGTACCTATTACTCGTACAACTTCTTCTCTAACAATTTTTGATGGATCATTGTTCAATAAATCCAACAAAGTAGGCATTAACTCTGGATAATCAAGAAATGGTTTAATTACATAGCCGGAATTGAGAGACATTTCACCGATTGCAGATAGAATAGCAAGCTTTTCTTCAGTGGAAATAGCACTTGAGTTTTCTTTTAACGGTCTAAGAAGTAAAGGAAAAATTTTGGCCAAATCTGGCTTGAAATTTTCCCCCACAATATCTGAAAGAACACCTAAAGATTTAACCGTAATGAAATTCAAAGTTGATACATTGTCGCTTGAAATAATAGGAATAAAACAATCTAATATTGGTTTAATAAAAGGTCTTACCAAATTGTTGGATGAATTTATCAATTCAGTCAATAATAAAGCACTTTCTTCTTTGATAGTTTCAACACTTGAAAATTGAAGATCTGTTAAAAGTTGAATCAATGTTTTTCTTAAGGAAGGTACAATAAAAGCTGGATTTTTATGCGATAATCTACATAAAATCACCAATGCATTTTTTTTAACGGAAAAGTTCAAGTCATTCAATGCTAATAATAATAGTTGAACATTATTAGGTTGGGATAACTGAGAATCAAATTTTTCTGAAAGCATACCCAAAACATTGCTTCTTATTTGAGAAGAAGGATCTGTTACGGCAATAGTTAATAGATGGTTTAAAATTTCACTCATTGCCATTAACGAATTCAAAGAAACTTCATTGATAATAGGATCATTTGAAAACAAAAAACAGACGGTTCCAGCGGCTAGGTCCCTTAAATTTTTGTCATCATCGTCTGTGTATTTCAAAACAACAAATCTAGCAAATTCATTTAAAGAGTATTTTTGAGTGAAATTTAAAATTGTCAACATCTTAAAACATCCTTTTATGAGTAGATTGTTTTGATATAAAAAAGAATTTTTGTTTTCTGTTTCGTTTGTTCCAAGATAATTTGAAGGAGTTTGAACAAAACCATAATTTTGAAGAACCGATTCTCTAAGATTTTTGGCTACATTTAAATCAACAAGATTTTTAATTGAAGCTGTATGGCCATCATTAACCATGTAATTATTTGAAGCAAGTGGTTTTAAACTAGATGAATAATTGTCTGTAAAATGGTTATCATAGGGCAAATTATTTGAGTAAATATTATAAGAATTGTAATAAAAATTTTCATTGCCATTTCCATTTCCGTTTCCATTTCCATTTCCATTTCCATTTCCATTTCCATTTCCAATTCCAATTCCAATTCCAATTCCATTTGAATTTGATTTTATTAATTTTTTTCTAATATTTGAATCTAAATTCGAAATTGGCAATCCGGGTGTTATAAAAGTGGTTCCTCCTAGATATTTTGAAATAACATTTATAAATTTCTCAAAGATTTCATCTTCTAGTGTTGGAGTATTTTTTATTAAAATTTGTAGTAATGTAATTAAATGATCAGAGATATTGCAATAAGATAATAGATCGATCAAATTATTTTTGAAAGAACTTATCAAGTTTTCCTTAAGACAATCAGAAAAATTTGATAGACAATAAAAAATTGCATTTTCAAATTCATAACGTTTTTCTTGTTTTAAATTATTAACATTTGCAAAAATAGATATTAAGGGTGAGGAAGCTTTATTTATTGAAGGATTTGTGTTATAAGTTAAAGCAATTAATAAGCTTTCAAGTATTGGAATGATTTTATCACAAAAGGGTTTATAAGCAGACGCAGAGCCGAGAGACAGAGCCAATCTTCCAAACAAATATAGAATGGGAATTTTATCTTTGTCTTTTTTAATGATTAAAATATATTGGTCAGTTAAAAGGGGTAAATAATTTTGAATGAAAAATTTTTGATTGTAAGAAGCAATGTAAGGAATTATATTAGTAACCGCTTTTCTAATATTCGAGGATTTGTGATCTTTGAATTTTAAAGATGTTATGTAAATCTCGTTAACTCTATTGTCAATTAATGAGATTATGTTCTTATAAGACGACAATTGATTTGATGTATAATCCATTGAAATTGATTTATAATGTTTTAAGACTTGATTGCTTATTGAAGCTAATTCTCTGAAGATTAATAATGAACAATGAATATTTTCAGTTGAATTTACTATTGAGTTTTCTTTAGCTTTGCTAAACAAAGTTTCATATAGTTGAAAATTTAAGAAGGAGTCCTTTAGTAATAATTCGTTTAATACTAGTTTCAATAGTTTTGCAGATTCGTCTCTAACTTTAACACTGGAGTCTTTCAAAGTTTGATACAAACGAGACAATATAGAGGATTCAATCAGTTTTGAAGTTACAGCCATATTATTTATGCAGCATTCCTGCAAAAGGTATAGGGCAAATAGTTTATTGCTTTCTCTTTTATTTAGTAAATTTTCAGCAGCATTTTCAATCGAGAATTCCAATTTACTGACCAAAGTGCCGCCAGGCTTTGATAGTAGGCCAATTGTATGAGCAATATCCTTTGAGATTGACAAGTCCTTTTTCAACAATTCTAAAATTTGGTTAATTCTACCGATGTTGATTGGTTCATTATTGGTTGATTCAGCAAAGTATCTTGTCATCAACAAGCACTCTAGTTTGTTTGAATTTTCATCTTTAGTCTTTTGGAACAAGATTGCAAAACAAGTTTCGCAAGATTTTGAATTCTGGAGTAATTTCTTCAATTTTATCCTATATCTCACCTTATCATCAGCGTTATTAGAAAATAAGCCATCCCATATTTGTGAGAAAAGGGTATGAATGCTAGCCATATCTTTTTTGTCACTCATTATCAAAATAACATATTAAATCGAATTAGGGAAATTGATTATTCCAGCAGATACAAAACAGCTTGAATAAATGTCTTTGGTTATCAACTGCAGAAAGTGTTGAAGTTGCTTTCAAACACGATTTTTGAACAAAAACTGAAAAAAATCTCGCTCGTTCGAATTAGGCAATAGAACGGCAGCCCAAATGGAGCAACCCTCGAAAGCGTAGTTGCCCCTTTCGACGAGACCGAGATGGTTAATTGTGGAACTGTGGAATTATTTATTTGGTATTTGTGAATTAGCTATTGTTTATTTATTGATGGTTTACTTGACGTTGATCAAGCTATGAAAAAGTATATAAGTATATCGGAACTATCATGCTTAGTAGGTGTCCTTACCGGTGATGATGACGTCGTTTATCTTCAAAATCATTCTGGTTAACTGCGTAGCCAACAATAGCTGTTGTTTTTTACCTATTAATGGATCGATAATGAATAGTTCTTTCATGTCGTTGGTGCCTTTGCCCAAACAATCAACACCCAATTTGCTGTTGTTTTCTTTGATTTGTCTGGATTTGATGTAGGACAATGTTTCGATGGGATCTAACCCTGAGTTGCCGGCTAGTGTCATTGGAATAACATCTAGTGCATTGGCAAAGGCTCTGAATGAATATTGGTCAATGCCCTTTTGTTTATCTGCTGCCTCGTTGACGGCAATGGAACATGTTATTTCGGAAGCACCACCTCCATAAACAATTCTATTGTCACGGATCAAGTTACGTACAACACATAACGAATCGTGCAAGGCTCTAATAGCTTCATCGACTATCATTTTATTTGACCCCCTGATGAATAGGGTAGCAGCCTTTTTATTGCTGCACTGTTCAATTACCAACATATGGTCTCTAGTTGTACCAAATTCAATTTCTCTGACTGTTCCCGAAGTACCCAATTTTTCATTTGATAAATCTTGGAATCTTGGGACAATTCTACCGTTGGTCGCAATTGCAAGCAACTCAATTTCAGGACCACCAACCCATCTTACGGCGGGCAAATCATTTTGCAATAGTAAATGGTTAGCTTCATCATCAAAACCCCATTGACATATAACCAAATTGGCACCGGATTTTTTAACGTAATCAATCATTTCTTGAAATTTCTCTTGTTCGTAAGTTTGTAGGTTCTTGAATTCTTCCACTGTTGAAATGTCCAATTTGTGTTTAGTTTTAGGCTTTGGAGGCTCGAATGGACATGTTAAAATGGCGATTTTGGCATCTTCGATTGATTTAGGCATTTGGGGATGCGAAAACTCTTTGTCAATTATGATACCGCTGATCAATTTGGAGTCGCTCAAAGAACCACCAACTTTTCCTTCCATCTTGATTAAATCAAACTGAACGTCTTTTCTCTCTAAATCAGCCACTGATATTACTGCATCCACAGCCATTTTAGCAAATTGGTCGTGAAATTTAGATACAATCTTTGATCCTAGGGAAGTCTTTGCAGCTTTTAACAAATCTGCTTTATCATCATCAATTTCAATTTCTTCAGAAATATCGTCCAATTTTTGGACAGCTATCTTACAGGCCAAATCAAACCCATTTGCTATTTTAATTGGATGAATGCCCTTATCGATGAGTTCTAATGCCTGGTCTAGTAAACTGGAAGCAAGAACAACAACACCTGTGGTTCCGTCGCCAATTTCGTCGTCTTGAGACTTGGACAATTCAACCAACAACTTTGCAATTTCGTTGTCCAACTCCATTTGAGAAAGAATTGACGCACCGTCGTTAGTTATAGTAATGTCGCCATCGGGAGAAATTAAAATCTTGTCCAAACCTCTTGGTCCCAACGAGGACTGGATAATTGAGGCCACTGATCTGGCAGCCAAAATATGGGACTTTGTAGCTTCAATTCCATGGGCTCTCTTTTTCTTTCCCTGGTCTTTGACAATGATAAAAGGCCTGCCCATTTCGTCCTGGGCAATAATTGCGTTGGACATGTCAGGCATCTCCATCATCTGAGGTTGAGCGTGGGCCATTTGGAATAACAGGTATGGTGTGTGCTAGAAAGACAGAAACAAAAGCAAAAACAGAAGAGTTGCAGTGAAAATGTTCTCGTTGTTTCTCGTTGTTTCTTCTGAACAAAACATTTCCTAACGCTTTTTTTTCAGTTCCAAAAAAATTTGAAATCCAAATTTCAGTCACGCGACTTCCGGCGACTTCCGGCAGAACCGCCCCTAATCGCAACGAAAAGATTGACAGATAATGCTCAAATGAAGAGAACAATCTCAAGCCAGAGGTGATTTGGTTTTGTTCTATCGTCTGTTGATCTCAATTACCAATTCTTGTTGAAAATGGCGAGCATCGCAACCCCAGCTGTCGTTATGGACAATGGTACTGGTTTGACCAAACTTGGTTTTGCCGGTAACGACGCTCCATCTTTCGTGTTTCCTACTGCTATTGCAACCAACTCAAACTTTTCAGGAAAACCTTCTGCTCCATTGAACAGACCACGAAGATCTGGGCCTTCGGGTTCTGGCGCTTCAGCAATCAATAGCAATCTTAGCAACAACAATGTGGCCTTGAAAAGAGGCATGGAGGACCTAGACTTTTATATTGGCGACGAAGCTCTCGAGGCATGCAATGGTCCAAACTACTCACTAAGCTATCCCATAAAACATGGTCAAATTGAAAACTGGGATCATATGGAGAGGTTTTGGGAAAACTCCATATTCAAGTATTTGCGATGTGAGCCAGAGGACCACTATTTTTTGTTGACTGAACCTCCATTGAATCCTCCTGAAAATAGAGAAAATACTGCTGAAATCATGTTTGAATCCTTCAATTGTGCTGGTTTATACATAGCTGTCCAGGCTGTCTTAGCATTGGCTGCCTCTTGGACCTCCTCAAAAGTTCAAAACAGGGTTTTGACTGGTACTGTTATTGATTCTGGTGACGGGGTCACCCATGTTATTCCTGTTGCTGAAGGGTATGTAATTGGTTCAGCAATAAAAAATATTCCAATTGCTGGAAGAGACATCACTTTGTTTATTCAACAAATGCTTAGAGAAAGAGGCGAGGCCGATTCGTCTTTAAGAACTGCCGAACAGATTAAACAAAACTACTGCTATGTTTGTCCTGATATTGTTAAAGAATTTAGAAAATTCGATAATGATTCACAAAAGTTTTCTCAGTATATCGTGGAAAATCAAAACAAAACACAAAAAAAAATTGTTGATATTGGTTACGAAAAGTTTCTAGCTCCTGAAATCTTCTTCAACCCAGAAATAGCTTCATCCGACTTCTTAATTCCTCTACCAACTGTTGTTGATCAAGCTATACAATCATCTCCGATAGATGTAAGAAAAGGATTGTATAAAAATATCGTTCTAAGTGGTGGTTCTACAATGTTTAAAGATTTCGGTAGAAGATTACAAAGAGATATAAGAGACATTGTCAAACAAAGAATCGAAGCCTCAGAAAGACTATCAAATGCTAAAAGTACGGGAGTCGAGGTTCAAGTTATTTCTCATAGAAGACAAAGAAATGCTGTTTGGTTTGGTGGTAGTTTAATGGCTCAAACGAGTGAATTTAAAGCGTATTGTCACACTAAACAAGATTACGACGAATTTGGTCCAAATATTGTAAGAAATTTCAGTTTATTCAGTGTTCCATAATTGTTTGGTTTACTCATTTGTGGGGGGGGGGGGGGTTGAAAGTTATACATATTTTTTTCTCTTTTTTTTTTCTCACACTGCTTATTGTTTCATTAAAAATTGTTTTTACTTACTATTTTTTTTTTTCTTTGGTTTAATTTCTTTTGGTATTATTTAAAAAAATTAAAATGTACAACAATTTTGAATATAAAAAAGAAAACAATAGTTAAATACGTTTGTTAATTTGAAACTACAAAAAAAAAGTATAGCACAATCAACTCATAGTCTTATAATCTTAAAATCTCATGAATTTCTGAATTTCTGAATTTCTGTTTATTATTTTATTGAATAATAAAGCGCATTGTCTTATATAGGTTAAATTATATGTTTTTAAATTATAGATAACTCTTTTTCAATCTCATATATAAAGAATTCAGATCCATTGTTATGGAACTTTTATTTGATTGGACAATCCAAAGGTGTTTCCAAAAAGGGAAATTTTAATTTTAACATTATTCTTTTAAAACTGCTTTTCATTTGAGATTTATTTCCCTTAAATCAAACATTAGATCCAATTAAATTAAAGCTGTTTACTAATGTTTTTAGGCCAATAAGCCTAGCACATAAAATACTAATTCAGGTCATTCTACACAGGAATAGATTGATAGAAAAGACATATAATTAAAGAAGTTGTTAAAAAAAAGTGATAATGAATAAAAAGTGGAAATGAACAAAAAATGCTAAACTGAAAAAAGATAAAAAAAAAATAAATGAATGAATATGTTGGGACGAAAAATATCAGGGAATGTTTGCAAAATTAAAAAATAAAAAATAAATTAAAGGAGCGTTGAGATTTCATTAGTACATGATTTTAAAACAAAAAGAATTGTCAGTTAAGTATTAAAAATTTTCATTAAATCTAATAGAATCATTATTTTGATTGGAGCCGTCATATTGATTTTCATTCCAATCATTTGAACCAAAATTATTGTCATTTTCAGTGATTTCAATATCCTTTTTAAACTGATTTTCAAATTTTGATAAATAATCAATATCATCATCAGTTGAACAATTTAAAGAAATCGTTGCTTCGTATTTTAGAATACAACTTCTACAACAAAATTTTTTCTTGATCGGAACCAATTTATTGCCTAGAATATCCCACCATTCAATTACTGTGCCAATTGGTCTTATAATATATTTTTTGCAGGTAAAACATAATTCATTATTTGAACCATTGATTAATGCTTTAGACACTAATTCTAAATGGGATTTGCTTAAATTTTTTGCCCAATAACTTGATTCTGACTTTGACAACTTATAAGTGGCTAGTTGTCGTAAACACAATTCTGATAGTTTTGGAAGAATTGGGGTTGAAGCTTCAATAATTTTTTGGATTTTAAGTCTTTGCTGCTTGTTTTTGAGATATAATTCATATTTTAGTTCTTTGATTGAGGGGGGATCTTTGCTTTTTTTTGAATGATTATGTTTATTATCGTTTTCATGATTATTGTATGAGTTTTTCAATAAATTTATTGTTTTTGATATGTTAATTCTTATATTATCAATTTTATTTTGCAAGTTTTTATCATCAAAGATAATTTCTGAAGCAAATCTCAAATATGCAAAAGAATTGATTGTGGAAATTGTTATGATTCTGAAATTTTTAAAGGGATAGATTTTTTGGAAATTTGAAAACTCCAATAGTTTTGAATTTGGTCGAATACATAAAGTTCCAAGATTATTTAAGTAAAGTATTTGCCATGGCAAATATTTGAATTTATTGAGAGATAAATTAAGTGATCTTAGATAGTTTGAGCAATTTAGTATCAGACCAGGAATTGAAGATAGTTTATTATCTCTGAAACTTAAGACCTGGATATTTGGAATATCGAATAATCTAGGATTGATGTTAATTAATTTATTATGATAAAAATATAGTTGGAAATTTGGGGATTTGATTTTTTTAGTTTCTTTATCGAATAAGACTAGATCTTTTATATCGCTGATAGCGTTTGGAATAGAAATTAGATTTAGACTATCAAAATTTAAAGACTGGTTATTTTGAAATTCGATGGAATCATCATTAAATGCGTCGGATATCTTTTGTTTGATTAGCTGATGAATTAATCTTTGGTTATTGTTATTGATATCAATTTTTGATATTTTTGAGTTTAGTGTATTGCTATTATTGTCAATAAAATATTCAGCATTTATATTGTTGTTATTGTTGTTATTGTTATTATTGTTATTATTGTTATTATTATTGTTTATGCTCTTAGAATGAAAATGAAAATCAAACTCAAATTCACTATCTTGATCTGGGGAATTTGAATCACTATAATTTATATAATTTGGTTGAATTCTACCATACTTGTCTAAATCTATATCAAAACAGGTAACATCTGAGTTGCAACTAATAAGTAAATCCAGTTTATTCTTATGGCTGTTTTCAGCATTGGTAGTATCATCATTGTGATCAAAATTATGAATAGAAAAACGATTTAAATTGGGGACAGGTAGACTAGTTATTGTTTCATCTGGATTAAAAGTAAAATTGTTATCATTATCATTATCATTATCATTGTCATCGTCATCGTCATCGTTATCTTCATCAGTGAAATCAATGTTATTATTTTCCAGAGAGTCATGATAATCACGACCAACATTCGAGTGTGGAGGGGAGCTTGGTAGTGAATTTATATGGAGATGATTGCTCGAATTCAAAGAGTTATCGACAAAATTATAAACAGATTCACTGGATAAATCAGTTGAATTAACAAGACTAGATGAAGTTGTATCAATAGAGGCTTCTGAATCCAAAAAATCATCTATTGAAACATCATTAAATTGGCTTGGGTTGTTAATGGCTCTTGCTCTAAGCGATGGCAATCTTGCACTGGTATTGTATGAGGTGGTTCCAGGGTCAAAAGAAATAGATCTTTTCTTTCTCGACTTAGAAGCCAGAGGAAATAAATTACGATTGGATCTTTTTCTCATTTTATAAAAAAATAAAAAAGGGAATAAGAGAAAGCATCAAGAGATAAGAAATAAGACATGGAGGAACTGAAGGTCTGAAACTGGTGCGATTGCTTTGGGATTCCTTTTCGTTTCGCTTCGATTCGGCAACAGCCACTTCCCAAAAAAGCAGCTGTCCAAAAGAGGACAGTTCCCGGGGAAATAGCGCATTCTCCCGCTTTCTTGCTTATTTGATGTGCTGTCACCGAGTTAGGCAACCCGTCTCTTTTGCACAATTCCAAACCAACAGGCCGTCAAACCAAAACGAAAAGACAACCGATCCGTTATTCGTAAAACACGCTGTTCAAGCGGTTCGAAATGCGTATATAATGTTTGACGATGCACCGGTATCGATTGTGCTTCGAAATACAGTTGCGTGACGAATAAGTACGCAACTAACTTCGCTGCATTAGAAAGCGAGATCCTGTGCTGTTTGTCCATATGCTCTGTATACAGATATTTGTCTCAAAATAGACAATAGTTTGGATCTTGAATTTTTGCTATCGAAAATAAACTTTTCTGGGGTTTGTTTGAGCTTATAAATATGCTGAAAAGTCTCTTTTCATTTATTCTTTTGTGATCCTTTTCAATTTCATCTCCATCTTGTCCATCATGTCTTTTATAACCTATCATAATTTTTTAATTCCAATAAGACCGAATATTGTATTTGATCTTCAGCTGATATCCTACGAGATTAGATCAAAGCCAAACTGGTCCACAAAGTACCAAGATCCAACAATCAGATCGAAATGGGAGAGAGAAATAAGGTCTGGGCTATTGAAACGCAGCTACCATTACGACAATCTCGACCATTTAATCAAATATGTTTTTGATCATTTGAAGTATTTCCATTATATCCAGAGTGTGACTGAAGACAAGTATGATTGTGGTTTGATTGATTACATTTTTTGCAAAGATGATATTATTAACCCAGATTTGAAAACAAAATTTCTTAAAAGTGCCCAAAACCTCGAAGCAAACGAACCAAAAGATTATCATCCCAATTCAAATGATCAGGTTCTAGACTTGCTTCATCCTTCGTTATACACTCTAAGATATGGTTATTCGCCTGTTTTAATTGATAACAAGTTGAAAATCGTTGAACATGCTGATGCATACAAACCAAATAGATCTACTTACAAAATATCTCAATATATTTCCGAAAATTTCCAATGGTTACCAACTGTTTTCAAATTCAATAAATCTTCAGATGCTTATGAGATTCAATCATATATCAATAATCTACATCCATTCAAATACACTGATCTATATAACGATATCCAAAAAATCTTCAACTCCTGTTTAAATGGATTGTCTTTAGTATTGTCTCGAGCAGAAACAGATGCTCTTAATACTTTTGAAACATTCAACAAATCAATCTCCATTCCTTTTGCTTCCCAAGAAATATACGATGAGAGCTTTCAAAGTTTGGTTGATGGTTTAAAAGAGAAAGCAGAATATTTAGATTATGGGTTCCAATACGATGTTGAATCCTACATTGAAAAATTATATGACGATGGTACAACTACTAAACATCTACTTCCATATTCAAACAAGTCGTTAAAGTTCCCAATTGAAGAAAAGGATTTCAAAGTCGATCTACTAAACTTGAAAGAACTGTATCCTGAGCTCAAAGTCATTGTCAAATTGGCCAATATTGAATTGACTCCTGAGAACCCAACCTATAATGGTGGTTCATGGCATGTTGAGGGCTGTGATAATGAGAAAATCGTTGCAACAATCCTATATTATTACGAAAATGACAACATCACTGGAAGCTCTATAAGCTTTAGAGCTCCTGTTGCCTGTGAAGACTTTTACGAATACGAACAAGATGCAACTGGTCCTGTTTGGGACCTATATAGTCTTTCAAGAGAATCTAGAGCTGTTAGCAATCAAGGTCATATCAACTGTACTGAAAACAGACTATTGGTTTTTCCCAACTTCTTGCAGCATCATGTTAACAAGTTCTCATTGTTAGATAAAACCAAGCCTGGAACTAGGAAAATCCTATGTTTCTTTGTTGTTGATCCATCCTTAGGTGATGAAACTCCTGTTTTCTCCACGAGTGATGTTCCAATTCAAAGAAAAGACTGGTGGGACGACCAAGAATATAAAGAAGAATTCAAAAAGTATCTAACCGATGAAACGAGATTGCAGATTCAAGAATTGATACACAACAACAAGGTCAAGTTTGAATGGCCAATCTTACTTGAAGAATCTAAAACCTTGAGACTTCAGTTGATGAAAGAAAGATCATCTCAAGATAAAGATGAAAGCAATGTTTTCAATAACAAATTTTGTTTATGTGAACATTAATTTAATGATTTGTTTGGTTTTTTTTCTCAAGTTATGTAATTAAAGCATCAATATAGTTATAATAGCTATATAGCTATATTATTTATTCTAATTCAATTTTCTTTTTTTTGCTGCTTCTTCTATCTCATTTTTGCAATCATCAGTGGGGTGTTTGTTAGCAGATGAGCATAAATTCTCTTTTTGTTTTTGCTTATTATCATTACAACTATTCTCTATTTCAACAATTTCAACTATTTCCTTTTCCTTTTCCTTTTCCTTTTCCTTTTCCTTTTCCTTTTCCTTTTCCTTTTCCTTTTCTTTCTCTTTCTTGTTTTCATTCGAAATTTCATTGCTGTCTCCATCCTTTAGGATTTTTGTTTTTCTTAAAGCATCAAGATCAATTTTTTGATCTCTGAAACAATACAAATTTTTTAATTTCTTTAAATCTCCAAATTTTATATCAACTTCTCCAAAACAGTTGTACGATAAATCCAATGTTTCCAAGTTTTCTAAAAAATTTACTTCATCCACTTTGAATTCTTGAAAATCATTATTGTTTAAATCTAAGACTTTTAGATTTGGAAAATCAATTAAATTTAAACTCCACCAGTGATAGATTTTATTGAATGATAAATCTAAATTTTCCAAGTAAAAGACAACCTTCTTATTACTTTCTTTGCTGTCATCTTCACTGCTGTTTTTATCTTCAGATTCAATATCAAAGTAAATTTCCTCGATTTCGTTATGTGATAAATTTAAATATTTCAAAGTTTTAGGGATATTTTCCAAAAATGATGCATCTGCAATTTTACTAAACAGTAGATTCAATCTCTCCAATTTCTCAACTCCTTGAAAATTCTCTTTTTTTAAATTTACATTTTTCCTCATAAATTTAACGTTCAAATCTCTCAAGTTTTTCAATAGTTTTATTTCTTCAAAATTAAAACAATTATTATAAACATATTTTAACTGTTCTAAATTGCTAAAATACTTTGAAAGCAGAGGCGTTTCTGTTTTGGCAAAGTTAATTTGGCTTAAATTTAGAATTTTTATGTTTTTTAAATCATTATTTATTTTAATTTCGCTGATCCCATTATATGACAAATCTAAGACCTCCAAGTTTTTCAAGTCTTCCAAATTTTCAATTAAATAAAGACAATTTGCTGATATGTTTAAATATTTGAGTTTGGTTAAGTTGTTAATATTATCAATTTTTGGGATCTCGTTATGGGCTAAATTTAGATATTCCAAGTCAATAAAATTATTGAAAAATTTTGGTATTTTGTCCAAATCATATCTATTAATCTGTAAATGTTTTAGCCTTTTAAAATTTTCTAATGAGCCAACTTCAAAAGTTACAGTTTTGTAATCAAAAGCAAACGCTTCAAGCAATAAATATTCTAAATTAACTAATTTTTCAAATTTTTGAAAATCAAAATGATTTCCAGTAACTCTAAGATAATTTAATTTGTTTAAGAAATTCAATTCTGGCAATTTCGTTAAATTACAACTTTTGAATGTAAGAGATTCTAAACTCACCAATGCCAACCAAAAACCCAATGATTTTGGGAATTTAGAAACATTAAAAAAACTCAACCTTTTCAATAGAGAGAGATTTCTGTTGGAGCTTTCAGGAAACTCAGTTAGATCTGAATTGTAAAATAAAATACTGTTCATGTTTTTATACATTTTCTCAAAAAGTTTTACATGCTTGAACTCTGTAATTGAAGTCAATGATACTTTGCTCAACTGATGAACAAGTTGATTCTGTAGAACAGAGTGGTTTAAAATCTTTCTCGCTATCTTTGGACCAAGATCTGCTAAAGAAGTAAAATATAAAACAGATAAATTCGAAAAGAGTATTTGCTCATTTTCGATCAATTGAAAGAACCGAAATCCAAAATTATTATTTGAACCACGAAAGACCAAATCTAGCTCTTTTGTTGAATTGAAATGATTTCTAAACGTTTGAACATTGCTGATGATATCTTCAACCCTCAAACGACAGTAGAATGCTCTGAGTTTGATAATTGACAGACGAAGACCATACTTAGGCTGTCGATCTGCTCCATCTGTTTCTTCAAGAACCACCAAGTTCTCGAATAGACCTGAATAAGCACAGCAGGAAATCGAAGCAAAGGGGGATAACGTCAAAAGCCAGACTTTGTCCTTTGGAATGTAAAAGATAATCTTACTGATGATGTTGAAAGGTAACTTAGACTGAATGTCCATCGTAGTAGCATAATTTTGGAGCCAGAGATGGAGTAACCACTAAAGGAAACAAAAAGTGATAAAAGACTTGAAACAAAATGTTTTTGAAAGCCTGGTATTTAAGGAAAGAAAACGACCTAGGGAGACATAAATTTGGATGAGAGCTTGGGTCCCAATCCCAAATTGAAAGTGCAACCATTAAGAGTGTTTTCTTAATGGAAAATAAGAAACAGCTACAGTCAATTGAAATATTTTTCAGATACATTCAAAAGTTACATTTGCAGATTCAATCAAAATTATAGTCTTTTCTACTACTTCCCTTGAGAATAAGTTTAATTCTGTAATTTGTTACTAATTGGAGAGGGATTTGTGATACTTTTATCCAAAAACCTCTTAACGTTTATTTCTTTTTTTTTCCGTTTATTTACTTTTATTTCAACGAATGGTCAGAAAAGAATTGGCACTTGGTCCACAAATTGCTTCTATCATAGACTGCATTATCTGAATTATTTTGATCTGAAATGATTTGCATCACAGAATTGAATCAACTTTGGTAACGTTTATTTCAGAACAGTAGTTATTTCTGGCTCCTTTAAATAGAATAAGAAGGGTCAGATAACTATAATTTTGTAGCTGATAGTACCATAGCTGTGGTTAGACCATCCTCCTGCTTGCTCATGCAAGTATCGTTATGTTTGTACCTTACTCTGAATGTAAAATCATGCATTGTGGTGTTTGTTCCTTTGGCCTGGATGTAACAGGATTCACTGGGTAAACTGTCAAACTCTGCTCAGCGCGTCTGTATGCATGTTTGCTTACACTTTGCATATGCAGATCACGTATTTGTTAATCACGTGAGTGGCTTCTTTTGTTAATTTTTCGAGCTGGTGAGTTAAATATTGAACTGCAATATCAATTTTCTATATTATGGAAGAAACACTTCTCTGGTGAAATAGCTGGATCAAATCAAAGTCTCAAACAAATAAAAGCTCCTCCAATCAAGGAAATTCACTCTTCACCAGATTAATAAAGTTTTAACAAAACAAAAAAATATTTGTAGACCTTCCTAGCCAGTTAAATAAGTCCAGTTCCTTTAAAGGATGGTTCAGGAAAGGATTTCTTGATTATCCTAAATATTGATTATTTTGTGGATTATTATAAAAAAACGGGAAATAAAAATATTGAAAACTATGAAAAGTGGAAATTTAGTTACAAAAATAATAACAATACAATACTTGTACCAATTGTATTTTTTACTATTTGTTTCTTTACTTTTATCTCAAATTGTGTTTTCAGAGACTTTATCTATCTTAAATGTAATTTTATCTTGAGCTGTGCCTTCAGAGGCTTTATTTATCTTAAGTGTAATTTTAACTCCACTGTTTTTGGCTTCTTTTTGTTTTGGCTTTGCCTTTGCTCTGTTTTTTAGTTTTTCTTTATCTGAGAACGATTTAGAAAGGAACAATATCCCATCATCCTCTTGTAAAAGATTTTCAATGCTAGACTTCCGCATAAATCTATTAGTAGCTTCAATCAGATAAGCCTTAATCTCGTCTTGAAATAAAAATTCATCACAAGTTTGACAATGTTGAAGATATTTAGAAGGACGTAATTTTTTGGAATTATTTTTTTTAAAGTTATTTTTGTTGGAATCATTTTTTTTGAGATCATTTTTTTTGAGATCGTTTTTTTTGAAACTATTTTTTTTGGTTTTTTGTAAATTAGCTTGACTTTTTTCAATCTTTGGATTTTTAGGAACTTCTTTGGTTTCAACAGCAGTGACAGCGTTAAATCTTGAAGCCGTATGCAGCTTTTTCTTAAAATTCAAAAAATCAGCTTCATCTTTATCCTTGAGTTTTGCTTCAATTTGGTTTAGGAAAAACTTTTCATCAATTTCATCAATTTTTCCATTTTTAATTTTCTTTTGAATAGTTTTCCTAGCTGCCAGTATCAAAATGTTTTTACATATTTCCTCAAACTCACTTTCAGCTGAAGCTTTTTTATTATTATTAACCAAAAAGAATTGCTCTATACTCGATTTTAACATGCTGAAAACCATCCTGAAATTCAAAAAATAAATATAGATAAAACACCCAAAGAAAATATAGTCTAAACTATTTATTTTTAACTTTTATGTAAAAATTGAAAGAAAGAAACAAAATATTTTATTGGTGCAACGTTGAATCTTTTGGAAAACAAAACAAAACAAAAACTGTTGCAAAGAATAAAGTAATTGAGGAGCTGAGCTTTCTAAAGTCTGTTATTTTCTTTGTGAAACTCGATTAGTGCGCCTCCCAATTAAGAAGCTGCAATAATCCACATCCCAAACGACACTTTTTAGGATACGTTTACAACTGCAAAAGAGACTTTCAACCCACGCCAATTCCCCGAAAAACTGGTGAACAAACAAAATTTGGCAGCTCAAAAAAAGATCCTAGCTAATTTCCCACATAATTGCCCTCCTTGAACAGTACATCTGGTGCGGGGTAAAAGTGTTGTTTGAGATGTGAGCCATTAAAAAACAGTTTCCTGTGTAAATTACAGAACAGATAGCGCATATTCGTGTATATCACATACCATTATATGAACCCCAAAAGGGAAAAACACAAAAAGACATTGCAAAACAATTTCTCTTGAAATTAGAAAAGAAGCAAAACAGTTGTAAATTGCCAGCTAAGGCTTTGCTTTTCTTTATATTTTAACTGTAAGTTCCAGCAAAAAGCACACAAACATAAATATCTAAGTCTCATGGCTATCAAAATCGTCAATCGGTCGAAAGAATATTGCAATCGAACCGCAAAACTAAAACATGAAGCCTTTGAAGGTATGTTTCAAATCATAAAAAGTAAAAAACAATTACAAACAACGTTTCTTATTTAGAATCATCACAAAAGCGTCTTTCTGTTCTTTACCTGAAAGTTATCGCGTAGCTATTGCAGAAAATCCTTGTGAATCTTCAAAGAGCCATTGGTCAAAAAAGAGCTGGTTCTCGTTCACCAATGTAACCATCTGTCCCTTCCCAATCACTAATCCCTTCCAATTATCGATCACTTCTATCACCAATCCCTTTTAATTGCAAATTACTGCTTCTGTTGCTTATCGCCTTCCTGTCCAAAATTCTGTTCATCCAGCAGTGGTGGCACGTGAACGAAAAATTTATCCAACAATCAAAATCTTCAAACTTTATTATTTCTGTTTCAATCATCCTCTGAGTAACCATCAACAACAACAATATGAGTAAAGAAATAATTACTGATGTTTCTCCCAAAATCATAAAGGGCATTGAGTTCAGTGCTTTAAGTGCAAATGAAGTTGTTCAGCAGTCTGAAGTTGAAATTGGCGGTGGTGATATGTTTGATATCTCATTTGCTCCAATGAGGGTTCCAAAGGAACATGGTGTTTTAGATACTAAAATGGGTGTAGGTTCCAAAGATTTATACTGTAAGACTTGTAAAGGTAACTTGATAAACTGTAATGGTCATTTTGGCCATATCAAATTGGCCTTACCATGCTTTCATATTGGTTATTTCAGACATATCATTCAAATTTTAAAAATCATATGTAAAAATTGTTCAAGAGTTTTGCTAGATGAGAATACCAAAATTGGGTTTTCAAAAGAGTTGAGAAAACCTTCCATAGACAATTTAAAGAGAATGTCTGTTATGAAAAAAATTGTCAAACAATGTGAAAAGCAGAGAAGATGCAACCACTGTGGATGTCTCAATGGAGGTGTCAAAAAAGCAGCTTCCGGTTCAAGTAATGCTGCTTTAAAAATTATACATGACACTTTTAAATGGATCGGTAAAAAAAATCCTATTGAAAAAGTCCAATGGGACCAAGATTTTAATCACTTGTTTCAATCAAATCCCGAACTAGAAAGGTTTTTCAAAAGATGTGTTGATGATTTAAATCCTTTAAGAGTATTACATCTTTTTAAGCAAATTGTTCCCGAAGAATTGGAGTTGATTGGATTGGACCCCAAAACTGGTGGCAGACCTGAAACCTATATTTGGAGATATTTACCATGTCCACCTGCTTGTATCAGACCTTCGGTTGTTATGGTAGACTCCTCAAATGAAGATGATTTGACTGTAAAATTAAATGAAATTGTTTTTTGTTCTAACTTGATAAGATCGGGTCTAGAAAACGGTATTCCAATCAATAAGCTAAATGAACAGTGGGACTTCCTTCAGGCTTCAATTGCCATGTACATCAATTCAGATGTCGTCATTAATGCTATTCCTCCAGGCCCAGGTAATATGGGCAATAAACCAAAGGTTATAAGAGGGTTTTGTCAGAGATTAAAAGGTAAAAAGGGTAGATTCAGAGGTAATTTATCTGGTAAGAGAGCAGATTTTACTGCTAGAACTGTCATTTCCCCAGATCCCAATTTATCAATTGAAGAAGTTGCTGTTCCTGATAGAGTTGCAAAAGTTCTTACATTCCCAGAAATGGTCAACAATATTAATAAGGAAAAATTAAAAACACTAATTAGAAATGGTCCAACTATCCACCCAGGTGCCAATTATATTATAAAGAGGAATGAAGATTCTAAAAGAAATTTAAAGTTTTCTAATAGAGACAAGTTGGCAAATGAATTGCGTTCTGGTGATATAGTTGAAAGACATATCAATGATGGCGATATAGTTCTTTTTAATCGTCAACCTTCTTTACATCGTTTATCTATTTTATCTCATTATGCAAAAATTAAACCATGGCGTACTTTTAGATTTAATGAGTGTGTTTGTACTCCTTATAACGCCGATTTTGATGGCGATGAAATGAATTTACATGTTCCGCAAACTGAAGAAGCTAGAACTGAAGCAATAACATTAATGGCAGTCAAGAATAACCTATTGACACCAAAGAGTGGTGAGCCAATTATTGCTGCTACACAAGATTTTATTACAGCCAGTTACTTGTTGTCGAAAAAAGATACCTTTTTTAGCAGAGCAGAATTATCTCAAATATTGGCTTCTATGAGTGATGCAAATACCCAATTCGATTTACCTCCTCCAACAATTGTCAAGCCAAAGTATTTATGGACGGGAAAGCAAGTATTTTCGCTATTGATTAAACCGAATTCCAGTTCTAAAGTAGTTATCAACTTGGATGCAAAAAATAAAACCTTTGAAAAGCCATTGAAAGGATATAGAGATGAAATGTCTCCCAATGATGGTTTTGTTGTAATCAGGGGCTCACAAATTTTGTCAGGAGTAATGGATAAATCAGTCTTAGGTGATGGTAAGAAGAAGTCCGTATTTTATTCTATTTTACGTGATTATGGTCCTGATGAAGCTGTGAAAGCAATGAATAGAATGGCTAAAATGTCTGCCAGATATCTTGGAAACCGTGGATTTTCAATTGGTATTGATGATGTTATGCCTCCATTAAGCTTAAGAACTCAGAAGGAAGAATTGGTTAGGAAATCTTATAAAGAATGCGATGATTTAATCAGATTGTATAATGAAGGAAAATTGGAAACACAGGCAGGGTGTAATGAGGAACAAACTTTGGAGGCTAAAATTTCAGGTATTTTAAACGATATTAGAAGTACTTTGGGTTCTGTTTGTTCAGATGTGTTGAAGAAATCTAACGCGCCATTAATTATGGCTACCTGCGGGTCTAAAGGTTCTGCAGCCAATGTTGCTCAGATGGTAGCAGTTGTCGGACAACAAATTATTTCTGGTAATCGTATTGCAAATGGTTTTGAAGACCGTACACTACCTCATTTTTTGAAAAATTCCAAAACTCCTCAGTCTAAAGGATTTGTTAAAAATTCTTTCTTTTCTGGTCTTACTCCCCCAGAATTTTTGTTTCATGCCATTTCAGGCAGAGAAGGTTTGGTTGATACAGCTGTTAAGACAGCAGAGACTGGTTATATGTCTAGAAGATTAATGAAATCTCTAGAAGATCTTAGTTGTCAGTATGATGGAACTGTCAGAAACTCTTCAAATGGGATTGTTCAGTTTAAATTTGGTGGAGATGGTCTCGACCCACTCGATATGGAAGGAGATGCTCAACCTGTTGATTTTGATAGAACTTGGAATCATTGTTATACAACTACTTATAGTTCTGAAGATAAATGTTTGTTGCCTTATGAAGTGATTGAAATAGCAGCAAATAAATTGAAACCATTTCAAGATAAATTGGTAAGATATGATAACTTGGGACGTGTAATTAGTAATGTGGAAGATCTTAACAAAGATGAGTTTGTTGATAATCTGGATGGTGAAAGAAGTTTTTATGATTCTGTTATTGATTTTGTTAAACAAAAAGCTGAAATTTTGGGAGGTATAAGGGTCAAGAAAAATCTTTCAAGATGTTTCGAAAAACCTAAAACAAAAACAGAAGATCAAGATATTGTTTCGCCTTTTATTCAAAATTCAATTGACCAACTAAGTAAAATTACCTTCTCGTTTGTTGAAAATTTTATTGATGTTTGTTTGCATAAATATTCCAAGGCTAATATTGAGCCAGCAACCGCGGTAGGAGCTATTGCTGCACAATCTATTGGTGAGCCAGGAACTCAAATGACATTGAAGACTTTCCATTTTGCTGGTGTTGCTTCTATGAATATTACATTAGGTGTTCCTCGTATAAAGGAAATTATTGATGTTACAAAGGACATTTCTACACCCATTATTAAAGCTATTTTGGTTAATGGTAAAGATGAAAGAGCTGCAAGATTAGTTAAAGGTAGAATTGAGAAAACTACGCTTCATCATATTGGTGGATATATTGAGGAGGTGTATTCATCATCTAAAATTTATTTAAAAATCAAAATTGATTTGCAAACGGTATCCAAATTACAATTGGAGTTGACCATTGAAAATGTTGCAGAAGCCATTGCAAGGGCATCTAAGTTGAAGATTTCTGGACAAGATATCAATATTATGACGGATAATACGATCCATGTTAACTGTTATGATGAGGATGAAGAAAAAGCATCCAAATCGGCCAGCACTACTAAAAAAATTCACGAATCGAATTTGTTTTTCAGAATTCAGCAATTAAGAAGGGAATTGCCTAATATTCAGGTCAAGGGATTGCCAGGGGTGCAAAGAGCAGTTATTAATATTGATGAAAAACTTAAAGAAAACGTGTTATTGATTGAAGGTTATGGGCTCCAAGATGTTATGACAATTGATGGTATTGCTGGAACCAAAACCAGTTCGAACCATGTTTTAGAGATGTTTAATGTGTTGGGTATTGAGGCAGCTAGAGCCAGTATAATCCATGAAATTATCTACACTATGAGCAACCATGGTATGAGTCTTGATCCACGTCACATCCAATTGTTGGGAGATGTTATGACATACAAGGGGGAAGTTTTGGGTATTACTAGAAATGGGTTGGCTAAAATGAGAGATTCAGTTTTACAATTGGCATCATTTGAGAAAACGTCTGATCATTTATTTGATGCAGCATTTTATATGAAGAAAGATGAGGTCAAGGGGGTTTCTGAGTGCATCATCTTAGGACAAACAATGAGTATTGGAACAGGAGCATTTCAACTTGTTAATGAAACAGAAATTATACCAGAAGAATTGAAACCAAAAAGGTGTTTATTTGAATCGTTTTGTACTTAGATCTTGAGAACTAAGGTATATAGATTGAAATACAAATAATGATAATGAAAATAATAAAGGAAAATTATAAAAAAATATAACGTTAAATTAAGTTATTGATATAAAAGTTAAGCTATGATTATGATTCAAATTCATAATCAGGATTTCTTGAATATCTTACATAACCTTCAAAGGTGCCAACTTTAGTATATAAAAGCTGGGCTCTGTGGTTATTCAATTGAGTAGACCAATAAACTTTAGTACAGTTCTTCAAGTCAGCCTGCTTATAGGTGTATTCAAATAATTTTCTCCCAACACCACCAAGCCTATTCTTTTCAGAAACATACAAATCGTTGATGTACATGTAAGTTGTTGGAGACCAGGTGCTCAAATGGGTCAAGTAAGAAATAAAACCAATGACTTTATTTGTCTTTTTAGAGACAGCAACAGCACACCACATTGTAACCGATTCGTCCAAAAACCTCTCAAAAGTATAGTCAGTAACATCAGGAGGAACCGATTTTTGATAGAAAGTCAAGTAGCTGTCTGTTTTGCCAGACCACAACTGGACCCATTGGTCTTTGTCTTCTCTCTCAATTGGTCTTATAAGGAACTCAGATGTTTCAGCCATTTCCAAGCGCACAATTTGCAAGATACATCTGTGTTGTATCAACAAAAACAGAGGCAGCTAAAAGGATTATATACAGATTAGTCACTAATCACTTTTGATCTTGCCCAAACGGGCGTTTTGCGCTCGGCTGGCTCAGAAGCCGTCATCTGCAAGACGTGCAGCAGTGCGCACGTAAAACGCAGCAGCATCGAAAACCGTCGCGGTGGATTTGGAGCTCCACCACCAGTTGATGAGGTCCAAGTGGTCGACGTTCTCGAGGGTTCCGAGATAAGTGCCCCATTTCGACGACAGCACAGACACCAATCCGTCGTTGTCGCCGGCAGCTTTGTTCACGACCCTCCAGGGGATGTTGAAGAGATTACGATAGGTTGGAGTGAACTGGGCTCCATAGCTGTAGTAGCTCACCGACGGATCGTTCACAACACTCTTGTTGAACTGCTCGTTGAGATACGAGGTGGTTAGTTGGCTGAGACTGGGGGGTACCACTTGCTGGGGAATCTTATATGTTTGCAACAAGTTGCTCAAGAAGTCTGCAAACTCGCTGCCATGATGGGGAGTCGAGATAGTGGTCAACGATGAGATGCCATATCTTTTCTTATCTATCTTGGAAATCAAGTATCTTGAATCTAACCCGCCCATTGAATGGGCGATTAGATTGAACTTCAACTGACCTGGACTCTTATCGCTATTTTTGTACTTTTCAAAATATGGGTCGTTATCAATGTAATTTTCAATAGAATTATTGAGTTTTTTGGCTCGATCTTCAATACTATCAAAAGGAGGAACCGAAGCTGTGATGACTTTCGATCCATTTGCTTCCAATATCTCTTTTATGCCCCTCCAATAATGAAAATATATATTGTTTTTCGTGAGATCATCACTGATTTTGTGGATTTTATTTTCAAACCTATTACTTAATTTATCTGCTATGAATGGCAAGCTAGGTAGCAATAAAATTTTGTCAAATCCTGAAAACCCATGACATAAAACAATCGGATTTTTCGGCGGTTTGTAATTGTTGTAATTTTTTTTCAACAAGTTACTATTAACTAAAAAAAAATTGGAGTTAACCAATAACTTCCCGCTGTTCATATTCATCTAGCAGAAGGACTAATGTGTTTTTTTTGGTTTCTTCATCTGTTACTTCCCACCAGAATATCACTGGTTCGATTTAGCAACTGAAACAAGCCAAATTCAGGTTTCGTGTTCCTGGAAATTACCACAATTACGGGTTTGCATACAACAGCATTAGACAAGCGTCGAACTACTGACATATGCACATATATACAACCTAAATAGGATTCCAGAATACTAAAAAATGCTATTTTCTCCAAGTTCATTTTCCTTTATGTTATAGTTTGCCAACTCAATATGGTCCTTTTTCTTAAGGTGTGTTTTCGTTAGTTTAAATCTTGTTGGATACTGCCATTTATTGATCTTCGCAATATTGATAACATCAAAGTTACGCAAAGACAGAAAGTCTTTTAAATTATCGGTCAATTTACAATACCATTGATACGCTTTTTTAGACAACTTTAATCGATCATATCCAATTATTATCCAATTCATACTTTCATTTGTGACCTTTAAATTGAACGATTTAGTCATAACCTCAGTAATTTTAATACACTTGTCTATCTCTTCAATTTTCTTATTCCAGTTATCTTTGTTGAAATTCTGATTCATGATTTTGAATTTAATAGTCCCAATTATGATATGCTCAAAAAACTTATCATCAAACTTCTTTTTGGAATTTGAAACAATTTTTTTTGAAATTATCGACAAAAGATAGTCATTATATATCTTGAGAAAACAAATTCCCAATCTTTCAATAACAAATAGCTCACTTAAAAATAAATTAACTATACCAATATCTAAATTATCTGGATGAAATGGATGTGTTTTTAAATACCTGGCTTGTGGATTATTTGAAATATATGTCTGCGTTTTAATAATTGTATCTTTATATGAATTATAAAACGATAATATTGTATGTGCCCTCTCCTTAGCATGCATGCTTTTTTCAAGACTTAAGTAAAATAGTGTCTGTTTGTAAAAAATATTTAGATAATGAATTTTGAACTCCTTTGTTATCAAACTTGTTTTCAATGATAGCTTGTTCCCAAAGTCAGGATTTAATACTTTTAGATTCTCAATATAATATTCAAAACTCTTAACGTCTAAAAATGATATAGGCTCAACCTTTTGATGATGATGATAATACTCAACCAATCCCAACTGGTTTAACAATGAAAAAACCGTCCCATCAATAACTTCATTCATTTCGGTATCCTGGAAATATTTCAATATTTCAAAATTTGATTTGAAATTATTTAAAAAAACTTTGTCATCAAATACTTTAATAAAACTATTCAAATAGTTGAGAGAATCTCTTGAAAAGTTCTTTTGAAATGTGCATAACAATTCAACTGTTAATATAGAAATGTCGGTATCGTTTAATTTTCCAAAAGTTTCTATATTTTCAATAATACTTTTAATCAATACCAATGAAATTCTAGGTAATTCAGATAATCTAAATTGTTTAACTAAAGATAAAACCATCTTGAAAAGTTTCACTCTACTGTCATAATGTACTTTTTTCATCTGCTGAAAAATGAAAGCTAAAAGTTTACTGGAATTAATTAAACTGAAAAAAATAAAATTAATGAAAATATAATCTGAAGTTAAAAAATCTTTTTGACTTTCAACGGTCATTTTTGAAAATTCATATTCGTATCGTTTTTGTGTGACTCGAAGCAATTGATTTATTTGTATTTTGAATTTCTCAAAATTTGTTCTATAAATTTCTTTTGACGCAATTGTCTTGGACAGTTTAAAAGTCAAGTGATACGATCTTTGAAAATACTGATACTCTTTAAGTTTATTTTTGGTTATTCTTGATAATTGTTTAAAAGAATATAACAATTCTAATTTCAGGTCAATTATGGATTGATGTATTATTTCATTGTTAATTTCTGCAAGGGATTTATTTTTAACGCTTGATTCTGGCTTATTATCGGTCCTTGGAGAAAGCTTATAATCAAACCCTAGGTTTGATTCAATGTCTAATTGTGGTAAAATTAACAAATTTTTGATATCTAAATGAGTTAGAGAATATAAGTTTAAATTAGAGGACAAAAGATGATTATAAAAAGGATGCAACACTTTGTCAAAGTGTTTGTTTGTTTGGAAAGTTATGATATTATTATTAATTAATCTAATAAAAAAATTCTCATACTCATTAACTGGTAGAGTTTGAAATAAACGATGGTAAAAAAACGGATGCAAAATAATTATAAATTTTTTCAATTCTAAAAGGTTTGATATATTACCGGGATCGTTTTTTAAATACTTGACATTATTTTCAATTGAATCTTTAAGAATCAAATTAACATAAACTGAAAGTGTGTCGAATACTTTAAAAATTTCTTTGTGATCTATATTTTGATTAGCCAAATAATTGAATAAATATGTTATTGAAGTTTTTGAAAAAGTAGAGTTTGGAAAAAAAATTTCTCTTAATAAGGTTAATTTGATTGAATTGTTGTTTATGACGCTTTGATTTTCAGAACCAAATTCAATGGCTTCTTTGATTTCTTCGAAAATTTGATTTTCAATAAAAAAATATATTTGCAAAATAGATTTTTCTGAAGAACAACTTAATTGGTTTTTGTATATCCGAAACAAAAGCTTCAAATTACTTATCAAATTGTAAGTCAAAAGAGGTTTGTTTATTATATTATCCAATACAAGATTTTTAATTAAAAAAATCATCTTTATGATAGAATCAAATGAACCGTCACGCAAATCTATGGAACAATCATCGTTCTCAGAGGTTTTAGTTATTAAATTCAAAAGTTGTTTGAATAACAACTCATTGTTCGTGGTAAATACAAAATCCCAAAATTCATAACTGCTAATAAATTTTTCCTTTTCAGTTCCAAGGTTTTGAAGAAAAAAAATTGAATCTGGTTCTTTTGCGAATTTGGTTAAAGTCAAAGATTGTGGATCAATATCGAGGATTTCATTTCTCAAATTAAGTCTCAGCCTAGTTTTCTCAATTAAGTCTTCCTTCGAATTGATGTCTGGCGCATTGAATACCACTATTGGATTTTTCGAAACCTTTTTTGTGAATTTGTCATTGACTATTTTCAGATCGAGATTCTGTTGAAAATCTTGATTTAAATTTGGAAAGGTTTTAATTTTGTTCAGTGAAATTTGACCAATTTGATTCTTAAACAAAATACCAGCATGAAAGTAATTTTGAGGCCTGAAAATAATAAAAGATCTGTTCAACAGCTTGAGTCTTGCTATCTTATTATTGCAAAGTACCCTTATCATTTTAGCCAGGCAAAGTCAAATCAAACATCTCCAGCAGACTGAAAGAAAGAAAGTCTCTTAGCAACAAGAAAAAAACAGGCCAATCAGCGGCCGTTGCGCTCTGAAAAAACTCACCTCCCGTTTCCGGAAATCCGTGTGTTTGGACAGAATTTCCGCATGATATCCGCATGTTTACGGTATGTATCCTGTGTGCGGAAGTACACGGAACTTACACGGATGTTGCTTTTTCCACAGTTATGTGAGAAGAAACAACACCAACGCCAACAAATGAACAGAACCCAAGTGCAGTTGGAGAGTATGAATAGAAGTTAGTTGGTGCCCTTGATGAAAAATGATGACAGCAAGATTGACTTTCAAAACGAAGAAACCGAACATGACCGGCGACAGGGGGTTTCTGAGCCGTATTTTCTGAATATTCCTAACAACCAGTATATGAGAAAGTTGATAGAGATCCAAGAAAACCAATTGAAAATTATCAACAGCATTAAGAAACACCAAAAGCAATTTCAATTATTGTCTCAGGATTTTCCCTTTTTGAAGAAAGAAATGTTGCTTGATTTTGTGGATGAAAAATATGACGAAAACAATAACAATAGAGATAGCAATGAGAGGCTCGGCAGTTTCAATCGAAGATTTCAATCTGATTTTAATGAAAACCAAAATTTTGATTATGATACTGATAAAAGCATTCAAAGTTTGAACAGCGAGAGCCATGAAAATGAAGAGGCTCACTCCAGGCAAAACAATTATCATAAAATTAATCTGAATGATAATAATAATACTAATAGTAATAATAATAGTAATATCATTAAAAGTCCTAATAATGCGAATGATACTAAAGATAACTCTCATGAAAATCCCAACACAAAAAATTCTAACAAAAATAAAGAAATTCAAAATTTAGAAAATAATAAAAAAGATATTAAACTTGCTAGCAGCAGCACTGACAATTCTACAAATGACATATCACATAATAGTTATGAAAATGATGACTCCTATACTTTATTAATGGATTTAGGTAAACAGCTAAAGTCAAAAATAACATATAAATTTAACACTAGCAATATTAATTTGTCATTTGTTCAAAATGAAAGCTCTCTTTCTGATGATAATAACAATGAAAACAAAGATTTTCAAAATACTGAAATTTTGGATGATATTTATTACGCATTTAATCATATTTCAAATGGCATCGATGGCTCCAATATAGCTGAAAATAACAATTCAATCTCAATTGCAAATTATAGTGATAGCACAAATGATAGTGATAATAAAAATGATTATGATAGTGGTCAAACTCATATTGCTAATCAAAAAAAAAAAGAAAAAGAAAGAGAAAGAGAAAATAATAATTTAAATCTAGATTCAAAGGAAAAAATTGAAAAGTTAAAACTTAAATCAACTAAAAAAATTAAATCTCAGTGGAACTCAATTATTAAAAAATATAGTTCTTATGACTTGAATAACCAGGGAGATTTGGTTGATATTTTCACGGGTGAGATTGTTGAAGATAATGGACATTTAAAATCTATAGATTCAAAAAACTCAAATTTATGGAAGTTATTCTCAAATAAACAAAAAATTATTGCAAAAAGTAAAAATGATGAGTCTGATGAGCAGATATCCAAAATTGACGAGGAATTCAAAAGTGAAAAAAATAACCAAGATAACACCCAAAATGACCCTATTAAAAACAAAGAAAACATTGAACTTATTCCAAAAATAAATTTAAATAATAATATACATGCGCACGATTCTTATTTAATAGAAGATAATCCCAAATTTCACTTAACAGGCATAGAAACCTCCACTCCTTTTTTTCCCAATAAAAATGCTCTTGACATAGAGGTTAATAGCATTGGAACTTTGACACCATTTCTGTTTGATAAAAATAATCTTGGTATTAATAATATAAATCTGTATGGAATTGAAACTCTAACTCCTTTTCCTTTATTCAAAAGGAAGCCATTTTTATTAAAAGATCAAATTCAAACTTCAACACCACTTTTAAAAAATAATGAAATACATTTTGATTTAAATAACATTGACACTTCCACTCCCTTTTCTTCTAATCAGATAGATATTAATAATTTTAAAACTGGAAATCTAAATTTAAATTCAACTAAACTTAAAAGTTCAATACTAAATCCTAAAAATCAGTTTAACATTAGCATTAGTGACCTTCAAACGTCAACTCCTCTACCAACATTTCTCAATAACAAACCTAATGCTAATAAACTTAATGCTAATCCTGATAATAACAATAAATATTCTTCGGATAATTATATTAATAAAAATTACCAAGATAATGGTTCCATTAATGATAATTTAGTGTTTTTGACACCAAAGCCAATAACAGCAAAATCCAAGAGGAAACTACAATTGTATTCCATAAAGAAAACAGCAAATCAAAGCGATATACTGTTAATGGATGATCTCGATCTTCTCTCTTCATCACGTAAAACAAAAAAAACAACTCCTAAAAAACTAAAACGATTGTCTCGAAATCCATTTGCATTTAATAAAAACAAAAATAATAAAAAGCTTTCAAACGATAAAACCCGAAATAAAAATCGTAATCAAAAACCAATGGGGAACAATATTTCCTTGAATAATTCTACAGTTTTTGACAACGATGTTGAAAATATTGAAGAAAGAAAATTATCTGGAATTCCTCAAGACAACGATGATGATTATGAATCAACTCAAACTGATAATCAAAGATATAATAATTATTTGAACTCTGACGAGTTCATTCAAAGTATTACAGCTCCCAAAAGAGTTAACGAAAGTCTGCCAGAATTCAACAAGTCAATGATAGATTCGTCGCCTTTAAAGAACAAGTCTAACACTGAGTCTTCCATCAACAGCGGTTTTTCAAAAGGAAATACCTCGACTGAGTTTTACAAGAAAAAGAAATCTTCGATTCATTTAAATCAAGAATTGTTATCTTCGCAAGCAATATCTGGAAATGAAACCATTATTAGCAACAATATATATGGTAGAAACAAGAATGATAGCATTCAGGCTAAATCGAATAACGCTCTCTTTAATATCAACACTCCTTCACCTATTCGGTCTAAGAATTATTTGAAAGAAGAGAATAACATGGCAATTGATAAAAAATCCCACAAGACTGGCGAGTCATTATCAATTATCAGTTTAAATTCCAATGATTCTACTCTGGAAAGTGTTCATAATAAGACTAAGAAAGAGAACATTTTGTATGATGTGAAAACACCAAAGAATGTGAATTTTACAACGGATAATGAGACATTTGAGTTTGAAAGGGAAACCAAATTATTACCCAAATATCAGAAAATGAAAACTTATGGAAAAAGACCTAAAAATCAGTTTTCTTTTAACAAAATGTCCAAAGAACATTATTTGTTAGATTCAACTATAATATCAGATGACGACAGTTCAGACTTTGAGCTTCTTGAGGTGTTTGAAAATGCAAGACTGCAAAAAATGGCTGCAGATAATTTAAAAAAAGTAACTGTTCATGATATAACTGATGATAGTAATTTTGATGAGATGGATGATCGTAAAAAAAGACAAAACCTAAGCAAATACAAAAACAATGGTTCCAGCAAGAATAAGAGAAGATCCCAAAATCACGAATCAGGCAGTATGAAAAAAAGAACTCGATCTAATATTAAAAATCAAAAAGAAAACTCGACATTGATTGACGAGCTTAGTTTTTCGAATATTAGTAACTAACAAATCAAATATTTATGATTGCATCAATTTTTTTGTTTTAACTTTAACTTATTCAATTTTTTGTTTTTATTTGATTGATTCTGTTTATTTCATTCATTTCATGTGTTTATTTGTTCTTATTTTGAATAGACTTGTATTATATTACTTTGCATTTTTTTGTTTACATTTCATGTTTTTTTGACACAAAATAAAAAAAACATTCTATCTATTTATATATAATTATGTAGATAAAGGATGGTTGAGATGGTTAAGCAACTCATGATTTGATGCCACTCATCATTTCTTCTTTTGTGATCAAATGCCCAATAGTTTCAACGTGATTTAACAACTGTTCGATGCTATCAGACCAGTTGTTTAAAATTTCATTTGAATCTTGAGGTTTAACAAAAGAAACAACCTTGGCAGGTCTGTTAATTTTGGCATAAATTATTCCATTATTAACTAAGTCGCTTATGAAGGATTCGGTTTCAAATTCAGACAAGTCTAATAATTGAACTAGTCTGTTTAATCTGATGTTTGAATAATATTTTGCTATAACTCTTAGATTATGTTCAATGACTCTTTTTTTCAAATCGCTCCAATGGGCGTCAACAGCTTCTAAATCAGATTTTGATTGATCTTTTGATAAATTTCTGTTGAATATGAAATTTTTATTTAATTCGTCGCCAAAGTTTTTCTCAATTATGGGCCACCTCATCAATTCTTGGGTAATAAAGGATTTGATCAATTCATATTGTAAAGGCAATTTTTTCAAGTTTGGATCATTATAGATTCTGTTGATTAAATCATTTTGGTAGTTATTGTAGGGAGATAAAATTATAAAATAAGCAATGTTGGTCAAGATTTCGCTTAGCTTTAATTTATCAGATTTAATTGAGTCGATTTCATAGATTGATAAATAGTACTTGACGATATTTGCATAGTCGTTGGCATGTAAACCGATTTTAACCATCAATTGATAATAACTTAATTTTATATCATGGAATTTTTGTAAATTGAGGGTTTTTGGTAAGATTTTTCTTGCTAAGATTTTTGCTTGTTCAAAATCGCCTTTCTTGATGGACAAGTCAATTTGAATTAAGATAAATTCCATTTTTTCTCTAATTTCCATCGAGCCATAAGTTTCAACCTGTAGTTCGCACATTAAATCACAAGATGCTTCAATATCATTGAATCTAACTAATTTGATTTCTGACAACAACTTAGTTACTCTTGCTCTTTCAACTTCAACGTAAATTTTGTTTTCGGTAACGATTCTAATGTTTTCGATGGTTTTGATCTTCAAGTCCAATTCTTTTTTGATATTATCATTAAGATTGTCTAATTTTGAAATGATTTGCTGAACCATTTTTTGAGTGGCCAACTTTAACTGGCCATGTTTTTTGGATAATAAGATCAACTGTTCATTTAGTGTGTCCCAGTCATCTTTGGAAGTTAACAAATCGACTATATAGGTCAAAACTCTTTTGGAAGATACAAGATCAGAAGACTGCCTGGTTTGTTTTTCTAATATCAACAATTTTTCTAGAGCAGCTTTGTAGTCTTGCTGTATATAAAGTTAGTGCCACCCAAAAACAAAAAGTAGAAAATAGACAGAAAGAAAGCCTGCAGAACAAGAATTGGCAACGTACCTGTGCAAGCTCCTCAACCTGAGGAAGCTGCTCGTCAATTGTAGCAGAAAAGTCCTTTTTTGGTTTGTAAAGAGCGTCAGACATTGTTGATGAGCTGTATTTTATCATCAGAATTTGTCTTCAGAAGAAGCTCCATCAAAATCTGAGATCTGAAAATCCAAAAAGAAAATCCGCAGAAAGCACGGATATCACGTGACACGGATATATCCGCTTAAACATATCCGTGACACGGCTGACGTGGTGATGACTCAGCAATATCCGCATCCGTTCTCTGCTGCTTCTGCTGCTTCTGCTGCTTTTGCTGCCAGAAAAAAGAGGAGCAAGAAGAAACGCTGCTCCAGAAGTAGCAATGTTCAGGGCAGTAGCAGCAGCACCCAGAACAACAGGAGCACCATGGGCTGTGCCAGGTCTTTTGCTAGCGAGATGTGTATGTTCCTTTTTCTCTTTAAATTACTAATCTCTTGTTATTGATTGGTCTCACTAACTTATACCACATCTTCTGTTTAATCAAACACTGTTTGTTAGCCCCAGTCTGTTATCAATTACAATTGTCTTGCTCACACTAGAAACATGCATGTTGAATCAATTCCTATGAGATGGCACAGAGGTGATAACTATGCCTATTTACTAATCGATGACGAGACCTTGGATTCATGGCTAATTGATCCTGCTGAACCCAAGGATGTTATAAACTATTTGCAATTGAAAAAAGACGACAGATCAGTCAGATCAATCAATTCTGCGCCTGCTGCTTTTAATCTCCCAGCCAACTATAATCTATCGTCCAATTTGAAAGCGATAGTTAATACCCATCATCACTATGATCATGCTGGTGGAAATCCTTTTTTTAGCAAACTATTCCCAAATTTACCAATTATAGCAGGAAAGGACTCGAATTTAGTCTCGTTGGTTCCCAGTGATAATCAAGTTTTCAAACTAGGCAACAATATCGAAATCACAGCCATTCATACCCCATGCCATACAGTGGATTCAATCTGTTATTTTGCGACTGATTTGAAGACAAGGAAAAAAGTTGCTTTCACTGGCGACACTTTGTTCACTGCAGGCTGTGGAAGATTCTTTGAAGGCAATGGTGAAGATATGGACAATTCATTGAATGTCAAGTTGAAAACTGCGTTGCCAAAGGACACAATTATTTATCCAGGCCATGAATACACCAAAGACAATATCAAGTTTGCCAAATCTGTTTTGAAAAACAATTTGTTATTATCTTTTGTGGAAAGCCAAATCAAGGACAAAGAGTATACTACTGGTTTATTCACAATCGAGGACGAAATCAATTTCAATCCCTTTATGAGAATTGAAGATGAAGAGGTCTTAATTGCAACTAATTCTGCTATAAATTCGTCTCAAGACCGATTTAAAATCATGGATAAATTGAGAGAAATGAAAAATAATTTTAAATCATGATTATTTCAAATTAGGCACCACATATCTATATAGTATATATTTATTTATTTATTTATTTTTATATATTTTATTTTTTTTAAACAAACCATTAAAAATTTAAAACTAAAATCAAAATCAAAATCAAAATCAAAATCAAAATCAAAATCAAAATCAAAATCAAAATCAAAATCAAAATCAAAAGACAAAAGACAAAGAAGAACCAAAAAATCAAGTAAATAAGTAAAGAATTAGATAAGTAATTAAATAAAGTAGAGAAATAAAATTATATGAAAACATATATCTATGAATGACTTTTTAAATGTGCTGATGCATTTTTATACAAACTTTGCCAAACATATGCTTCACTCAACAACACTCCAACATCTTCTTCTGTCCAGTTGGTTGTTGGGGGATTTTGCAAAAAAATCATTATATCTTGAAATTCCATCTGCTTCAATTCGTCACTCCATTTAACCAAAAATGCAGCACAAACGTATATATGAAATTCGCTAAAGCCATTTATGCCTTCGGTTAAATAAGTGTCCCACATTCTAATGATGTTGTCTATTGACAATTCTCTCATTAACAAGCAATTCATCCATCTGAATGAAAACTGTAGGAATTCTATACCTTCTTTTTCCAAGTGATTGGCCAACTCAATATCTATTCTATAAATTAGATCCTTTAGCTCATTGACCTGGCGAATTATTCCAGGCTGGGCGTGGATGTAGTTATCTTGAATAGAATCTAGTAGTTTCGTTAGACACCAGAATGTATCGGCTTCAACAGCATTTAATATATCTTGATTTACGTTGGATGGATCAAAATTGTCGAGCGAGTTTTTATTGTTGTCCAAGTTGAGGTAATTTGATAAAAAAACTTGGAAAAAGGGAGTTGATAGATCGTTTATGCCCTGAACATAACCACTGGCAGGATGTCTAACAGCCCATAGGTATAGTATTCTTTCTAAAGATTTTTGGATAATTGGATATGAGTATAGTTTGAGATGTGGGTTGGTTCTTGGAACGTCGATGGATATTTGGTGCCATGTTGTTTGGTCTTTTATTGGGCCATCGTTACTATTATTGAATAGTTGGTTGATACTATCTAGATACTCTTTTCTTTTTCTTTTTAGAGTGGAAGCACGTCTATCGTTGTTGGATGGCAAGTAGTTTAGTAGTAGCTGCCATGATATTGATCTGAATTCCATGGGGATGCCATTCCAAGATAGCTTTTTTAGGTTATTCAAGTCGATAATGGAGTTTGAAGTAAGTAGGATTTTTTTGAATTTATTGAATCTCGATAAAGAAGCGTTGATCTGTTCATTTTGAGCAATTGAGTTTAGATTGAAGGTTTTGTTTATTATTAGTTTTGAGTTGTTGATTAGAGAGAGTGGGTAGGTTAGATTGTATAGATTTGATCTTGGGTCTATTATAATGGATTTGTAGTTTGATTTTATGCCAAACTGGAGTGAGTTGAGGTTTAGATCTGGATACAATTGGTTCATATCGTCAACGCTGCTATCGAGACTCTCGTTGAAGGAGGAATTGGTTGTGTTATTAGTACGTGTGTTATTGGTGGGGTATTTCTGGCTGCTGTTGTTACTGTTGTTGTTGTTGTTGTTGGGATCAAACTGGAAGTCGTTCTCTACTTCGTTTAACGAGTTGTCGATGGTTGCATCCCAGTCATCGTCAAAGTCAGTCTGTTTGAATTTTTTCTTGTGGATACTGTTGTAGTTCAAATTGTTGTTGGTGGACAAATTTGGCGAGCTGTAGAAGGTAGAAGGAGGTGATTTGGATGATCTTGACTGGGAAGTGGAGCGACGATGGTTGATGATGTTGGTGATGGCGTTGTTGGCAGCACTGTTGAGGCTGTTTTTGCTACTGAGGTTGTGGGGATGGTTGTAGAGATAGGTGTGGGACTGGCTGTGGGAGCCTGGTTTGGGAGAAGAGGATATCTTCCTCAAACTCTCGTTGTTCTTCAACGAAGCTGTGGGCAACAACCCATGGGAGAAGGAAGCACCTATGATCTTGGGGTCTTCGTGCACAGGCTTTTCCTTCTTGCTTTTACTGGCAAAGGAGCTCTTTTTGGAGAGGTTTTTCATGAAAGAGGAAATGGTAGTCCCTCGTCCCCCATTCTCAGAAAACACAAATTCGTTTTGATCTAAAAGAACAGTTAATAAGCTGCCAGTGGAAGAAGAGCAGAAAAGAATACATGAGTAACATACAGATTTGGGACATTTCCTGGAGACCAGCGAGGTGTTAGTAGGAGCTGGAGGAAGAGGAGGAGCAGGAGAAGATACGTACTGGAGAACGAGCTGGAGTGGGCTTCTTTGAGGGCATTTTGAGAGAAACACTGGAGAAAGAGCTGGAGAAAGAGCTGAGTTGGTGAAGAAAGAGAGGAAAGAGAGGGATTTGCTGGATGAGTTTTGTTTTCTTTTTCCGCTGTGAAAATTTGTCTGTTATTCTCAAGCTCAACTTTTGCTCTTCTCTGTGCTGCTTCTGCTTCCTGTGCTTCTGATTCCTCTGCTGAAGAGTTGTGGATGTTTCTGCTGCTGTTGCCACCTTCCCCATCGTCGTCTGAAGCTGTTTTCACTACGCTGTACATCCCATGAGCTTTCCCTTTACCAAAGGGCCCCATCTCTTCTTGCCTTTCTCTATCCATCGCCAAAAAGCTTCTCATCCTCTGCTGCCAGCAACATGTTTGAGATCAAAACTGTTGTGAGCATCACCTCTGACACCACCAGTCCAGTCCTCCTCTTGAGGTCCAAGATCAACAACACCAGGTACATCTTTGGCAAAGTTCCTGAGGGTTCGCAGAGAGTTTTTGCTGAGAATCAAATCAAATTGAGTGGGTCCCTAACTGTTCCTGCTCCTGCTCCTGCTACTCCTGCTTCTATTGCTGTTCCTATCCCTGCTACTGATGAAGAGGGGCAAGGTAAAAGCAATAGGAAGAAAAGAAGGCCCAATCAAACACCAAGGCTTCCCAGAAAGTCTGCTAAAAAATCTTTTTTGTTCAAGGGAATCTTTCTCACTGGAAACTTGGACTACAACTCAATTGGAGGTTTGCCTGGTTTGATATTGACTGTTGCTGACCAGGGCACTACTAAACTAAATATCTTTCATGGTTCCAACCTAATTCACTACATTGTGTCGACCTGGAGATCCTTTGTTTTCAGAAATGCAATTGATCTAAACGTTTTCAATTTTTTTGATTTCAACAACAACAACAACAACAACAACAACAATAATAATAATAATAATAATAATAATAATAATAATAAAAATAATAAAAATAAAAGCCAACCTATCATTAACAAAGATAACCAATATGAAGATGAAAACCTTATCATAAAGCCTTTCACCATAAACTCATCTCAAATCACCCCTTCTTACGACCCAAACCTAGATCTATCATCCCAAAACCAACAAAAAACACAAACTTATATAAAATCTTATCTCCAAAATATCATAAAGAACATGTTTCCAAATGACTTTATCCAAAATCCCACAACTTCTGAAATAATAGACTTGGAAATCAAATCACTAAAAAACCCCGTAGTTAATTCTCCTCTACCACTTTTAAATAAAAACCTATCATCCACATCCTACCTAATTCATTTCAAACCAACCAGAGGAAAATTCGATGTTGAAAAAGCAAATGAATTGAAAATCCCAAAAGGCTCATTATACGCAGAACTAACAAGGGGAAATTCAATCACCTTGGAAGATGGTCAAGTTATTCTTCCCGAACAGGTTTTATCAAAAGGCAAGACGTTTCAAAATGCCCTAATCATCGACATCCCAGACTATTCCTATTTGGAAAATACAATCAATTCAAACTGCTGGTTTGAAACAATCAATGACATTGACAAAGACAAAGACAAAAACATCATCGGCTTGGTCTACTTGCTCCTCGGTAAAGATATCGACCCAAAATCTTATCTACTTTTCGACTTTTACAATAAATTCATTCAGAAAAATAAAGATGTCAAATTTGTCATATCTCATCCCCTCTATAGCCCAAATCACTTGGTTTTTCAAAAAAGTGCAATCATGACTTTGAAATTAAAATCAGTATCAAATTTAGATTATTCCCTACCCAATTTTAACAACAACTACTTGTCCCTAAATAAAATTAATACAGAACTAAATATGTTACATCATAATAATACGGATCATCTCAACCCTTTAATCCAAAATCAGTCCTTTTTAATTCGACCTAACAAACCATGGAATATTTCTCCCAATCCACCTTTAATCTATAATAATGATGTTTTTTGGTCAGAAATGTTTGACACTAATGTTAAACCAGTACTAACAAGCAAAAATGTTAGTTCAATTAAAGCTAATCTCTTAAAGAAAACAAATCTTGCACAAAGATTCTTGTCAAATTCTCCTATTTTTGCTTTTCTTAAAAGACTTAAAAATCCCTACGTTCAAAAAAGACAATCCTTAAAATTTTTAAGAGATAAAGTTAAATTTATAACTTTAGGAACTGGAAGTGCTTTACCTTCTGTTTCGCGTAATGTTATTTCAACTTTGGTTCGTATTCCTCAATTTTCTATATCTTCAAATCAAAATATAAGTCATTCAAAAAAACTAGACTACTCTTCAATTTTATTGGATGCTGGAGAAAACACTTTAGGATCAATTGAAAGAATTTTCTCAACTCAAAAGGAAATTGAAACATTATTTTTAGAATTAAAATTCATCTTTCTATCACATTTACACGCTGATCATCATTTGGGTATAATCCCCATAATTAAAAAATGGTGTGAAATTAATCAAAAAAATGGGAAATCTGATAATACTTTATTTATTGCTGCACCATGGCAATATAACAACTTTTTAAATGAATGGAATGAAATTGAAAATTCATCTTATTCCCTTGAAAATGTTATATTTATTAACAATCAGGCATTATTGCATAATAGAAAAGAATTATACATGGAAAGAATGGAAAAAAAAAAAAAAAAAAAGCAAGAAGCCAAAAAAACAGAAGAATCCAGGAAAATCGCTGATGAAATTAACCTAGATATTGCTATTTTATTCGAAAAAGGCGAAGAAAACCAAAATGATTTGAACATCAAACATTTGAAAAATGACAATAAAGACACTAATCAAAAGATTAAGAAAGAAAACAAAGTGTCTGATCAGAGCAATAATAATGAGATTACAAAACAGTTTAGTGAAATTAACTTGCGGGGTCATCTAGCTAAATTGGAATCAAAGATTAAACCAGAAACTGAATCAAAAACTATATCGGATATTGAACTAGAAACTGAATCAGAGGCTAGATCGGAAATTGAATTAAATTATGAATCAGATATCGAATTTGATTATGAATCAGAGATTGAACCAAAGCCTGAAAATGTAAAATCAACTAAAGCAACAGAAGACGAACTTGCAAATATCGAATTTATTAATTTATCTAAAAACCCCAAACCTAAAAAGCCAATTAAACAATTATGTGAAAGTCTCAATATTTCTAAAATTAGTTTATGCACAGCTTTACATTGTCAATGGTCATATTCTATTTCAATTGAATTTTATTGTAAACTAATGAAGCAAAATTTTTTTAAGATTAGTTATTCTGGAGATACAAGACCAAATTTTGTTGACTTTTCCCAAAATATTGGATATAGGAGTAATTTATTAATTCATGAAGCTACATTTGATAATAGTCTAAAATATGAAGCAGTTAAGAAACGACATTCTACTATATCAGAAGCAGTTGAAGTTGCTAAGGAAATGAAATGTAATAAGTTAATATTAACACATTTTAGTCAACGGTATCCTAAGATTCCTGTTTTTTTTGAGAAAACTAAAAATTCTAATGCTGAAATAACTACTGTTGAAAATGTTACTGAAAATGTTACTGAAAATGTTAGTATTGAAAATATTAAAATTGAAAATACTTTTGAAAATACTGTTGAAAACACTAGTTTTGAAAATGCTAATAAAGAAATTACTATTGCTGAAAACATTTTCACTGAGAATGTTAATTATGAAATGAGTGATAACAAAGAGAATAATACTTCTATTGTTAATAAGAATGTTAATATAGATGATATCGATTATGTTGAATTTGAAGAAGATGAAGAGGGGGACATAACCGAGGACCAGAACAGTGATTATCCTTCAAACATGGATATTGTATTTTCATTTGATGGAATGATGGGCTCATATGAAACCATGGGCCAACAAAAACTTGTTCTTAATACATTACATGAAATGTTTACAAAAACACCACCCATTAAAGAAATTGATGAAGAGAAAAATAACACAGATGACAAAAATAATACAGATGACAAAAATAATACAGATGACAAAAATAACATAGATGAGAAAGATAATACTAGCAAAGTCGTTTTTAAGGATAAAAATGAAAAAGTTTTAAACTTTAAAAGTGATTTAAGTGGCAATGAAGTAATTAAACAAAACATAATTAAAAATCTAGATGAGATTAGTATTGATATTGATGTCAATATCGATACCAATACCGATATGGATAATATTTTTAAAAATGCAAGTGAGAATGAGAACAAAGAAGAAAATATAAACAAAATTAAAACTGAGAATAGTAGAAAGAGAAAAGTGGATAGTAGTTATGCTATATAAATAAAGTTGTGTAATTTATAATAAAGTAGGTGAAATTGAACATATATTTATTAGCCTTTAAATAAAAAATTGATATTTACAAATGTTAATGGAAATGTAAAGTTTGATCATTCATCAGAGTAGACATACTTTTTCAACTTTTGATGAATTTCAGCATTGATCTTCTTCTTTTTACCCCAATGGTCCCTGATATAATTCAATCGTTTCATCATCTCCCTGTATCTTTTATTACCCACTGTATTTCTAGAAACTAGACCAACAAAAAAGGGACTGCAATTAAATTTTTCAGCTAGCACTTTTCTTGTGTATTTGTTAGGATCTTTGGAATTTAGTTTAATTATCTCTTTGATTTGCTTTTGGTTCAAGTTATATTTCTTTTCAGAATGATCACCAATCACCGGCATATTGTTGATATCTTCCAATGTGTAAGCTGATTCCTCAGTGTATCTTGGATCATTTTTAGGTAAAAATGCATTTGGCGTCAGATCCAATGGCGAAGGAATTGAAGGAGCAGGAATCCTGTACAACCCAGGTGCCATTTTTGCTGGTTTGAAAGCAGCAGTCTTGTTTCTAAACCTGGAAGGAAAGGTTTTCAAGTGTGTGATGTTGCTTTGAGCATCTGAAGAAGCATTGTTGGCGCTGTCTGGCTGGGAAGGAAGTTTAGATGAGCCCAGAAAATTAGCCACCCTGGAGGCGGATGAAAACAAACGCCTCTGCTGAAGCGATACTACTCCGGCACTTTGTCTGAACATGGTAGGATTTGCAGCGGTGTCTTTCTGTTGTTTTTTCAGCTTCCTGTGTTTCCTGTGCTTCTTCTGCTTCTTCTGAGTCGATTTTTCTCTGAGCTTGGTTTTGTGACCGACGGTGAAAATTCCGCTCCGGATACAGCGGTAAAGTCATCCGCACCGCATCCGCACACGCGCTCAACTCATCCTCAGCACCGGTTTGCGGATGCGCCCAATCGGGTAATTTCAGTACGATATAAGAAGCGATGAGATTTGGCGAAATATTTCATGCTGTGCTCGCAATATTGGTGTGGTGCTGGTGGACTGGGGCTGTGAGATAGGCTGCTTCGCAAAATGACGATTTCTGACTACTATTCCGACGACGAAGAGTTGTATCTGGTGCTTTTACAGCCTTTGGTGTTGAAGACCATTGACGAAGTGAGAAATTGGAGACTAACTTGTCTCTTCGACAACAAGTCTGTTGGTTTTGTTCCAACAATGGGTGCATTGCACAATGGTCATATTTCTTTGGTCAACAACTCCTTGAATTCTAACGATAGGACAATTGTTTCGATTTTTGTTAATCCCTCTCAGTTTGCTCCAACTGAAGACTTAGACTCTTATCCCAAGACTTTCGATCAAGATTTGGAAATTTTATCCAAGCTAAAAAGTTCATACAATAATTTAATAACAAGAGTGGACGCTATTTTTTTCCCTTCAGTCAATGAAATCTATCCATCTGGTATTCCCCTAGATGTTGAAAAACAACAGGGTGCTTTTGTATCTGTGAAAGGTTTAAGTGAGCAATTAGAAGGCAAAACAAGACCGAACTTTTTCAGAGGTGTTTCAACTGTTATAACCAAGTTTTTCAATATAATTACTCCCACAAATGTTTATTTTGGTCAAAAGGATATTCAACAAGTTTTGGTTATTAAAAAATTAATCAAAGACTTGATCTACCCGATAAATTTAAATGTTGTCCCCATTCAAAGAGACCCAGAAACTAACTTGGCATTATCTTCAAGAAACTTGTACTTTGATGCAAAATCAAGAAATTTTGCCTCAATTGTCTATAAATCTTTAAATTTAATCGAAAATCTATACAAAGAAAACAACATAAAAGACTGTGGCATATTGAAGGAAAAATTTAGTCGATTTCTAAAACCTCATGGTGATTCGGAACTATTGAAAATCGACTACATTTCAATTGCTGATAAAGAAAACTTGATGGAACTAAATGAGATTGATTCCAATACTGGTGCAATCATAAGCTGTGCGATCTATATTAAAAACAATCAAGATGGTAAATTCATCAGATTAATTGATAATATCATTGTCTAAGAAAACAGTTTTAACCAGTAATCATAAACTTTTTAGTAATCATAAACTTTTTCGTGATTATAAACTTTTATTTTGATTTTACCTGCTTTTTTTTACTTATAACTTTTATACATTATTTATTTTTTTAATTATATATATTAATCGTTTTATAGAATAAAATTATTATTGATCAACTATAAACTTATTTACCAAGTTACCAATTATCTCCCCATCCATCATTTTGAATCTTGGTTTGTAATTTATTAGTCTTCTTCAATTGCAATCCCTTTTTTCTTGTATTAATGTTAGTAGAATTTATGGAATTATTTGAGCTTCTTGCTTCATTAAATTGACTGTGACTTGGCTTTTTAGATACAATTGGTTTTCGATTGACTGAACCGAATGTTATATTGTTTTTGTTTCTAGTTAAACTGGAACCAAAAATCGGTTTCCTAATTGATTTACCCTCGCTTTTAACATCTTCATCTAAAAAATCATCAAAACCTCCCCATAAATCAGTGGAGTCAATTACAATATCTTTTTGTTTAACAATACTCTTTGTCTTGTTATTGCTAAAAAGATTAGCATTAAAGTCACTGTCCTTATTGGTATGTTTATGAGTAGTAATTGCAGTAGTATTATAATCCAATATATCCAAATCAAGGTCCAGATCATAATCATATTTATCATTGCTATCACCCTTGATTGTATTATCGTTGTTTAAGTGATTATTAAAATCAAACTTATTATTAAAATTACTATTACTATTACTATTAAGATTAGATTTAGTATTAGTGGTAGTGCTGTTAATTGATAAATTGGGCTTTGAAGGATTACTTAATGACAAGTGAACATCTGATGGAGTTGGTGTTAAATCTCTATTTAATTCCCCATTAATGGTCTTTTCAGTCAATTTATTAATTGCTCCAACCGCTAAATTAAAACCAAAATTTGATAATCCATTTGTTATATTATAAACACCATTATCACTGTTATTGTTAAGAGCGTTTGTATCTACCATTGCATTACTTCCAATGTTAATATTGTTGTTATTACTAATTTTTTTGATATTTATATCGTTAATGTTGTTATTAAATTCATTATTATTGAGATTATCTTGATCAATAACTGGTGGAGGTAATTCTAAAAATTCGCCAGGAACGTATTTAATTCCATTTAACTCATAATAGTCATTATGAAGAGTTTTATCTTCATTGATAAGTCTTTCATCTTTTTGATCTAGTAATTTCACTTTTTCATTAATTTTATTCAAATACAAGTTAAATATTTCATTTGCAAAATTTCTAATTTTATGGTTATTATCTAATAATAAAGGAGCAATTAGTGATAAAATCTTTGAACAGCAAATTACAGGGTCAAAAAAGAGTAGACAATTTTTAAGGGAATTTAGAGTTGATATTTTAATTAGAAATTTATTTGAGGAAGTGTCGTTAATTGATTTATTAAATGCTATTATTAGGATATTTTGAAAAGAGGTTAAAGTCGATTGAGAAGTGTTTTTATTGTCGTCAATTAGAAATAGGGAGATTTTTTCTAAGATCAAAATGGTGTTGATCTTTATGGTTAGGTTATTATCATTTTGTAGTTTGGCCAAGTATTTTAGTAAATCGTTATTGATTTGTTTAATGGATAAAGTTGGTAAGATGTGAAGAGTTGATTTAAGGGTTTCATTTCTGATTGTTTCGTTTGTATCAGAAAAACCTTTGATTAAGTTATTGAAAACTTTGTTTGAGATATCTGATTTATTTAAATCATTGATGTAGAATTTTAAAGAAGTTAATAGAGTTGCTCGAATTAGTCTATTATTTGAGTTGAAGCATAATAAAATGAAAGGAGCAATTAAAAATTGATAATAAGATTCGTTGATTTTTTTCAAGTAGTTTGAATAATAAAGAATATAGTATAAGATTATGGGTTTGATTGTGTCATTTTCTTGATTAATTGATTTGCTTGAGTTGTAGAGATTGAAAATATGAATTAAATCAGGTAATAATTTGTAGGGGATGTATCTAGATTGGAGTAAGAAAACTGATTCATTTTTATCTGATGTTGGTTTATTTGAGCCTATTAAATTTTGTAAAGAATTTAAATAGTTGTATAAAAGATCTAGGTTATTGAATAGATCGATGTTCAATAGGTTCAAGTTGTTATGGTTTGATATCAATAGGTTTGAATTGAAAAAGGGGGAGTTGTTATTTGATTGAAAGAATTTTGATATTAGTAATCTTGAATTTTGAATTGGGTTTAATAAACCTTTCAAGTTATTTAGGAATAAACTGGGAAATTTTTTACTGTAATGAAGATTAATTGAGTTGATTAAGTTTGAGAATTGGTTTATGGAAGGGTTGATTGGGAGGCTGTTTAGTTGATGAGATAATGAAGAAGAGTTATAAGATATTAGGTTCAAGATGAGAATACCAAAGAGATAAGAATCGATTTTCAAGTAAAAGTTTTTGTTATTGGTATTGGTAAAGTTATTGTTGGTTATTTCAGGTGGTAGTATAATTTTATAATTTTGATTTGAAGAGGTGTCATGAAGATTATAATTTTTGTAAATCAAGTTGGAATTATAAGTATTAAATGCAAATGAGGGACTATTGGGAGAATCATTCAAGTTTGACAAGAGTTCAAAGCCAAATAGCTTGAATACACCAGATTGGTCTATATAGATTGAATTTGGGAAAATGTTTCCATGGACCGAGCTTGCTTCATTATTAATGAATTTCAAGGAGTTTGAAAGGTTATTAATTGAGAAAACTAGTTCATCAATTGACAAATGGGTTTTGGTATCATTACTGTTATCACTATTATTGGCATTCTTATTGAATAGGTCTGATAGTGGAGTCACTCTTTCAGTTACTATGAATAAGTTGTTTGAGTTATCAAACTCAAAAAAATCGTGAATCTTGATGATGCCAGGCAATTTTATTGTTTTCAATTTCAAAGCCGAGTTTTTGATCAAAGAGAGATATCTTGCGTTGTCGCTAGCAGCACCAGTGCTGGCATACTCCGAATCGTTGATATTGAACTCGAATATCGAGTATTCGTTGGGGTGGTTTTCAGTGCTGGAAAAGTCCTTCTTTGTGGAGTTGAAAAGCGAGTAAAACACATTGCTAGAGACGTTTTGGGAGTGGATCTTGTCGTCAAAGGAGTAGGGAATGGACCTGCCAGAGGTAAAGCCAGACGAAAAGGCCTTAGTTATGAAGTTCATGTCGAAGCTGTGCAAAACCTGGTGGCTTCAACAAGAGTGATTATATCAGTGTCTCTTTTGGGTTGGTCTTAAACACTGATCTGTTACTTCGCAAGAGCCCTATTTGGAACCTATTCAAAGCCCTACTCGCCAGCAGCACGGCGCGCTTCGGCCGAACCGCGTCGCGGGTTCTGAAGGGGTGCATATGCTTATGCACGCTGTCTACGATGTCTGTGTGTATCTCACCGCGCTATCCTGCAGCTCCCACCGGCGCGGGTTTTCCAACAAGGCAACTGCCAAATCTCAGATATAACGAGGAGGGCTCATCGTGTGCTGCCTCTGCTTCTGCTGCTTCATCTGCTCGTGCTGCTCGTGTTGCTGGTGCTCGTGGGTCTTCTGCTGTGCTGGTGCTGGTGTGTTGCGTTTTGTCAAGGTGGTTATTGTTGCCTGGAGTCTTCGCTGAGTCTGTCGTTCTTTTGTTTTGTCTGCAACACTATCCAACTTTCTACTTTCCTTAAACCATCCACTCGTTTGATCGAGCTATTAACATCTCAACTTCCCTACTCAAGACGTCGCTGTTGTGTCTTCTGTTCTTCTTTCTTTTATATCTACAACTGCTACTCTAACTAACGCTAACTCCTCCAATTTATCAACTTCATCCAACTTGCTCCTAAATTCATCTACATTCACTTCAAATAATCCCAACAATAGTCCAAACAACGATCTAAACAACAGTCCAGATAATTACAACAATATGAATACTGTCAATATTCATTCCTTTCAGGATAATTTCCAAAATCAAATTCATTTTGATAATCCATCATCCTCAAACCAAAATCTAGCTTCAAATCCAATTCTAAACAATCTGAGTAATGCAATTTTATCAACTAACACCTCTCAACAAATGGTTATTCCCAAACCAATTTTATATCCAAATGAGCTTATCTTGAAGCTAACTCCTATCACAAACTGTTTTTTTGATATTCTATTAGACATCGATTCATTGTCAATTCAATATTCAAACTTGATAAAATTTTATCAAAAATTATCAAATGATGATTTTGAATTGGACGATAACTATAATCCTACCACTGCTACTACCACTACTACCACTACTAATAATAATAACAATAACAATAACAATAACAACAGCAACGATAATAATCATTCTTCTAATACTAACCATAGTTCCAATATCGAGAACGACAACGTAAAATTAAACCAAAATTTAAAAAGTTACCAATTTTGTCTACTATACCTAACAACTCTAAGAATCATCATCATTCCTTACTTGAACTCAAAAACTCCCAAGATTAACTACTCCTTCACCATATCAATAAACAAAATTAAAAAATGCCATATTGAAAAATTTTACAACATTAATCTCAAAAAACTAAGTTACAACGTCTCAATAATCTTTCCCATTCCTATTTTTATTAATAACAACTTCATCTATAACAACTCAATCATTGAACTAAACTCAAACTCAAAAAAAAGAATATCAAATATTGCTTCCCTAATCTCAGCAATAAGATATTCTCACTGTGTAGCAAACAATTTACCAATTAAATCTATTAAACCGAATCGTCAATACAATAATGCCACTGCAAACAACACAAATAAAAATGATTACTCAAGTATAGAAATTGGTAATGATCTTTTCTTTCACTCTTTAGATCCTAAAATCCAATTCTCAATAAGCAACTACTACAACAAAAATTTATCCACAGATTTAATCAATTACACAAACACCTCCAATAATAACTCAAACATAAACATCTTATCCAATGATACCACATCCAATTATACTATATCCAACCAACCCTCTGATAACGACATTAATAAACAAAATACCTACAGTGATGAATATGACGATGATTATCTACCTTCATATCTAGAATCAGAAACCGCCGTTGGAAACTTCTTTAAACAAATTGGTCTATTAAACCAAATCATCATAAAAGATGAAAATTCCCTAAATTATATCAACAATCTTTGTTCAAGAGACAGAATTAATAACTATGATCTAAATAATATAGATGATGATTTCAGACCTTTTATCTTTATTAAAAAAAAATCTTTTAAATTGGAATACGGCAATTATTACTATAAATTCTTAGCTGAAAATTGTCTAAGATATTCCGAAAGGAATATCGATGACATTATCGATTTAATCAACTTAAACTCCTATAAAATTAATACCAACAATACTGGGAATACCATTACAATTAATAACAACAATCATAATAATAACAACAACAATAATAATAATAATAATAACAACAACAACAACAACAATAATAATAATAATAATAATAATAATCAACAGAATTTTGCAGAAGATGAAAATGATAATGAAATCAGTAATGATAACGATAACGATAAAGAAACTCAAATTAAAACTCAAAATAATAATCAAATTATTAGCGTCACCCAGTCAATTGATCATAAAAATGACCAATTTGATATTTTTCATGATGAAAATTTAATAATAAATATGCAAAATAACAATAATAATAACACTACAAATAACATTTCCAATAATAACACAAATAATATTTCTAATAATAACACAAATAATATTTCTAATAACAACAATGATGATAATTCTAACAATCAAAGTCATTCCATGACACTTGACCCTTTACAAAGCAATAACAATCAAATTTACAATCTAAACACAAGTCAACTGTTTTTTGATTTGACAAATACTTTTTTAAATAACTCGACAATTCGGCGCTATGGCAATACTAATAACACTAACAATAATGATAATAACATTAATAATGGTGATAATATCAATAACAACAATGCTAATAGCGATAGCAATAATCTCAATATCGATAACATAAATACTAATAGAAATAGAAGCTTCACTTTAGAAACAAATCTTAATATTAATCTCAACCTTAATCTCAATCTGGCTCAAAATTTAAATGGAAAAATAAATCACAATATAAATAATAATACATCGATATCTTCGCCAATGATAAATTCTAACGGATTTGTCAATAATAATTCTAGAATTAATAACACAAAATTTACTTACGAACCCAAAAATAATGAAAATGAAAATAGCTCCGATTTACTAAATTATATAAACCAAACTAAAAATTTAGTGTACGATAATCCTTATACAGATATTATCAATACAAGAATATTAATGAATGAAAAAGAAAACAAACAAAAGGAGAAAGAAAAGTTAAAACAACAGGAAAAATTGATCAAGAAGGAGAAACTCATTAAAAACCAAAATAGAATTAAAATTAAAATCAAAAATAAATCAAGAAATAAAACTAAATTTAAAAATAAAAATAAATTAGATATTACAAATTCTAACATTGAAAATATTTCAATCAATGATAACCAGTCAATTTCTACAACTGATTTTTTAAATTTTAATAATAATTATCATAACAATAATCATAACAGTAATACTATTAACAATAATAACAACAATAATAACAATAACAATCACAACAATGGTGATAATCATTTTTCAAAAAGTAATAGCAAATTGTCATTAGATATTCATAGAAAGCTATCTTTCGATATAATGGGTAGTATCAATAATTTCAGTCATAATCATGTTTATAATCATGTTCATAATCATAATAACAATGATAATGCCAGTATTAATCACAGTATTAGAACTAGAAACAGTGATATTAGAAGTATTTTTGACGCTGAATCGAAACTCAAGTATAAGAAAGGAGGAAAATTTTTCAACAAATCAATTAATAAATTTAAGAAAATGCAAAGTAAATTAAGCTTAAATAATACAGTTGGTGATCATGAAAATGAAGGCGACTTGACTATGAATCATTTTAGTAATAAAAACGAGAATGTCAACAATATTAGTAAGAATGAGAATAACAATGGTGATAGTAGAAGCATTGTTAGTCAGTTGGATCAATCATCGCTATCAAACGATTTATTATTATTACCAACAATTCCAAATTCAGAATTGGCATTCACACCAACCTCAAATGCATTTACATTGGCTAGCAATAATTCAACGATTGATATTAACAACAATAATACCACATTAAATGTTTATAATAATAGCGATAGCGATAGTAAATCGAATTATCATAAACAAATGGGAAAAGAACAATATAAAGCTAAAAGAAGCGCATCATCAATGTTAAACACTTTTGACAATAAAGAAGATGATAATACACAAACGGGTAGCAGCAAAATGTCAATAAAAACCGACTATTCAAAAAAATTGCAGTTATTAACACTAGATCAGAAGAATCCATCTAAATCATTGGATCCTTATATGATCGAAATGGAAAGAATTAGAAAAGAAGAAGAAGAAGCCAAAATGAAAGAAAAAGAAAAAATGGAGCAGAAAGAAATTGAAGAATTGACTAATATTCATTTAGACTATAAATTGGATTTAGGAGAGGATTTCAAAACCCCATTTGCTTCAACACTTAATTTTGATGGGTTATTTAATTGATTGATTGATTGATAAAAAGACTTTTTAAATCATATAACTAAAATGTTAGCATGGATACTTGTTATTTTTTTTTTAGGAGTGTGAGTTCTCAGCTTTAAATTTAATTGTTTTCTACGTTTTTCCTATATTTTCCTATGTTTTATCTATTTTGTTATCTATATTTTTGAATTTTTTCTCAGTTATTTAATTTTTCCTTTTGTTTTTCTAAATAGTATTTAAGTTATTTGATTGTTTTTATTTTAGTTTTTTAGTTTTTTAGTTATTTTAATTTTTCTTGTCAATTTTTTGTTTTTTACTTTTTCTCTTTCTTTTTTTCGTTGTTATTCTAGTGATTTTATTTGATTATTCTGTCTGCATTCTAACAGAAAGATGACAGAAAATGGTTATTTCTTGCTATTTTGGAAAGTTAAAGTTAATTTATTTTTGATGAAAATTATAGTGATATAATCGGTTCTATAAATCAAAATACATAGGTAATTATATAGGTAATTTTAATTTTAATTTTAATTTTAATTTTATACTATTTCAAAACAATATTGGCATTTCTTAATTCAAGATATTGCTGGTCGACACCACTAGTCATCGTCTTGATAACATCGTTATAAACCTCTACATTATAATATCTTAACCCATTATTTGGTGTCTTGTAGTTGCCTTTTAAGCCAGTTATATCACAGTAATGCTTTCTTGGTTTTAGTGAAGGATAGGCATCTAGACTAAAGTAGGTGACCTGGTTGAAATCCTTTCGAGCATTGCCATTGGTGCCATCTTTATTATCAACATCAGTATTGTTCAATCTCTTCTGCTCATCTGAGAGAAGTTGTCGCAATGGTTTATGTCGTCTGTAGGGAGTCTTCCACTTGGGATTCTTGAAACGGGCGGGTCTTTGAACAGCGGCCTGATAGATATCGTCAGTGAGAGGAGGCATCTTTCAGTGCTACCATTACCATCTACGGTGCTTCCTCATGTTCAGCAGAAACAGCAGAAACAGCAGTAGAGGCATGGCAAATAAGAAAACCACCGCTTTGGATGGATCCATGGCGCTGGAGACTGCGTTCAGTTCAACGGCCATTGTGGCGGACGCAAGCAGACCCCGCTTGTGTTGTTTAACATCTGATCTGCGGTCTGGTAGTGCATAAACCCCATGCAGGGGTTTAAGCGGTTGTGCAACCAGTAGTACGGATCCGTTTCCTCTTTTGATTTGGGCTTTTTGGGGAATTTCTGGAGCTGTGTCAAAAACTGAGCAAGAGGAAAACAAAGAGAAGAAGCAAAAGAACAGGAGAAAGCAGAGGAAAGCCAAACAACAAAAGCAGCGTTTTCTACAGCTCCAACACTGCCCTCAGAAACAGCCAGACATTTTTATTTTCCGTTGCGTTCACGTCCCCAGCTATTCTTGCCAATTCGACTCTGCCTGACGCTTTTATTCCAACATTTCACACTCTTTGATGCTCTTATTCATGCCAACTATATGATATCCAACAATTGGCTTATTTCTTTGGCAATAATTTTGAGAAAAATATAACAGTAACAGTGTAGCAGTGGTATAGTGGTATTTTCCAATCATGCTTTGGTCCTTTATTGTCATATTGTTGGCTATTTTTTGGTTGATTTATCGTTCCTATACTTTGTTGAATACTCCAATTATAGACTTGATTCAAATTTTAAATATTGATATTCCCAAGGCTCCAAAGGTTTCAATTGATAAAATCACTTCATCCAAGGTCCACCTTCACTGGTCAATTCCAAATAACGTAATAACGACAACAACCACCACCACTCCTGCAAATCCCTCAAACTCAATAATAACTTCAAATTCAAATTCAGCTGTGAACATAAATGCAAATGCAAACACAACTTCATCAGCAAATATAAATTCAAACAACAACAGCACTAATTCCAGTTCTAATCTTGATTCAATTATAAATAATCTACAAAATAAAAACTCTTACTATGTTTATCTAAATGGCATCTTGGTTTACAAACTAAATTCAAACCAAACAGATTGCATCTTATCAAATTTGCAATCAAATTTTCATTACCAAATTGATATAATATCAATTTCTCCATCAAACTTCAAATCTAGAAGTTTCCCTGTTTATGTCAAAACAAGAAATTCTGATAATGAAAATATTTATCTAACTGATATTAAAAATGACAATACCAACAATACAACTAATAACAACAACAGCCTTCTTAACAATCCAAGTTTAAATTTAAATGCTAACTCAATAAATAACCTAGACTTTGTTAACTTGTTCAATAATTTCAACTCGAATAGTAATGAGCTATCTCTTGCAATGTCAAATCCCATTCTACAAAACCCAGACAACATATTAGACTATCTTACGAACAATAATGGTAACCTAATCAAACATAGAAGAACATTCAACCTGGGCAATTCAAGGTCAAGATCAAATACCCTAAAGAACTCAAATCCAAACGATAATAATAACGAGTTTGAAATTACAGATTTAGAAGAACTAAAAGCTCAATTAATGAATAGACAAGATCAATTGGCTATAATTTATGATCAACTAAAATCTGTGAATGATGACTACAATGAAAAGAAATCAATCCTTATTGATGAAAGAGAATCGTTGAAAAAACGTAAAAAATTGGAAGACGACCAGCGAAATCAACTAAGAGCTACTTTTAATTCTTTGGAAGACTCTCAACGAAAAAAAAGAATTCATATAGAGAAATTGAGAAATTCAATTGCAAAAAAATTAAACTACATTGAAAAAATGGAAAATGATATCCAAAATTGGGCTGAAAAATTAGTTCAATTTAAGGATTTTGAAAAATCTATTCTTTCAAGTAAACCAAATCTAATTTCAGATTTGAATTTCAAAATAACAGATTTAAAATTATCAATCCTAAATACTAAAAACGATATTTCTACTATAGACTCTGAAAATAAAAAAATCTTACAAAACAAAAAAAAACTAGATTTAAATAAAGATAGATATTTTGAAATATTTGATAAATTAAATCAAAAGGAGAAAAAATCAGGATATTTAAATGAAAAGCTAATGAAACAGTTAGGCGAATTAAATCCAGATTTTGAAAAGGAAATAACTGACAATTTTAATCTTGACTTAAAACTTGAAGGTGAATGGAGAGCTAAAGAACAATCTACTCGAATCGGCTCAAAGAAAACTTACGAAAAGCATGATAAAATCAAAAAAGAATTGGAGTTATTGGAATTTAATCTTCAAAATCATACAAATATTATCAATGTTAACGATATTAATGAATCAATTATTAACAATAAAAAAAATATCAGTAGAAAGAAGAGTGCTAACATTCTTATTTCAAACAACAATATCATCATAACCCCCAACAATGATACAAATGTTATCAACACTAACACTAACAATATCAATGGTATCGTTCATAGTAATAGCTTCAATAATATAAATTCTATAAACAACCCAAATGGAATGAGTAGCACCAATAGCATGAATGGTCTCAACAATCTTACCAATATTGGCAATATCAATAGTATCAGTAATCTCATTACTAACAACAATCTCAATAATATCAATAACAACAACCTTAATAATATCAATAATAATAACAATATTAACAATCTTAATAATATGGGAAGTATAGGAAATATGAATACTATCAGCAATTTAAGTACTATCAATAGTATAAACAGTATCAATAGCATCAATAATATGAATAGCATCAACAATATCAACAACATTACTAATATAAGCAATATTAATAACTTGAATAATCTAAATAATCTAAACAGCATCAATGCAATATCAAATGTCAATAATATTAACAATGCTAATAACAGTTTTACTCATAACATTAATGATATTCAAAACTTGCAAAACTTAAACCACAACACTCTTCAAAACTCTGGAAATTTGAACTTGGGCAATAGTTTTTCAGTAAACCACAATTTTAATAATAGTATTAATAATAGTATTAATAATAATATTAATATTAAAAATGATGAAATCACCAACTCTGATAGTATAGGAAACATAAGTGGTTTAAACGGTATTAACAATAATAATATTAATAATTTCAACAGTTTTAACAACACCAATCATTTAATAAATTCTAACAGTTTCAATTCTATTAAAAATTTAAATAATAACAATAATAACAATGTCATGTCTAATATGAACAATAATGAAATTTCTTCTGGCATAAATAAAAATATTCCTCTTTCTTTTAATATCACTCCTCCATTAAATAATGATCAGAAACTTAGTTATAATTCTAATCAACAAATCAACCAAAATTCATATTTTTCACCTTTTCAACAAACTAATAACCAAAATCAAATTCAACCAAACCTTAATTTTAACCAAAACAATCAGCCATTTAATTATTCTTCTAAATCGAATAACTTAACTACAGGAAGTAGTAGTGCCCAGTCTTCTAACAAACCATCTCCTGATAGCACCAAACCTGATTTGGTAATCAATGTAAATAAACTGCTTTTATCTAATCAGTTGCAACAAGAGTCTGTTCACTCACCAACTGTTAACATGATGTTACCTTCAAGTATTATTGAAGCTGAAGAGCTAAATGAAGGTCTAATTTCAAGTATGAAAGAGTATAGAATTAACACGATGAAAGCAGAAGATTTGAGTTTTAACTTTGATGATAGTATTTCCCAGCATCATTTTGCTAACACTGGAACTCCATTGCACAGAATAAACTCCAAGCTTTCATTGTTTAATAGCAACAATAATAAAAACAACAACAACAACAATAATAATAATAATAATAATAATAACTCGCCTTTGTTAGCAAATACATCTTTATTGGGATTGAACTCTTTTGATAACGCGAATGTTGCCCCTTCTGTAAGAAGTATTTTCAGTGGTCGTAACAACAGCATCAGCCAACAAGGCCACTCTATATCTGCATCAATTCTTCCTGAAACAGCTGGATCTCCTTCAAGACCATCACTTGGTTATGAATCTCATAATTATATTAACCCAATATTATCACATAGCAGCGCTATTTCGGGTCCTAATCTATTGACAGACAAACTCTCCTACACTTCCTTGAATCCAGTGACCTCTTCATCATTGTTAGGATCATTATCAAACGATCCCCAAGAACAAGAGCTGCAGTCTCAAACTCATCAATCCATATCTGCTGTACTTTCTCCCAAAAAACTTTCTAATGTTTTTAATTTTGGGAGAGGAAACAAACTTGATGAACATAAAGACGATACCAACTCTCATTTATTACTTAATCATAATATTAATGACAATACAACCCGTGGGAGCAGGTTTTTCAAATTTGACAAAAAGCATAAACCACAACAAAGTTCTCTTGATAGTATCGATCATAGTGGAAAAGCTGGCTCTTTTAATGGTTTTTTTGGTAGCACAATTTCACCTCCTTTTAATGCCAACTCAATAAATGGTGATTCTAAGTCGAATTTACTTCAACCATTTGGTAACGATTTACCTGTGCCTCAACTTAATTATAATAGAAATAGGACTGATAGTGTTGGGAGTGCTTTTAGTAATCCTGCTTCATTCAGCTCAGCAAAACAGTTCAACTTCAACAGTATTTTAGACCCTTGGAGCAACAACTTTGCTGGAAACAACTCGAGTCATAATGCTAATAACAATAACAATAACAATAATAATATGATGGGAAATTCACCTACTATTGGTGGAAAAACAAATTTAAATAATAACTTTGACGTTCAAAGCAACTATTCAATTCAAACAGGATCAATCTTAAATAACTTAACTACAAGCAGTTCTATCCCAGATAAACCGATTGATTGGACCAACTTTCATTTAAATGATGACCAATTGAGTTTAAAACTTTCTAAAAATAGTTATACATCGACACCTTTGATTCAAACCCAAAATAATGATCAGAGCTCAATTCATAGTTTGGGGGCTTTAAATATCAACCTTAACAATGGTTTTGGAAATAATTTTGGAAATAATATTAACAAAAACTTGAATATTGGTGGAATGAAAAATATTGGCGGTTTTGCTAATATAAACAGCAACATGAATATAAATAACAACATGAATATAAATAACAATCTAAACTTAAGTTCTATAAACAGTTTAGGTGGGTTCAATTCGAACTCTAATAACTTGAAAGTTCCCGGATATCATGGTTTTAATCCAAGCAACCCAGGTAATAATCTTGATGCTAGTGCGTTTGAAGCCAAAGAATCAGACACTTCAATGAATAAGACTTTAGATAAAGCACCAAGTATTGCATTTTCTTCTACTTCAGATTCGCAAAGTCTACATACAGGTTCTTCTCATCATAATTCCAAACTTCTTACTAAACTGCTAGAATCAAAAGACTCTTCATCTAGCATTAATGTAAATCATGCCATTGGTTCAGATGCAGGTCACTCTCCGACAGTTTCATCATCTCCATCATTTTTTCGAAAAAAGTTTTTGTTTGGTGGAAGTAATAATAATAACAACTCTGGAGGTAGTTCTCCAATGAAAGTGGGATTGAATACATTAAATGTTTTGAGCGGTACGATAAATGATAAGGATGTTAGGCCATTATCTCCAACAAAGTTGTCAACAGTTGCTAGCAAAAATTCTGATGGTGAACCAAACTCTGAGAAAAGTGCAGATGTACCAGAAAAATTGGTTTTATCAAAAACTTCGAAATACTTCTCCAAAGGAATGAGAAACTTAAGTATTTCAAGAAGATCAATATCTACAAATCATCCAAGAGCAGTGACTCCATCTAGTTTTACTGTTTACTCGGTCTCGCCTGCAAATATTAATTTAGAAACTAATCATAGCAATAAAAGCAATAGTGAGGTTAGCAAGTCTAACGAAAGTAATAATTCAAAGGAAGTAGAAAAAGAAGAAAAACCCAGTAAAGCGGAAAAAGTGGAAAAAAATAAAAAAAATGAAGAATCAGGAGCAAAATCACTTGTGAAAAGACTATCGTTTTTTGGAAACAATAAAAGTAAGGAAGAGTCATTAGTAGTTATGGATACAGAAATTGAATATGAAGCTGAGAAAGAAGGAAAATAACTAGGGCCAGAATAGTTTCAGAAGAATTAAGTGTTAATATCTGTTTTGATTATTTTATAAACATATTTTAAGATGAAAAATTTAAAAACAGAGAGGGAATTTAATATCTTAAAGCTTTTTATTAAGATTCCTAAATGAAAAATGTCTTTTTTTTTAATTATAAAAACAACTTTTTTTCTTTTTCATAAACTTTTTTTTAATCAGATCTTTTTTGGTACAAAAAAGAAACATTCAATTCTTGATAACCACTAAAAATTTCTTATAAAAATATAGTTCTGTTATATATCTATATATTATATATATTGTAGTAAAAAAAACCAAAATTTCATGCTTTTTCAAGCTTATCTTTTTTTATTTTTTATTGTTTTGCGTTCCAAGAATCGACAATACATTTAATTTTTGCTTCAAAATTTTTAGACGTTACTAAAGATTTTTCATCTAAACTTTGAAATGGATTGCAAATCAAGCCCAAATAAGCCTTGTGGATGTTTTTAAATAACAAATCCAAGTTTTTGTTTGATATTTCATTTGATGAGGTTCCAATGACAATTTTTAAACCGGTATTTGATTCGTAACCATAGACAGATATACCATCTTGAACAAATAACAATTTGCTAGTGTTGCTGTTAGAAAAGCCAGAAGCTTTGTCGTTAGAGGAGGAATCGCTAAAAAAATTAGACAAAAAGATATCCAAAGCCATATTTGATAAGAAGTTGTATTTTAAAAATTCGTTGGCTTTTCTCTCTTGAATGAGAGAAATGGTGTTCAATTCTTCACCAAAGATATCAGTCGCGTTATTACCACTATCATCTTTGTCGCCAGTGTCCAAATCGTCTGCATTGGCAGTCAATTCTGTAGTTTTTACCGAGTCATTGATGCCACTGCTTACGCTTTCAGTCCCAGTTTCACTATTCAAAGATGCATCAGCCTTGCTTTCTTTGTCAATTGGCAAATCAGTTTCCTCCTTGTTACCAAAAGGTGAGAACGATTGGATGTGGAGTGGGCGATTCTGGAGATAAAAGAGAGATGGGTCAGTACTGGGGTCCTTCGAAACACTGGAGAAGACCAATCCAAACACTGCCTAGAGGCAGCAAACATACGTCTCTTGTTATCAACGACACAAAGTACACAGGAGGATTGGACATTACTGCAATTGTGTAGTGAGAAAGAACCTCTCCAGGCCTTTTCTTTGACGTATTCCAAAGCAAACAGAGACCCACAGCACTGGGCCGGAAGAGACCGAGCCTGTTTTCCTCAGCTGCAACTGGAACAAGTTGGTGAGGAAGAGGTGTGTGAAGTGCTGTTGTGCGATGGTTCTGCTGGGTCTGGGTCTAAGTATCCGGTAGCTGCCTGGCATGGAGTCTTTCGTGTTGTAGATCATTTTTTTCATTGAAACAGCGTGGAAATTGCTTTTTTGGAGAGGACATCAGACGACAATAGGAAAGCAATGATAACTTTCGCGAATAGCACAGTTGTAACACATTTGCAATTTATGGTCTGTACTGTTATACGGCCATGGTCTTGATCACATATAAAAGCTTGAAATCCTTGCTTTATAAAGTCTGCTTGAAAGTTTGGCAATATTTCAATTTGCTATCTACGTTTTATTTTAGCTTTGTTCAAACAGGATACCCAAATCCGCTCCAACTAACTCTAATAATATTGACTGAACAAAAATGTTTCCCGGAAAATACACAGGAATTAGATCAATTGATATCAGAATTGGCGAAGTGGTTGAATTGAACATAGAAAATGAAAAAGTGTTTAAAAGAGATAGACATAGCAGTAATCTAAAAAATCTAATTGAAAGCATAAACTACTTTTCTTTTGATACAAATTCGACTTCTAACATGCTTCAAACTTCTCAAGACTCCAAAGATTCTAATCAATCTGCTGAAGCCCAAGAAAATCATCAGAATGACAATGATGATGACGATAGTAATAATAGCATAAATATATTTGCAGTCAGTCGTCCAAATCCAGACAACTGTCTAGGGTTTTCAAGACTAAAAAATCGACTTATGATCATTACTCAAAGAAAAATCCAGACGTTAAAGCCGGTCAATTTTATTTTAAAAGCAACATATTTCAAGGTCCAATTAAGAGGCTCGTGTTTTATTCTAAAAAGAATAAAACAAAATAGTGGTGATATGGTTTACACCTTATTTTTGGAAGATTATTGTAGATTAACACCACAACAACGTTCTCTGCTAACAAAAAGAGAAGAGGTGTTGAAAAAGTCTTTTGATAAGGTATTTAAAAGGTTTAAAGAGACAAATAAAAAACTATTTTGCATGATCAATCCAAAGAACTCCAACAGCTTAGCATATTTTCTCAAGGTGATTTCGACCAAAAATTGCGAAAATCGAAATTACTATTTAAAGAGTGCAATTTTGAATAGTATTTTAGTCTCAAATCCAGAATTTTTAACTCAATAAAAAAAAACATTTTCCACCAAGTTTTTTTTTTTTGAATATTTAAAATATGGAATCAAAAATACACAAAATCAAAAGATCAAAATTGATTATTCCGCATTTCGGAACAACTTTGCGCTAAAAATAAAACACAATAGATCATATGCAGAATCTGCATATTACTGCAAATGCTTTCAAACTCAATTTTCAGTCTTTTACTCATGAAAATATTATAATTTTATTCAATAAAATAAAAAATAGCTTCGTTCTCTCGATAGCTAAAATGGATGGGTCTTCAGAAATTATAAATTGTTTTTTTGAAACTTACTACCATATTGGTTATACTTTTTATTAATCATTTCATTAAATAAATTGAACTTGCTGCCAATATTTATTTGAGCTTTGTTTTATGTAATTGAGAGTTTTAGTTTTTCAACTGAAAATAGCTTCTGTTACTTTTTATTCTTTGTAGCAATTTAGAACTTAAAAAGAACTTACTTGGAGTTAATTTTGTAAAATCAAACTTGAAATTAAAAATTCTTCAATATTTGAAAAAGAATGCAATTTTAAAATTTTTTATAAAAAACTTTAAATAATTAAAACTGTCAGATAATTTCCAATTTGCTCGAGTGTTTTGTAATTAAATTAAATAAAATTTGATTCTTCACAAGTTTATTAATTTAAAATAAAACTCATACAGAATTATAATAACATTTTTAAATGATATGATTGACTTAATTCTATTTCTCATACTGCTTTATTGATAACATCTTTTTTCTAAAATTTCTGTGACCGTTTTATACCAAATTCAAATAGTATTTATATCTATATCAATTAAAAAAAGATATTAAAGCTTTAAAAAAACATTCTAGAAATTCAATCCAAGGAGCAATAACTTGCTTCAAACTCCAATCTGCATCTTTCTGTAGGAACCTATTTTTGATTTGTTTGTTCCAAAATATTTTATTCTTTTTCTGATAAGAGATTGCTTTTTCTCAATCAAAACATGTCCACTTTATAGAAGACTGTATTTTTTTACTTAAAAGCAACTTTTCAAAATGCAATAAGCTTCAACAATAACTAATTTTCTAGTTGATAAAAAATAGTGAAAGGCTGAGCGAGTGATTATTCATTTCTTCTTCTTTGCTCCTGCCTAAGTCAACTTGGTGAGTACAGAAGAGAAAACTTCGCTATGTCTAGATTAAGCAATACTTCTTTAGAGAATTTTCTGCTTTGGAAATTCTTTTTGGTTTCAAAAGATATTCTACATTGAATCAACCAAAAATGGAAAATGGGTCATAATACTTCAGATTACCCTAAATGGTAGGTGTTTAATTCCTAAAACAGCCACATTGCTATTTCTCTTGTAATTGTATTTTTGGATACTTTTCTAAATTGCAAATGTTTTTTCGCTGTTCTTTAGCTGGTTTTTAGCTAGTTTTTTTCTTGTTTTTTACGATATTCGAAGACTTTTGTAGCATGTATTCCATATTTGCAAATCTTCCGGCTCATTTGTTTCACGACATCATTAATTATCTTGCTAATGACAAAGTTTTGTTGTTTAGCTTATCTTCTTCCTCTTTAATCGCCGAATTTTGTTTTTCTTTATTATTCAAAAAATTGCTAGTTATTGAGGTGATTTCTGATAGAAGCATTAAAACTGCTTTACATGATATCAAAAATCACAAGATATGTGGAGAAGAGTACTTGAGAATTACTGTGAAAGATTTAAAACAAAATATTTCTGTTTTTAAAAAGTATTTGTGCTTTACAAACCATCTATGTTATTATCTATACTGTTGGATCATCACTTCAGAATTTCAATTTATAAAGCTTCTAAAAACTGAAAATATAAAACTAAAAGAGTTGCAGCATTTTGATTTTCAGTTATTTTCTGCATACAATTCAACATACTATGAACTATTTCTAGATGTTTTCATTTTACACTACTGTGATTACAATAATTTGAAAAGACTCAGTTTAGAAGGAATCAGAAATTTTAATAATCTCACTTTTTTCAATCATATCAATTTTTCTTTGGCTGATGTAACTTTTAAAAATTCCATATTCACCAAATTTCCCTCTTATTGTTTCAAAGGTTTACCTAATCTAAGAAATTTAAACTTGACCAGCATTTTGTTATTCCATGGTATCACTAATCAAAATGCAAATCAATTTTGGGCTTCTGCTACCAACCTAAGATATTTAACTTTTAATTTTTCTCTTTCATCTGATCTTCCATTCATAAACCATTTAAATTTACGATATTTAAAAATCAAAAATATTCAAACAAGAGATTTCAAGAAATTTGATGAGCTCAAAAATTTAAAGCGTTTAACGATAGAAGGCAGAAAAATAAATAAATTGGAACCAATTCTTAAACCAAATTTCTTTGAAAATATAAAAAATTTAGAGGTTTTGCAACTTAAAGTGATGTGTTTCAAAGAAATCCCAGTGGGAATCAACCTGCTTTTTTATCTTGAGAATTTGGATTTGTCATGCAACCAAATTTCCAAAATTGAAAACCTTGAAGAATTAATAAACTTGAAAGAATTAATTTTATTTAGAAATGATATTGAAAAAGTTGAAAATTTAGAAAACCTAAAAAACTTGGAAACCCTCGATTTATCTTTGAATGAAATATCAATTTCAGGCTTATCTAATGCTTTATCAAGTTTACATAAATTTAAACTAGCTTCTAATTTGATCGGTAAGGCTATGGATAAATTCATTTTTGAAAAATTGCCTAACATTGAAATAATCGAGCTTCCTTTCAACAAAGTATTTGACTCGCTATGTCTATATCATTTAAACAATCTAAGGGTTTTTGATTTGCAATTTTGTGAAAAAATACTAATTTTCAGTCAAAAAAGTTTTGATAATATGCAAAATTTGCTGATAATAAATCTATCGTACTGTAGAATTGAAAACTTATCATTCATCAATTTTTTTCCAAAATGTTTAAAGGATTTGAATTTATCTCACAATCTAATTAAATCCCTTGCCGACACAACTGACATATTGAATAAAGAGAGTCCAAATACTGGATATCAAAACAAAGATAGCGGTTTTAATGGTTGTGAATATTGCTATGTTCGAAATCTAGATCTATCATTCAATTTGATCAACAACTTTAAAAGCTTCAACTCAATGAAGTTTCCAAATTTAAAAAAATTGAACTTGTCTGATAACAATATCCAAGATCTTGATTGTAATAACATACACTTTTTTCAGCGGTTGGAAGAGCTAGATCTTTCATACAACTCTATTGTTGAGCACAGCTCAAATGTCGAGAACATAATCAAAATACTCAGATTATCATTATATCGTACTGGTATTTTTGCAATAAGAAATGCCCAATAGTTTCGCAGTTTCACAGTTTGTTTTGATATACAACAAGTACCAAATTTCAGTAGTTAGTAAGTAGTGTTCTGTACTAGTAATACCCTTCATCCATTCAAACTCTCATCCAAATTTATGTCTCCCTAGGTCGTTTTCTTTCCTTAAATACCAGGCTTTCAAAAACATTTTGTTTCAAGTCTTTTATCACTTTTTGTTTCCTTTAGTGGTTACTCCATCTCTGGCTCCAAAATTATGCTACTACGATGGACATTCAGTCTAAGTTACCTTTCAACATCATCAGTAAGATTATCTTTTACATTCCAAAGGACAAAGTCTGGCTTTTGACGTTATCCCCCTTTGCTTCGATTTCCTGCTGTGCTTATTCAGGTCTATTCGAGAACTTGGTGGTTCTTGAAGAAACAGATGGAGCAGATCGACAGCCTAAGTATGGTCTTCGTCTGTCAATTATCAAACTCAGAGCATTCTACTGTCGTTTGAGGGTTGAAGATATCATCAGCAATGTTCAAACGTTTAGAAATCATTTCAATTCAACAAAAGAGCTAGATTTGGTCTTTCGTGGTTCAAATAATAATTTTGGATTTCGGTTCTT